AAACAGAAATAAAGAGATGAGAACGAATAGAAAAGAGAAAAGAAGGAAAAGAAAAGAAAAATTTTTTCAATTAAAAGATAAAAGAAAAAAAATAGAATAAAACAAAAACAAAGAGAAGAGAAAGAATAAAAGAAAAGAAGAAGAAGAAGAAGAAGAAGAAGAAGAAGAAGAAAGAGGCAAAATAAAAGAAAATTATTTTGTTTAAATATTAAATAAATAAATAAAATATATAAGAAAACAGTTAAAAAAAAAAGAAAAACTTGTTTAGATAGATAAATAGACAAAATACTAAAAGAAGAAGAAATTGACAAATAGTTCTCAGGTAAAAAAAATTCATGACAATTTACTCGAAAATATTGTGCCCTTTCGGATGATAAGTGATCTCGCCAATACACACGACAATGATAATAATGATGATGATAATAATGATGAAGATGAGGAAACGACGACTGCTTTTTAGAAGACGACGATTCTCCAACCGTTATTTACCGTTAAGACTATAATATACTCTACAAAGTCGAAAGCATTGAACGACGTCGACATTCGCGAAAAACCGAGTTAGAAACAGCACAGAATAGTCAATTATTCTCTCTCATTCTCGCTCGCAAATTACGTAATTCACTCCTATACACATTATTGCCAGAGTGCCGTAACTCACAAAAACAAGTGTTCCATTCTCAAAATTAAAAAAAAAAAAAAAAAAAAAGAAAAATTAAATTACCATAAAAAAGTGTCTGCTCTTTAAAAAGTTTCAAATTGAGAATTTGTAGGTTAGGTTTTCGGGTTGCGTTGCGGTTGTCATGACAACTTATGCATTGGAGTGAGAGAGCATTACTGTAAAATTGAGACAAAAAACGAATCAAAAGTGTTGCGAGGCAACATTTAATAATAATATTAATATTAATAATAATAATATTTAAAAATATAAATTTTATATACCAATTTTCTTACATCTATAAAGAATCTAAAACTTTTTTGCTTATTAACTTTTTTGCTAATTTAAAAAAAAAGTTAAATCGTCAGAACGAAAGAAATTCATTTTTTTTTTTCTGGAAAATTTTCTTTTAATAATTGTGAGAAAAAGAAAGAAAGAAAGAAAGAAATATGATTTTTACAAACGATCTCATTATATTAAGTGCACAGCACTTTTAATTACAATTGCATACACATAAATTATTCCGCTAAAGCATGCGAGAAATATTTCAAAAGTTCATTTTTGGTTTGGAAAATTTATTATAAACGATACAACAAAACAATATGTATAAAGGTGCGTATGCAATAATTTACTAATCATCTATTTTTTTCTCTGTTTAATAAATTTTATGCGAAATAAAAGTAAAACGCCAACGATAATTATAGTGTTAAAGAAATTGCTCAATTTGAATTAAATAAAAAAAATCATTATATGAGGTAACAATTATATTTTAAATCTAGTAAATAATTTTTATTATTTTATTTTTTATTTTCATGATTAATTAAAATTCTAAAAACTGATAATTTTTCTTTTTGTATAAAAATTTTGTGTACAGATGAAAAATTTTCCAGGAATGCAAGAATAAAATTTGTTTTGTTTCTAATTGAAAAAAAAAGTTTTAATTTTTGCCTTGTTTCGTTACGCATGTGTGAAATTTGAAAAATTTTTCTCAGTGGAAAAATAATGAAACAGTGGGTTTTTAGTCTCGACGGGACTTGTCATTATTCTTCGCGTAAGTGTTGAATGTCTCGGGACATTTAAGAAATGTGGCTTCATGTGCAGTTAGAATGGACAAAGTCAAGGCAAATGTGGTTAAAAACGAAAAGAAATTTTCAGCTGACGTTTAGAGCCTCGTGGACCGTTACCGTACTTAGCAGAATTCCGACAAGATTAAACTAACTTTTTTTCTATTTTCATATTTATTTTTTTTATTTTTTTATTCTATTAAACTGAAAAATGGAAAAATTCATAAAAAATTAAAAAAAACAAAAAAAAAAGAAATAAAATAAAAAATAGAAAAAAATGGAAAATACAAAAATAAGCAAAAAGAAAAGAAAACAAAGAAGATAATGTTTCTTTTATAAAAGAAAACTATTTTTAATTCCTTTTTTTTTAATTTTTTTTTTTTTTTTTTTTTTTAATTTGCATCATTAACAAACTATTAAAGGGCATTACATCGAATAATTATAATAATAATTTTTTACATTAATAATGAGATTAATAAGATAATTTTGCTGAAATAAAAAATCTTTTTTATAACTTTCAATCGTTAATTTGTTATGACTTTGACAATTTTTATTTAATAAAAATAATTTTTTTGGAAATTTCGTTATAAAGTTCGATAGAGAAAAAACTTTTTCGACACAATATTAAATTTATAGATTTTATATTTTTAAATCTCTTTCTATTTTCTTCGCCTTTTTTTGGAAGGGGGTGGCTTTTTTATCATATTTAGAGACACGCCTCGAGGACCTGCTTGACGAGTCCTTCATTGTGGTTTCGAAGCTAAAGAAATTTGAAACGACTTTAGGGCTCGTCTGAAATATTAAATTAAAATATAGGGCAAAGACCAAACTCGCTCTAATATCAAAAAGTCAAAAATTTATTTTCATTTTTAAATTCGATAATTTAAAAATGAAAAGAAATTTTTTAAATCCTAAAAATAATTTTTAATATTCATAAACTGATAATACGTTTTCTTTTAAGTAGCAAAAAATTTTAAGTAAAAATAACTAAAAATAAAATTTAAACAGCAAAATTTATTTATTTTACCGAAATAAATGAACAAATTTGTTGGAAAAATATTGAACAAAAGTTTTACGACGTCAAACATGACGATTTTTCGAATTGTTACACTTGGAAAAATCGTCAGCTTATTTGACGTAAATTTCAGTTAAATACAAAAGCAAACAATTAAAAAAAAATAAAAAACTAATTTATTAAAATAAATCAAAATTATTTTTCTTTATTCTTTATAATTGTTATTTTCTTTATTTAACGGAACGGGTTATACCCGTTAAATAAATAAAATTAATAAAATTAAAAATAGAACTGAGAAAAGCATTTCTCCATATCAAGAAAGAAGAAACAGAACATTCGTTTTGAATTAAGAAAATTTTTTAAAAGGTTTTAAAATATCAGATGATAATAAAACACGAGGAATTTTCTTTTCAACTTTGAAGAGATTGTTTTTTTCTTCTTCATTTTTTTTCCTTCAATCTTTTTCCCTTTTCAAATTTTTTTGATAGGGGTCGAGATTTTTATCTAACGTGACAGCTGTTTTACATTTGACAAACAAAGAAAAGAAAAAAAACTAAAACTGTATCTATGGCAGGCTGTTTCAGAACTGGCTGTATTTTTTCATCTCAAAACTTTTAATCATTAAAATAATATTTTTATTATAATTATTTAAATTTATTTATTATTATTATTTTCAGACGACTGAATTTTATTATTATTATTATTGTTTAAACAAAATTTTGATTTCCTTATTTAACTATTTTTTATTATTATTTTTCATAATTATTATTTCCTACAATTAAGTATTATTGTCTTTTCAATTATTATTGTTATTTATTTATTTAATTAATATACTTGATAAATAAATGAATAAATAAAAAAAAATAACGATTACTATTACTATTATTATTTATTTATTTATTTATTTATTTATTTATTTATCTCTAATTTCAAAACAATTATTTTGTTTTACAATTATTTATCATTCTTATTATCAATGAATAATCAGTATTAATTAATATGACACAAAAAAAGTATTATTTTGTTAATTAATTTAAAATTCCTCCATTACCATTGTATACAATTGTCTTATTGTTAATATTATTATTACTATTCCTTTTCTTTTTACAATTCTAATTTATATACCTATAGACATTTTTTTTCTTTATCATTAAACTTTTAAATAAATTATGAACTTTTTTCCCTGTTTTTACAATTATCATCATAAATAATTATTTCATTTTAAAAAAAATCAAAGCAATCAATGAAACATTTTTATTTTCCATTAAAAATATTATATATATATCTGATAATTTATTGCTTCCAAGAAAAAGTTTACTTTTGCAACTTTCGTGGGAATTGATGTTATATATTCTGACCTCTTTATTATCTAATTTATTTTTTTATTTTTGTTTTTTTTTAATTTGTTTCTGAAAATTTCCTTTTTTCAAGAAACAAATTAATTCGGAATTTATTTTTCAAAAACGAATTAATTTTTTTATTTTTGTTTTTTTAAACTTATTTCTGAAAATTTCCTTTTTTTCATGAAACAAATTAATTCGGAATTTATTTTTCAAAATTGTCAATAAAAAACTTTACTAATAATTATAATAATAAATAACAATAACAATTAACAATTTTTATTCATTATTATTGTTATTACATATATAAAAAATATTATAATAATATTAATAAGAAAACAAAAAAGAAGAAAAGAGATAAAAGAGTAAAGAAGAAGGAAAAGATAGAAATAATGAAGAAGAAAGTAAAAAGAAAAAGAAAAAGAAGAAAAAAATTAAAAGAAAGAAGATCAAGAAGAAGAAGAGGAAAATAAAAAGAAGAAGAATATAAAAAGAAAAAAGATCAAATAGAAAGAAAAAGAAACAAGATCAAAAAGAAAAAAGAAAGAAGATCAAAAAGAAAATCAAAATGAAGAAGAAGAAGAAAATAAAAATAGAAGAGAAATATAAAAAGAAAAAAGAAAGAAGAAAAGAAAAAGAAAGAAGAAGATGAAGACTTAAGAAATTGATAATGATGATGATGATGTGAAAGAGGAGAGTAGGTAATAATAATAATGAAAATAATGACAATTAAAAAGTGATACTAATAAAGATGGTGTAAATAGTAAAAAGGGAAATAAAAAAATGTAAAAAATGAAAAAAATGAAAAAAATGAGAAAAATAAAAAAGAGGGGCCTCTACTAAGAGAAGAGGGCTGCTGGGGCCCCCGAAGAGAATTCTCCCTCCCGGCCGGGGTGGGGAAGTGGATATATAAGCCGGGCCCCATCGAATAAGACTCGACACTCGACCCAACCTTCATACCGAACATCTGCAACTCCTAAAAGTTCGAGCTTTTGTGAACGCACGCGCGCGAACTTCGACTGTTCACGCACTTGTCAATTTTTTTTATTTTAATTAAACAAAAAGTTTTTATTTTTCAAAAGGATCAAAAAATAAACAAAAAAAAATCACGAGTTTCCGTGCAATCTTCCAGTGAATCTTATCGTCACTTCACATTTCCAGAAAGAAAAAAGAAAACAGTGAGTACAAAATTCATAGGTACTAAAAATTTCTTCTCCAACAAAAAAATTCCGATTCAAAAATATTTTCAAAACGAAAAAGGGTCCAATTTTAATTTTTTTTTGTTTCTGTTTTAAAATTTGAGAAATTTCTTTTGTTTTCAAGTTTTTCACTTTTATTCTATACAAAATTGTTTGTAGTTTGTTACCTTTTTCCTAATCGGTAATTTTAATTTAAAAAAATATTCAAAATCAAAAGATAAAAATTGATTTCTGTGAATATTAATCGTATGTTGACTTTATAATCGATTTGAAAATATTGAAAGTAAATTAAATTCCTTGATTTCAAATGTCAGAACCTTGAGATTTTATCTAAAAAACGATTTCAATTTCGAATTTCGTAGTTTGCGGTTTTTTCTCAGATTAATTCCTAATAAATTTAATTTTCGAAAGTATATAAAAATAACATTTCTTTTTCGATAGTTTTTAATAAATTCACTCCAAGATTCAAAAAAGAAGAAAGAAAAAAATCAGTATTTAAATGAACAAAAGAAAAATGAAAATTGTGGAAAAAATTCAGTGGAAATAACAAAGTGATTTTTAAAAGAAGATAGAAATTATTATATGAAAAAATTAAATATCAATTTTTGTTTAGCAATAAATAATTTTAAACATTTCATTGTTAAAAACCAAATTAAACCCTCAAAATATAATTTTTTTTCACTACTTACGGATTTTTTACTTTTTTAATTTTTTTTATTTATACTTTTTTTAAAGACTATATTTGAAAATAATATTTATTTAAAAACTATTATTAATAAATTAAAATTTTTATTTTAAAAATAAATCAAAAAGCTATATTTTAAAAAGTGTTTTTTAAAATTTAGATAGAAAATATAGTTTTCAAAATATATTCTACAATTACATTTTCAAATTCAAAGTTTTTTTGAAACTATCAAATTGATACCAAAGTGAATCAAATTAATACCAAAAATTTGGCTCAATTTTTTATTTGAATCAAATTTTTGGCATCAATTCGGTGCAATTTGATACTTTCGAGTTAATATTGTTTTATTTTGAAAAAATATATTTTAAAATATAATTTAAAATTCAATTTTTAAAATACTTTTTAAATCATTTTAATATTTTGAAAAAATATAATTTAAAATTAACATTTTCAAAATACATTTATAATTATTTTAAATTATATTTTAAAATATTAAATTTTTAAAATTGTTTGATTAAAAAATATTTTTTAAAATATTTTTAAAAATATTTTTAAAAATATTTTTAAAAATATTGAAAAAAATTTTTTTTTTAATTTTTTAATTATAGAATTTTTTGTAAATAATTTGAAAGTACCTAAAAATATTTCTAGAAATTAAAAAAAGAATTGAATAAAACATTTAAAAAATTGTATAATTAAAAAAAATTGAATCCCTTATTTGCAAATTTTTTTTATAAGGAATTCCATATAGAAAGAAAAAAAAAGTAATAATAGTAAAGACGCAAATTACTCATTCGTCAATGTGTCGGTATTTACGCAATTTAAAAAGAGAATCTCGATTTTCTTCCACCTCGTCCTTCCCCTCTGGATTAAAGCTTCCCTTACCCTGCAGTCTTAATCCACTAATCAGTAATTAGCTCAATTCTAATTCAAGGTCACGTAAAATAACACTTTTTTTCCCATTTTTTTTTTTTTTTAAATCGCGCTCCATTATTCTGACGAGAGAAATATTCATATAAACAGTAATTATATTCATATCATTTCTCATTACTTCCCATAACAAAAAAAAAATTATTTTTCTGTTTTTAATTCATCAGATTTAAATTAACTAACAAATGTTGAAATAATTTTTTAACCTAATAATTATTAAAAATATTCAATCATTTTGTTTTTATGTACCAAAAATAATTTAACTATACTCACATGAATAAATCCAGAGTGTAAAAAAGTATAATAAAAATATTTATTGACTCACCTGTAACAGAAAAAAGAAGGAAAATTCTTCGTTAGTGTCAGAGAAAAGAAAAATTTGTTCAAGATTGATATTTTCAATCATTTTTCTTTTAAATTTAAATAATTTAAATAATTAAATTTTACGAATTGTTATTATTTCTACAAGCCTCTGATATTTCGACTTTTTTCGACTATTTTCAAATAATACGATTTTTATCGATTTATATTAAAAAAAAATTGCGACTTTTTCGACTTTTTTACAAATTTTGAGACAAAATACCATATTTTTTTATATAAAATGCAACTTATTTCGATTTTTATAGTGTAAAAAGCATAACTATAGACAAATCTTTGAAAATTTATTTTTGAATAAAAAAAAAAAAAAGACTTTGAATAATTGAAATTTTGTAAAAGTTAATAGAAAACAATTGTTTTTTTTTCAAGTATTTTGTTACAATTTCTGAAAATCAACTTTAAAAAAATTTTTTATTGAAAATTTTGGAAATAATTGAATTCTCAAAAATCTTAATGAATTCAATTATTTTCTAAAATTTTAATCAAAATTCAATAAGTAAATGTTTAATTTCAATTATTAACAAACACGATTATTTTACAAAACTTGAAAGAAATAAAATTGTTCATGAAATTCAATAATTTTTAAAATTTTTGAAGAAACTTCATTATTTAAAAAAAATTAAACAAATACTTGAAAATGAATTTAATTAGAATTCGCAAAAATTTTAACATAATTTATAATTCTTCACGAGAATTCAATTGTTTTCCTAAATAATTTTAATAAATTAGGACTCAGCTAAAACTTTGCCCAATTATAAATAAATAAATAAATTCTTGGAAGAAATTCTATTTTTTAAAAATATTATTTAACAATATTATTCTATTTATTTCTTATTATTAAAAAAATAATTTTAATTTGAAGTATTCTTAATATTTAAATTTTACTTATTTTGAATTTTGATAAATAATATTTGAACGTGATGCAAGAACCAGACGCAGTCCATTTGATTTCATTGGCCTATGTCTGGTTCTTGCACCAAGGGGTTCAATTGTGAATTAAATAAATTGAATTAAATTAAATGAATTACTAAATAATAAAAAATAAATACCAAATAAATATCTAATAACAGTTATAGTAAATTAATTCAAGAAACGAAGAACAAGAATATTTTTAACTGAAAATCAAGTGGAACGATCTTTATACTTTATTTTTTTTTGCTAAAATAAAATTCTTATTGTTTTTGTTAAAAAATTCGTATTTTTTGTTTTTTGTTTTTTGTTAAAAAAAAAATGGTTGAAAAAGAGACATATTCGAATGAATGTTTAAAAGCGCAAAACAGTTTGAAACTCAACCTTTCGAAAATATTTTCTTTCTAAAGCTGTGCGCTCTTATTATTTCCCTAATGGTCTTGATGAAGTAATAGGGGGACCCAACAACAATTTTTTTTCTCCTTTTTTTTCAATTAACCTTTATGTGTCGACAAACTACAAACACAAGTGGAAATTTCCATTTCAAATTGAATCTGAATTTTCTAAATTTTGTTCGCCCTATTTTTTCTGATGTTCTCTGGAGAGTTTCTCTTCTGAAAATTGTCGAGCAAAAGATGCAACAAACAACCTTCCTTTAAATGATAGGTACTCCCTATAATAAAAAATAAGCAGAAGAAATAAAATAACCGTTTGTGTGGGGGGAAGAAAAAGACGAGAAAAAGACGAGAAAAAGGTCACTTGTTTTAAAGTTTTGTAACGAGAGAGACCAATACAAGCAACAAGTGAAGAGAGTATTTCGAAAACGATTGTATTATGTATAAAATACACATTTAACGACACAACGATTCTCGAGGCCGCGCGCAGGAGGGAAAAGTCAACAATCAGAAATCCAATGTATATGAGTAATTACAACATTTAGTTTAGTCGATATCTTACATGTTAGTTGCCAGGGAGAGTTATTGATTCAACGTGACTTGTTGTTTCTCAAAGAAAATGCTAATACTCATCTCGAAAGAAACAACTCGAATGTCAACATTGTCAACATTGTCAACAACATCAACAATTCGTTTATACTTCTTCTCGGAAAAATAAAAGCCATCTTGCCATTTTATTAGTAACTACATACTCCATTGGTAACGGATGCGGCAAAAAGCGGAGAAAAAACGGTAACAATTATTATTTCGTAGTAAACGTAATAAGCTTTCAATATATTATTTACTTTGTTGCAATTTTTTCCTCTTTTTTGCCGCACATCTTTTGCAATGTAGTTATTTTACGATCAGAAGCGTCGTTTATTTTTTTATAAATATAATCGCCGACAATTGCACACACACACCATGCGCGCGATTATTGCCAAACATTCTTTCGGAAAAAGATTCGCAACCAGGAGAAAAACGATCCACTAAGCAAAACAAAAATTCGCGAAAAGAATTATTAAGAAAAGGGATAACAATTTACAAAAATCAACGAAAACAATGCAGTAAGAAACAGAGTTGAAATCAAACAGGGTTGTCACAAACATTTCATTTTGTTTCTCCAACTGTTCGGATTCAGTTGCCCACTCCTGGTTTTAATATAACTTTACTTTTCACATTAGTTTTTTTTAAAGTTTTGAATTACAATAAATATAAATGAAAACTTATCATCCCTATTACACACAAACTTTTTTCATTTTTTTTTCAATTTTATTTTATTCACCTATCGTGTTTGTCACTTTTTCACTTTTAATCTAATACTTCTGTACCTTTTGACTCTTGACATATGAACACAGAAAATGAAAATTTACGGACCATTTACGAACCAATTGTGGACCAATTACTTCAAAATTATTTTCATAATTTAAATTCAATTATTATTTTCTACAATTTTCAACTAAAATTCTTCTTTAAACAATTATTTTTAATAATTTTCGAAAAAGTTTCTTTTTAACAATTTTCCGAAATTTTCAAATCCATTTGTTTGCAATTCAATTGTACCAAAAATTTCAATTATTCGTAAATTCTTCAACTAAATATATATTAGAAAATAACTTCAAAAAAAATTTAAAAATAAATTCAATTAAACTTTTCGAAAAAAATTAATTTCACAAACAGTTAAAATTTAAATTTTCAAAGATTTTAATTTGAAACCTTTTCAGAATTCAATTATTTATAAAAAATTAAAAACTCATTCAAAAATTCCCTTACTATTCAATGATTATCTATAAATTTTAATTAATTTCAATTTTAACAGAAATTCATTTTAAAATCAACTTTTATCAGAAAATCCAACGAGAATTCAATTCCTACAAAAAATTCAATTACTTTTGGTAAATAATTTAATTCCTATGGAAAATTTTTAAATAATTTAATTCCTGCTAAATATTTTAATAATTTTTGAAAATAATTGAATTCCTGTGAAGATTTTAATTTTTTTTTAAATATTTGATTTTCTACAAAGAATTTTATTGTTTTTTTTTAAATAATTGAATTTCTGCGAAGGATTTTAATAAATTTTGAAAATAATTGAATTCCAGCGAAGAAAATTAAAATTTTTTTTAGAAAATTAGTTAAAATTCCATTCAAAGTAATTGATTTTTTATTAAAAAATATTATTATTATTAAAATTTTTTTAAAATAATTAAATTCATTTGAAAAATTTTATAAAAGTTGTATTGAAAATAATTTAATTTCATCGAAAAATGTGTTATTTATAAAAATAATTGAACTATATTGAAATAATTTGAAAAATTTTGAAAATAATTTTAGTAAAATAAATAATTATCTTTCAAAATTTAACTGAAATTCATTTTTAAATCAATTTTTGTTAGAAAATTCAACGAGAATTCAATTATTTAAATACAAAAATTAATAATTTATTGAATAATTGAATGTATTTCTTTAAAATGAATTCTCATAAGGAATTTTATCGACAATTGTCTTTTTATTGTCAATTGTCGAACTTTTTTTTTTTTTTAACTTTTTTTTTTTCAATTCTTTTGACGAAAGTCAATAAAATTTTTAAGACTTATTAATTGAATATTAGTTATATTAACAATATAATAATTGAAATTCTGCAAAGTGTTTTATTATTTATGGAAATAATTGAATCATTGCAAAAAATTTTATTAAAAAAAAATTTATTTTTTTTTTTTTATGAAAATAATGAAATTCTTGTGAAGAAATTTATAAAAAATTTGTAAATAATTGAATTCCTTGTGAAATTTTTATTATTTTATGAAAATAATTAAATGTTTGGGCAAAATTTTATTAAAATTTATTTAAATAATTTTTTTTTTTTTTTTTGAATATTTTTTTAAAATTTATTTAAATAATTGAATTTTTGCAAAAAATTTTACTATTTATAAAAATAATTGAATTTTTTCAAAGAATGTTATTATTTATGAAAATAAGAAATAAGAAAGAAAAAAAAAAGTTTAATCATCTAATAAAATGTAATGATTAATAAAAAATTATAATAACAAACAATAACAAGCAATAATGCTGCCTAGGGAATATTCTAATTCATTCTAAAACTGATTAGATCCTCAAAAAAAAAAATGTTCCATTACATTTCTTTGCGAATTTCTTGAAAATTATTCAAAAAAACACCAACAACTAGATATTTAGATATTTAAATAAATATTTAAGAAAGGAATGTTAGTGAAATATTTTCGAGTGCATTCGGTTCAATGTCATTGAATCCCTAGCTTTCTGTCATCCTATCAATCAATGCACAACAACTAACCCCACGAACACAAATCAGTCTCACTTCTTTTGACCCGTTGATTTCCTCTTTCTAAACTCATTGAGTTGACTCGATCGGACCACGTCTCATTCTGCATTCACACACACATTCACCCTCACACACACTCGCATCATTCAATCGCATTCTTTTTTCCTCCATTCCTCCTTATCATTAACTCTTAACTGAAAAATTACCAAGACAGAACTCGATTCACAATTGTAGAACAATTCTGTTCTACATTTCATCTCTCCACTTCTTCTCTTCTTCCATTATTCTTTCTCTACTTGTGCAGTGTTGCTAAAAGAACCTAACCTAAGAATTCTAACCTAACCTAACCTTACCTTACCTTACCTTACCTAAGAATCCTAACCGAAAACGTATCTAACGAAATAGGGAAAAAAACTAAAAGAAACTAAAGGAAACGTTGATGTTTTGCAGGTAGAGCATCATGGTGAAGTATATTCTAGCCCTGACGATATGCCTGGTGGCGGTGAAGACTGTGATGGTGATGCCAGTGGCCGACGAGGCGGCGAAAATCGAAGCCAAACCTGGCCAACAACCGGAGAAGATCGGCGCAACCCAAGTCGCAGAGAAAGTGGAGTCCGCTCCCCTGAAGGACGAACCCTCGGCCGTCGTTCCCCTGGCCGCCGACCAGCACGAAGCCCACCACCACAAGGAGCACGAGGGTCACAAGGACCACGAGGGCCACCACCACGCTCACGACTCTCACGCCTCTCATGACAGTCACGAGAGCCACGAGAGCCACGAGCACAAAGTGAGATCCACCGTCGCCGACAACTCCTCCGAGAGCAAGGAAAGCGACGAGTCCGCCGAGAGTGCCGAGAGCTCCGAGGAAAAGAAGAAGCCATCGTCCGAGCCCAAGAAGGACGAAAAGCCCATCTTGTCCGACGAGAAGAAGCCCGAAAACACCGAAGCCCCATCAAAAATCGTCGCCAGGTCCGAATCCGAAACACCAGCCGCAGCGGCAGCACAACCAGAATCCGCGCCATCGGCCCCCATCGCCGACTCACCCGCACCCAAGGAAGAAGAACCCAAGGCCCCACGCGGAGAGACCAAGACCGAGGAGAAGCCAGTGCAAATCGAGAAGCGCTCGGAGCAGACGAAGGTCGAGGAGAAGCCAGCGACAGTAGTGGCGGCCGTGGAGAAGGCGGCGGAGAAACCAGTGGCCGATGAGAAGGCGCCTTTGCCAGAGGACTCCAAGAAGCAGGAGGAGAAGATCCCAGAGAAGGAGGAAATCAAACGGGAGTCGCCCGCCGCACCACAGGAAGCCAAGCAGGGAGCACGTTCCGAGGAGCCTGCACCAGAGACCAAATCCGTACCATTCGAACCCGCCAAGATTGCCGAGCCCAGTAAGGTCGAACCAGAGCCCGCTAAAATCGCCGCTGAACCCGCCAAGATCCAAGAAGCTGCGCCGGCAATCACCAAAACTGCTCAAGCTGAAGTTACCGATGAAAAGGTAAATAGAAGATTTCGATAAAATCTGATAAAATTGCATGCTACTTGATCATCTGCTGATGCTAACTTATGTCCACTATCGCCATAGAACCTAATTCCGATAGTTGTTTTGATGCCAACGACCATTATCGTCAAAAATCGTCAAAAATGACAATTTTTGACCCTCTGTTGATGCTAACGACCATTATCGTCAAAAATCGTCATTTTTGACACTCTGTTGATGCTAACGACCATTATCGTCAAAAATCGTCTTTTTTGACCCTCTGTTGATGCTAACGACCATTATCGTCAAAAATCGTCATTTTTGACGATTTTTGACGATAATGGTCGTTAGCATCAACAGAGGGTTAAAACTTAACTGAGAGTTGGAACAATTGGGGCTTGGAACTATTCTTTCTGTTTGGAACTACTTTTTCATTTAGGATTACTTTTCTCTTTGGAACTACAAACTTTTCTATTTTGAATAATCCTTTCTGTTTGGAACTATTTTGTTCTGTTTGAAACTTTCTATTTAGAATCAATTTTCAAAAACAAATCTGTTAGAATAAAGCTGACTACCAATAAGCACAACTGCTCGAATCGTCAAGTAGCGGAAAGGCAATTTATTCGAAAGGTTGCCAAGTCCAAGTGTCAAAAACCAAAGGGGTCAAAGAGTTATAATTTTACCAAAGTCCAATTGTCCGAAGTGTTAAAAGATCGAGACCTCAATTATTGAAAAGATCAAGTAGTCGGAGGGTCATTTGACTAAAGTTCAATTAGTCGAAGCAAAATTCTTTTTGCTTTTTAAAAATCTTTTGAAAATGTTAATTACAATAAAGACTCCATTATCCGGACTAATAAGTGCAGACACCTATCCAGATAATCGAAAAGAGAGAATTTAATTATTTAAATACAAAAATAAATAATTGAATGAACAATTGATTATTTCTTGAAATTGAATTCTAACAAAGAATTGTATTAAAACTTTTATAAATAATTCAATTCCAGTGAAATTTTTATTAAATAATTAAATTCCTTTAGGAAATTTTATTAAAACAGATTCTGAATATAATTAAATTGAGAAAAATTTTTGAAAATTCTTTAAATTTGTTCAAGAATTTTAATAAAATTTTTGAAAATAATTTACTTTTCCAATAAAATTTTGCTATTTATAAAGATAATTGAATTTCTCGGAAGATTTTTGATATTCATCGAGGTAATTGAATTCTTTTGAAAAATTGCGTTAAAACTTTTGAAATATAATTAAAAATATTTTTAAAAAAAAATTCAACAAATTTCAAGAGAATTGAAATTAAAAATTTTCAAAAAAATTCAGAATATTGTTAATTAAAAGTGTGAAAAATTTACATTTTTCAAGATTTTAATTTGAAACCTTTTCAAAGCTCAATTATTTCTAAAAATCCAAGCTACAATTTTTTTAATATTCAATTATCTAAAATTTTAACTGAAAGTCATTTTTAAAACAACTTTTATTAAAAAATTTTACGAGAATTCAATTATTTAAATGCAAAAATAAATAATTTATTAAATAATTAAATGTTTCTGAAAATTGAATTCTTTTGACGAATTTTAATAAAAATTTTAAAAATAATAACATTTTTCAAGGAGTTTAATTAAAATTTTATTAAAAATAATTGAAATTCTGCGCTGAGTTTTAATATTTTTTATGAAAAAAATTTAAATTCTACGCTGAGTTTTATTATTTATGAAAATAATTGAATTTCTAAAAAGAATTTTATTTTTTGTTGAAAATAATTGAATTATTGCAAAGAAATTTATTAAAAAATTGTATAAATAATTGAATTTCTGTAAAATTTTTATTATTTATGAAAATAATTGAATATTTGCGTAGAATTTTATTAAAATTTTGTTTAAATAATTGAATTTCCATGAAAAATGTTATTTCAAAAATAGATATTGAAAATCATGGAAGTAAAGGGAATTTTTTGAAAATAATTGAAATTTTGTCAAGAATTTTATTAAAATTTTGGAAAATAATTGACTTTCTTAGAAGAATTTTATTAAAATTTTATTATTTTTTGAAAATAATTGAATTCTTTCAATTTTTTTGACGAATATATTTAAAAATTGCATTGAAAGTAATTTAATTTTCATATAGAATTTTTAAAAATGTTTCGAGAATTAATGGAATTATTTTTAGAGAATTTTAAATAATTCTTGTTGAAATTGAATTTTATGGAAATTTTTGAAAATAATTAAATTATTCTTTCGTGTAATTTTATTTAAAATTGGATTAAAAATAATTTAATTCCTGCAAAGAATTTTAGTATTTATAAAAAAAGTTGAATATTGTTTCGAAGAATTGATTAAAATTTTAGGAAATAATTGAATTTTATGGAAATATTTAAAAATATTTGAATTCTGGCGAGGAATTCAATTAAAATTCTTTTGAAAAAAATTGAATTTCTGTAAAGAATTTTACTATTTATAAAAATAATTGAATTATTACGAAGAATTTTACTATTTATAAAAAAATTGAATTGTTTCGAAAGGTTTATTTAGATTTTAGAAAATAATTGAATTTTTTAAAAATTTTTATTATTTACGAAAATCAAATGTTTGCGTAGAATTTAATTAAAATCTTCTTGAAATAATTGAATCCTTTTGGAAAATTTAATTGAAATACAGTAGTTATTAAAAAATCATCGAATTGAGGATAATTTTTGAAAGTATTTAAAGTTTTGACAAGAATTTTGTTAAAATTCAGCAAAGTACAGCTGGAGTCATCAAGCAACAATTAAAATTTAGAAAATATTAAATTCAAGGCTCCAGTACCTAGTTTAACCCTTCTGGATTATTCCTGGATTTGACATTTATTTAACCATTCGAAAAAAATGGTCTTTCCGCTACTTGACGATTCAAACGATTCGAACAAATGACGCTACGATTTCGGCGTTGGTTGAAAAAAGGCCGTTTCATAAATTTTCCTTTCTCGCCAAGTTGTACTGTATTTTTGAGAAAAGTAGTAAAAAACGAACTAAAAATGAAAATTTGCAGAGGGAACTCAAGACACTCGAGGAGTCCGCACCAGTAGTGCCAGCCCAGCCAGCAGTCGAGCCCCAAGAGAAGGCCAAGGAGCTCCCAGCGCCAAAGCCCAAGTCCGACGAGGCAAAGACCCAAGACGAGACCAAGCCCACCGAGGACAAGGAGCAGAAGGCCGAAGCTTTGCCAAAGCCCGAGGAAGTGAAGGAGGAGTCGACTTTCACCAGTCAGGACGCGAGTAGCAAGAGCAGCAGTCCCAGCGGCGGTACTAGTGATTAGTGATAAGAAAGAGCTCCTCTTAAGCGGCTTATTTCATTTACAAAATCGTATTTCACTCCCGATAAAAAGTATCTTATTAAGTGAGAATAAATGCGAGCAAGAGAGCAAGACAAATGCAAAATAAATGCAAAATAAATGCGAGCGACTGCGAGAGCGAGTGATGACAATTCCATTAAAAGTGTGAATACTACGTGCGTCTAGTTCGTTTCCATTATGTATTATGCAAGAGTAACTGAGCTTAATGAAAGAGAAAATGTGTGAGAAAAAAAGGAGAGAGAGAGACATTGGGAACTGTAATAAAAAAACAATAACCACCTTTAGCAAACAGTAAATTCATTCTCGTTACTAAAAGAAAATTATTTCAGTTTCTGACTGACGCCATCAACGGCGATTCAAAAGGAAAAGAGAAAATTCGGGTTTCTTAAGGGGGCGCGCAAGGACAAAGCAATCTCGATCCATTTTGCTGACCGGAGATGACAAAAAATATTCGACATTTTTTTTAGTCCCCTACAGAAGTTTTACTATCGACAAGAAAACTAATTTTTCACGCATCATTCTTTCTTTTTTTTACCTTTGTCCCAAAAAATCTGTCTATCCAATCACTCCCAACAACAAAAGAAAAGCGGTTCTTCCAAATTTTCCTAGCGATTAGTTTCTTTTTTTTCATTTTTTTTTATAGTTTATCGCCTATTACATATTTTACTCCTTTACCGCTAATTATTTGTTAGAACAAAAAAAAATTCATGTACCGCTATTTTAATCTATTATGATCTGTATTATTACTATCATTCATCGTTAAAATAATAATTATTGCCATTATAATCGCAGTGTTTTTTTCACCTTTCATCACCAATTATTTAAACTAATAACATTTATGCAGTAATTTATCATTTTTAGTATTTTTTACCCTTTTCAATGCTTCGAAAAATAATTTAAAATTTCAAAACAAAAATAGACAAAAGTTCAAAAATAGTAAATCATTTTATTTAATTTATAAAATCTTCAATCAACAAAAAATTCAATTCTGAGATTTTTAAAATTTTAGAATTATTTTCTTTCTAATTAATTTATTCCTAAAATATTTAAATAATAAAAACATAGATAAATTTATTTTTATACCAATTTCAAAATTTTTTTCATTAAATAAATATTGAAATCATAATTATAAATTATTTATTTAAAAAAAAAATAGTAAATTGAATTTCAAAATAAATTTTTTGTCTTTATTTCAACTATAGAAAAAATTCAATTCTAAGAGATTTTTAAAAGTTTAGAATTATTTTTTCGAATATTTTAATAATTAAAAAATCAGGTAAATTTATTCCAAAAACTATTTTTTAAAGTTTCCATCAATTAATTAAATTAATTATTTATTTTAAAAAAATTAGAAAAGTTTAATTTCAAAATTATTTTTCTTTTTTTTGTCTTTATTTCATTATTAAATATTCAAGCAAGAAAAAATCCAATTTTGAGATTTTTTAAATTTTAGAATAATTTTTTTGATTAATTCCTTGAATATTTAATTATTAATAAAACACTAGATAAATTAATTTTTAGACCTATTTTTAAAATGTTCTATTAATTAGATATTGAAATTATATTTATTAATTATTTATTTAAAAAAATATTAGAAAAGTTGGATTTCAAAATTATTCCATTATTTCTTGCCGTTATTTCATTATTAAATATTCAATCAACAAAAAATTCAATTTTAACAGATTTTTAAAATTTTAAAATTATTTTGTTATTAATTAATTTTCCGAATATTTTAATGAATAAAAAATCAGGTAAATTTATTTAAACAACTATTTTTTAAACTTTTATCAATTAGTTAAATATTGAAATCAAAATTATTCATTATTTTTTTTTATAAATAAGTAATGTTGAATTTCAAAATTATTTTATTTCTTTAACTTTATTTTATTAATTAAATATTCAATAAACAAAAAATTCAATTCTTAGAGATTTTTAAAAGTTTAGAAATATTTTTTTATTAATTAATTCTCCGAATGTTTTAAATAATAAAAAATTAGGTAAATTTATTTTTAGAACTATTTTTTAAACTTTCCATCAATTAATTAAATACTGAAATCAGAATTATCAATTATTTATTTAAAAAAATAAGAAAAGTTAAATTTCAAAATTATTTTATTTATTGTCATTATTTCATTATTAATATTCAATAAACAGAAAATTTCAATTTAATTAATTTTAAGAATTTTTGAAATACTTTTTTGTCCTCAGCTGGTTTTTTTCTTTTTTAACCAGTTAATAAAATATTTAATCAATAATAACTTTTAAATTTTATTTTAAATCTTTTGAAATAATTTATTATTTTTTACACAAAATTCAAAAAATATTTTATTATTAAGTATTAAGTTAATAAAAATTTAGATAATTATTAAATTTTTGACAGTTTAAAATTATTTATTATTATTAATATTATTAACATCTGATTTAATTAATTAAATATTCAATCGAAAAAACTATAAAATCGAATTTTCAATCGTTTAAAAAATTTTACTTTTTTTTGGCAAAAATTAAATTTTAATTTAAAAAAAATGGGCACTGCCCGTATATTTTTGAATAGGAAAAATTATTTCAATATAAATATAAACATTTAAAATATTCAAATTTCCATAAAGATGCCACGACTATTAATTTAATTTTCAAATTAAGTCCTTTAATTTTATTCCTGAGATTTTTATATCTAATTAAAAAGTTAAAATAACCTACAGCTGATTGAAAGGTGAGGAGATAATATCACGTGCGCAAATAAATGTGAGAACTGGAAGCGATAATAAACCTAACGAGACATGCAACGCATTTTAATTAGCATTTCCATGCATTGGTTTCATATTTCTAATTTTATATCTTGTTTGCAGTCAATTTTTCTATTTCAAAAAAAATAAATAAAAATAGAAAAGATAAAGAAGAAAACTGTATTAAAATTTTCATATATTTTTCTTAAAAATCTTTCTGTTCAATGATAAAAAAATATTATAAATATTAATTGAATTCTGATAACGAGACCCCGACATTTTAGGTAAAAAACTCCAACAGCCTCCGTGGCGCAATTGGCTAGCGCGTTCGGCTGTTAACCGAAAGGTTGGTGGTTCAAGCCCACCCGGGGGCGATTTTTTTCTCCAAATTCGAAATTTTTTTTTTTTGAAAACTTTTTGTTTTTCATAATTAAAACTTTATTTAACACTTAATTAATGTTAATTAAAGCTCTGTATAAAAATCGCATCGACTTTGACAGCCCCTTAAATAGAATAGAATTCATAGAAGTGAAGAAAGAAAACATTTATTGATTATTATTATTAAAATAATTATAGTGATATTATTTGTATTATTAACATTATTTGTTTTATTAACATTATTCGTTTTATTAACATTATTTGTCTTCTTAACATTATTTATCTTCTTAACATTATTTATCTTCTTAACATTATTTATCTTCTTAACATTATTCGTTTAATTGTTAACATTGTTAAAAAATATTATTATCAATATTCTTGTCAATATTTACAATAACGAAAAATATTGAAAAAGAATTTTGACGATCTAGTGAAGAGAAAAGAAAGAAATTGACGTGGAAGCAAAAAATAAAAAAATAATAACTTGACCCCGACGTGATTTGAACACGCAACCTTCTGATCTGGAGTCAGACGCGCTACCGTTGCGCCACGGAGTCGTATAACTTCGCTAGCTCCCAATGACAGTTATATATAATTACTTTCAGCAAAAGTTACACTCACTACAACTGCAACTCTCCACTCCCACTCTAAAATTCTAACTCTACCTACGACTTTGCAATTTTATTACTTTTAATCTAACGAGAATATTTCCTTTAACAAAAATAATTCAAAAAATAAATTTCAGTTAATTTTTGTTATTAATTAATAATTTTACTGTTAATATAAATATCAAATACTACTGTATTTATTCCTTGGTTGACTATAGTTAGCCCTGGAGCTTTTTAATTAAATAAATAAATAAATAAATTATTTCTATTTTATCCCCTTTTTCTCGACACTTTTGTTAATTTATCAAAAAATCAAACTCGTGAATACGAGTTTGAAAAGTGTCGAGAAAAGGGGATGAAATTGAATAAATAAAGAAATAAAATATTAAAGTAGAAAATTGTTAAATCTAAAGTAACAAAATTTAAATTATAAATAAAATCCTAAACCTTGACTCGGAGTGATCATTAACTACAATTTTTTTTAATTAAATTAAATTAGTGAATAATAAAGTACTCACCTCATTTAAAAGAAGAAAACAGGTCAAGACTCCAAGAGACCACCAGTCAACTTCGTGTCCGTAATATTCCCGTTTCAAAATTTCAGGAGCTGAATAGAAACAATTTCTTTTAATAAAATTCATAATTTAAAAAAAAGAAAAATCAATTTTAACAAGAAATGAAAAATGAATAAAGAAAATAGTGTAAATTAAATAATTACCCATGTATTCTAATGTCCCACAAAATGTTCCCGTACGATGAGTAGGACGCAGCCATTTAGACAAACCAAAATCAATTAGAATCGCGTGACCTTCATCATTTAAAAGAACATTCGTTGCTTTAATATCTCTATGAATTATGCCAGCATTGTGCAAGAAATCTGAAACAATAATTAGTAACACTAATAAATTGATGGTGTCGAGAAATTTGTTTCAATTAGGCAAACAAAAGAAAACATAATCTAATATTATAAGACTTTAATTAAATAACAGATTTCTTTGTTCTTTTAAATTAAATTTAAAAGAACAATTTTCGAAAAAAATTTCGAACAAATCAATTATTTAACCAAATTTTTATACAATTACAATAATTCAATTACTTTCACTATAATAATAATATTTTTCAAAAATTTTTGATAAAATTCTAAGCAAGAATTAAATTATTTTCACTAATAATAAATAAAATTAATTAATAAAAATAAAAATTAAATTAAATTAATAATAAAAAGAATTTCAATTATTTTTAATACTATTTTCAATTAATTAATCGAAAAATTCAATTATTTTCACAAATAAAATTATTCACAAGAATTTAATTATTTAAAATAAATTTATCATAAAATTCTTTGCAACTATTCAATTATTTACAAAAATCAATTATTTTAAATAAAATAATTGTAATTAAATTTTTTAAAAATAATTTAATTATTCTTCTAGATTTTAATAAAATCCTTCCCAAGAATTCAATTACTTACATAAATAATGCTTCGAAAGAATTCAATTATTTTTAAAAATAAAAAAATTTTTTCTTGGAAATTCAATTATTTTAAAAACTCTAATAAAATCGTTTGCAAGAATTCAATTATTTTCATAAATAAAAAAATGCTTTTTAGGAATTCAATTATTTTAAAAAAAAAAAATTGAATAAAATGCCACACAGACATTCAATTATTCTCAAAAATTTTAATAGAATTCTTTGTAAAGTTTAATTATCTTTAAAAACATTTCGCAATACAATGATTTTCAAATATCTACTATTTTCATAAAATTTCCAAACAGAATTCAATTATTTAAAATTTTATTGTAAAAATCTTCCAAAGAATTCAATTCTTTCGATGAATAATAAAAATTTTTTACTACGTTTTTTTCGTTTGAAAGCTAAGTTTTGAAAATTAATTACCGAGTGCGAAGTCTGTATTTAATTAAATTTTTCTACTTTAATCTTATTTTATTAAATTTAATTGAATCAATTTATTATTTTTGTAAAATAATGAATTATTTAAATTTTAAGTTAAATATTTTCCTAAAGTATTCGAAAATTCATTTGGAGTTAATTACCAATTGCGAGAGCGATTTCAGCGACGTATATTCGAACCACATTTTCTGGTAGGCAACCAAATTCTTCAACTAGCGAGAATAATTCCCCGCCACCGACGAAATCTGTCACTATAAGTGGAAAAAAAGGTCAAATTAATTATTACTATTATTAATTAATTTAAATAACTATTATTACTGTGCTGCAAAAATTTTTTTTGATTCAAATAATAGATTTCTAGTTAATAAAATAAATTACTTGAATCAAATCATTTTTATTCAAATAAAATATTTTACAATTATAAATTGGTTTGAACCAATAATTTCTGTATTTGGAGCAAATTTTATGATTCCAATCAAAATTATTTGATATAATTATTATTATAATTATTAATATTATAATTTATTATTTTTAATTATTTTCAACAATAGTTGAATTTGTCACTCAGTCAAGAATTATATAGGTGTAAAAAATCATTTTTTCTGATTTTTTTAAACCTATAAAAATTTTTTGATTTAAATAAAAATGATTTGATTCAAGTAAATATTTATTTGAAAATAGACAAGTAATCGGTTATTCGAATCAAATACATTTCTTCCTCAGTTTAATTAATTGAAACATAAAAATACTGATTCTAGTAAATAAAGAAGAGATTTTTTTGATAATAAATAAAAGAAGAAAATACTAACAAATATACAGTGTCTTTCGTCCCTGCCAATGATGAGAGGCCTTCACGATAAAAGGATGATGTCCGACTGCCCTTTGTATCGACACCTCTTGTTTAGCTTGATAAATAGCATTTTCAGCGACAATTTTCGCCTTACTTATTGCCTTCAATGCATAAATTTCGTCAACTTTGTTTTTCAATACTTTATAGACACGTCCATAGGCTCCATTCGAAATTATATCTAAAAATTTATATTCGTTTTTCAATGGCTCCTCGCGAACTGTGAATTCCGGTAGAAAAATTGCCTCAAATCGTGGAACGGGCCATGCTGTTTTCGATACATTAAATGGATCGTTTAACGTCCCCACACTCCAACTGTGAAAATCAAAATTCAAAATTTAGCGAAAAAACTCTTTCCTTGCTTCAAAAAGAAAGTAGATTTTAATTCTTTTATTTTCTTTTGCAGAATACTGCAATTATTTTGATGTAAATAAATAAATATAAGCCTATTAGATCACAAGAATAAAGAAGAAATCTTTTCTCTATTTTCTATGATATTATTATATTAATATTCTCTTTTATTTTATTATTCAATTCTTAAACGATAAAGTAAGCAACAAATAAAATACCAAAATAAAAAAAACAAATAAATAAAAAAGAAAAATATAAAATAACAATTTTAAATTAACCTTGTGGAAAATTTTCAATTTGTTACGCAACGTTACCTTCTTCTGGAAATTCGAGACCAAGGTCGATAAGGCTCGCAATCATATTCCGGCGTTCCAATACATCGTCCTCCCAAAATATCATTAAGACTGAACTGAAAAAGGAAATTAAAAAAAATTGTTCAGAAGAAGAAAAACCAACCGAATTAAAACAATTTAGTTTTTTCCAGAATTCAACCAACCTGGCTTGCATATTGTCCTCTCGAATAATGTTTCTTTTTAATACTCGTATTGGAATTTCCCATTCGGTTTCTTATGTACCTGTAAAATAAAAATATAGAAATAAAATAGAATAAATAAATAAATAAAATAAAAATGAGAAAAACTACTAAACTCCATAAGAGGAAATAATTCGTTTTAAGAAAAAGTGATAAATTAAATACTGTAAATAATCTAAAGAAAAGTGTAAATAATGTATTTGCACTATTATTATTTATAGTATTATTACCATTACTGTTATTATTATTATTGTTAATTATATTATTATCATTGTTGTTAATTATATTGTTATCGTTGTAATTATTTGAATACTGTGAATAAGAATGTAAATAACAATGAAAATAAAAGAATTTGTTCACAATTATTGTACATTTATAGGTTATGTTCGCCAAAATGAAAATTATTATACAAAATATTCATAAAACGATTTGAACAATAATTTACCAAAAAAAAGAAAGCAAACGAACCGAAACTATTATGAAATTAGTCACTTCATAACTTCTAATTTCCGACTATTACTCGAGCATGACTTACTTTATTTTTCTCCTAAAATTTCAAAAAGTTCACTTTTTTCTCCTACTTTTCATTTAAAGTAAAAAAATACTAATATCAAATTATCAACTAATGACTTAGTTTTGCTTTCTAGTTTGTAAAAAACTAAATAAATATTTAAAACTTTAATAATAACACACAACCGTCAACAATATAAAAAATACACTAAAGTGACGGACGTCAAATTCACATGTTTTCGACACTTACTTGATCGATAAGAAAAATTATCAAAATTTCTACTTTATCGTAGGTTCTTACTACTTATTCTACTTTATCAATATATATTTATTTACAAATTCTCCCAAAAATCAAATCGATCGAATATCAAATTCGAATTTCAAAACATCGAATGCTCATTTCATCGAATTTTTAAAACACAACACGTGTTCGTTTGACAGATTCTTTGTAAACAGCAAAACTTTTTTACCTACAAACTCTCTCCGAACCGCGTGACACAAACTCAAATTTACTTTTTGGCCACCAACTTAAATTCAATTGTAAAGTCAAAAAAGTAATTTTAAAAATCCAAGTAAATCAAGTAAATCGAAATAATTAAAATTTAATTGAATTTGAATACTATTTGTTGCTACTATTATTTATTTACTAATTAGAATTAAAAATAGTGTAAATTGAATCATTTTCGGTTTTTCATTCTTTTTTGATATTTTTAAATTGATTTTACAAGAAAAGACAGTAATGATAATAATTGGAATAACTATATGATATTAATTTACTTATTATTATTAAATATTGTAAAGATATTGAAAAGTTCTCTTACTGTTAAAGAAAGCCTTTAAATACTCTAATTGATAAAATAAATTAAAGAATTAAAATCAGAAAACTAAAAATAGAACCGTACTTTATTTACACCTGGACACAACCTGGAATACCGACTCCCGATTGTCTTTTCCGTAGCTTGCATAGTGGCGCCAACAGAAGGAAGAATTGAAAATGAAAAGGTAACTACGAACAACCGAACACGTTCGATTAGTAACTAGTAAGCCAAAGTCACCTGTAGTGTGAGTGTCAAATATTTGACGTTCTGCGTCAAAAATAAAAATAAAAATCAAAAATGTAAAAATTTTTTTTCACTCCTTTCTTTTTAAATATTCTCCAAACATTGGGGGGTTTTTTTCCCTGTGAAACATTCTCCGATGACTTATTGTGCCGAGTTATTTTTTTTATCGACATCTTTTTTTCAAATGCAAATACAAAATATATTTGATACTGAAAAAAGTTCGAGTCGTCGCTCTCAAGACACGTATGCAAAAAAAAAATGATGGAATTGCACTTGTAATGTTTCTCGATATACACAAATGAGACAAAAAACAATATACACGCAATTTCCGAGTACACGAGGGACAATATAATCGTATATTTTTCCTTGACATGTCTATGAAGGTAATTATCTTCGACAATTGTTAATCTCGTGTTTTTCATTGTTGACATCATTTTTCAAACTAACTGTCCCAATCATCTCTAATAGATTGTGCGGAAAAAAATTGTGTATTTAGAAACTGTATAATTTCCATTTATGAACGATTAAAAAACATTTATTACACTTTTTTTATATATGAAAACGTATGTTAATTTCAAAAAATATCTTTTTGAAAAAGGATTAATTTTCTAAATCTAAATTTTTATTTAATCAAATCTAATTTTGATTCAATACACAAAATCGAATGATTTTGATTTTATCAATATTACGAAATGGTTAGAATTTTATCACAATTTTTTACATCTTTTGGTAAAATATGACTTTTTTTACTAATAATTGAGTTAAATTATTTATTACTAAAAATTAAAATTAAAAAATAAGAAAATTATAATTATAATATCGCTAAAGTTCTGAAAGTTTAAATGAACGAAATTAATTTATTTCTTCTTGAAATTATAATATTGCAATATTGCCTCGTACGTATTAAAAATTTAATAATAAAGATTCTAAATATTTAATTTTGCTATTTATAACAATAAGCAATTTTTGAAAATATATTGGCAAAAGATTTCGTTCATTTGAACATGATTTGAACGTTTAGAATTTGTGGATATTTATAATAATTTAAAACTAATATAAATAAATAATTTAATATTAATAAGAAAAGTTAAAAATGAATTCAATTGATAATAAATAAAATACAATTTACTAAAGAAAAGTGTAAAAAAGCACTTATTGTCATTTATTAAAATCTAAAAATGATAAAATTTTTGGTCGAAAATTGACTTTCGCTAATTTTATGAAATCTTGTTTTATGATAGAAGTATTTAAAGGTATCAAATAATAGGTAAAATTTGATTTCAAAGTTCAACTGATTTTAGCGATTTTTATCTATTAATAACGAGAAAGTGGAATTATTGTATCAAAAACAAAAAAGTGACAATTTTCCATAAATTCCAAATTTAAAATTCATATTTTAAAGAAATGATAGAAATTCAGAAAAAATTCTTTTTATTTCCTACTCTAGTTCAATTAAGAAAATTAAAAGAACGAGTGAAATTATTCATCATCAAATATTAATACCATTTTTTTGGATTTTACTACAGGAATCAAGTTTAATTTATTTTTATTACTATAAAAATAAAGTTTATTTGAATTATTTTTATAAATAAAACCGAGTTTAACGATTATTATTTTTATTCATCATTGCGGTCTTGGACGATTGGATCTGAAATTTGTAATTAATTAATTAATTTTGCTATTTTCAAGGACATTAATTTTTGTCAAATACTGTTTGTTAATTGTGGCATTAGGTCATTAATTAATTAATGAATTAATGTTTTCGAATACTTACTTTTGAATTTATTATATAACATAGAAAGAGTCCCCGTGGGATGTGGAGTTGCATTTGACAGCAGCTCGTGGTGACGCAGAACGTCTTCAGCTTCTTCTTGACTCTGGACGCGTTCACGTTGACTGCAAGGACAAGGTCAGTAGCCTCGATATCACTTTTGAAAATGACACTTCTATAAATATTATGCAGCATTCCACTGAGTACCTACCTACAAGTAGAGAAAGCAAATCAACATCTATTTTTTATTTCCAATTAAATTCTAAATATATAAATAGTTATCAATAAAAATTGAAGAAGTACAAAAAAATAGAAAAATAAAATTAAAAAGAAAAGAATAATTATAAAATAAAAACACAAACGAGTAAAAAATTGAAAAAAATAAAAAATAAGAAAAGTTTATAAAGTTCAGAAAAAGAATTAAAATCGGATTATAAATAAATTAAAGGACGGCACAACTCCATTGATGTTGTCGGCTGCCGGTGGTCATTTTGCCAGTGTTGCGGAATTATTGCAGCAGGGAGCCGATCCTAATGCAAAGAGACTGGTAAGTTTTGCCTCTTAAAAATTTTCCTTTTTCTATTATATTCTATTATATTACAAATGTAATATTTATTCTTTTTATTATTATACAATTATTACGACTCCACAAATTATCGAAAATTCCCAAAAAGAAAAACGAATCTTTTCAAAAATTACCGCCAAAAATAAAAACCTACATTACGCGCAGGCGCAAAATCCGCCATGTTGACATTGTTAAATGCCGCACATTTCCAGGAATTATTGGCAATGAAAATTACCACCGCGGGCTCGGTGTCGCTAGTGTTTTACACCAAAAATGGACGAAATGGGTGTACAAATTTAAAAAAATATAAACTTAAATTGTGACTTTTCGGTTTTAATTTTAAGTAGTTTTTCAATAAAAAGATAAATAATGAACAACAATCTTAACAAATATTTCTTAAACATTAGAATACTTTAAATATTAACATTTTTTTCAACCTTGTACACCCACAGCAGCCATTTTTTTTAGTTCACTTTATGGTCACTATGTGTCGCATTGCAATTTTAAATCCCCAATTCCGTCCGAGAAAAAATATATTTCAAAATAACTAATTTCATCACTACTGGAATATTACCAATTACGGAAGTAATTATTCAATAATATTCAATTTCCGATTGCGCTCAATAGAATCAGTTGGTAAGCATTATATTTTTCTCGCACTACTTAAAAAAGTATCTGATTTTTAGGTTATGTATTTACGCTTTGAGAGTTTGAGACGATCAAAAGTCAAAACTGAATATTTGTTTTTAGAAAACTATTTTTTTTAGTTTCTGGAAGTAAGAATGTAAAAAAAAGTATGTTTTATTCAGAGACAAGTATTTTTATCAATTATCAAGTAACTTCGATTCCTTTGGATTAATTATACTAAAGATGAAAATTTTTACTATTATTTCCAAACACTTTTTCGATTCTTTTTCTAAAGGCGAACGGCGATCATCCTGAAAGCGAAAATAAACTAACCTTTTAATGTCCTTACGGTGTACACTTACTTTACGTTACTGTCGTTCTAATAAAATTCTTTTCTTCCTTCTTCATATTTCTGTTTAAATAATCTTTCGTTTAATGACAATTGACTATTTATTGAACTTTCTTTATGAAGAATCAAACACTAAATGGTAATTATGGTAAAATTTCGGTTAAAGTCGCGTATGCACTGAAGTTGTCTACAAACTAAGCAGGGTTGCCAAGTGCCAAATTACCAGGGATGGGTAAAAGTGTTTTTTTCGGAGTTTTCTACGTATAATACATAAATGACGTATAATACGTAGAAAATTGTAGAAAACCTGGTATTATACATGTCCAGTTCTGCGCATGCGTACAAACCTCACAATAATAATAAAAATCATATGTTTGATTATTTTTTATTTGTTTCCTGGTTTTCATTACTAAATTGTTGCTAAAAATACCAAGAAAAAACCAAAAAAGGTTACATATAAGGTAAGTTTACAAAAAAATGCGTATAATATATATTTATTGATTTTTCATATGGTTTTTTACACACATTTTTTCATAACTTGTATTATATATTTATATAGAACAATTTTAAAAAGACACGTTAATTTATTATTTATTTGAAAATAAACGGGTTTCAAATAAACTTTTTCATACAAAAGTACTAAATTATTATTATAGCTGTATTTTGCAATGTTTTGTTGCAAATAGGACACAGGCAGGGCAACATTTTTCCCTTTATTATTTTTGGGAATAAAACACAATTCCTCCCAGGAATTGTGTTTCGGCCTTCCACCTCTTTTGTTAATTTTTTTTTATTTTAAAAAAAGCAATATTGTACAACAATCACTGACACATGGCCTGGCACATGGAGATGTATAACCTATAAATGGGTCTGGCGGCAGCAGACAACCTGACCTGACCACGAACAGTTAGAACTTTGTTTGTGTGCTATTTCTTTAAAACATAAATTTTAAAAAAACTTTTCAATGTTAATTAATAAATTTTTAAATTGAAATTATGTTTAAAATTTATTTAATATACTATTAAAATCACATGTTTCTTGTCTAAAATTTAAAAATCCCGCGCGTCACGCAATGTATGTAAAATACATGACATACGTAGAAAACTAAAGATGTATAATACCACGTATTATACGTGTAGAAAACCAGGTATAATACATCATGTATAATACGTACCCATCCCTGCAAATTACGGATCTGATTACAGGGTTGGGTAGTCTCAAAATTGTCGAAATTGTAAAATTACCATAAAATTTTCTTAATTGTTTTACTTGTTTTATTATCTTTTTTAGCTTTATTAGTCAACTCTTTTTATATAAAAATAATATTTATAAACAGTTTTGAAAAGTAAGTGTACACCTTTCACAAAAGAAAAATCCAAAAAAAGCTATTATTCTTTTATTAAAGCAAAAAAGAAAAATGACGTCAACGGAAAGAACAAGAATTGTTTTGGATTCGGAGACAAAAAAGTGCATGACACTGGCACTATTTAATAATGTAAAAAATACCGAAGAAATGAGAAATTCTTTAATAACGGGAAAAATAGAATGCTGCCTTTTGAAACCATCGTTGATTATTGATGAATTACAAATAGCAGTTGCAGCAAATAAAGCAGTGTGTTCCGCAATGTTCAATGAATTAGTGACAAAAACAGTATTTATGGAGACACTATACAATCTGTCAATGACAAAAAGCATTTCAAAGGCACTCAAATGTTTTGGAAGTGAGAACAGTGATACGGCAATTTTAGCCGTTTTTATTCACGACGAAAATAGTGAGGAGTCGGTGGTGATGGAAGATTTTTTAAAACTTATTCAAGGCGATGAAATTTCAATATCAAGACTTGCCGGTGAATTTTCCAATGTTGGGGAAATTAGAAAAATTTATAAAATTAACGATAATGAGTTGCAATTGTCGTCTCTTGCTAATTTAATTTCGACTAGAATCAGTGTCAGGGATTTTGCCAATTTCTGATTTTTTGTAAAAAACGAGGTAAAAAAAAAAGTATAACTAATACATTTTTAATAATAAATTCTTCTAATTATACTAAATATAATTAATACAATTCATAATATTAATAGAACTATTATTAATTATTTCAATTAATTAATTAACTATTAATGAAATAGTAATAATTATAACAATGGACCAACAAAACTGTAACACAAAAACTTCTTACTTTTAAATAAATAGAAATTCTAAAATACTTTTTTCGCTTTTCTTTTGAAAAAGATTCACTAACTTTAACTATTTGTTCCTTCAATTTTTCAAAAAATAATTTTCCAAATTTAAATATTTCTTTAATTAACTTTTTTTATAAAGAAATTAAAGTTTAGAAATTTTTTTCAATTTGGTTCTTCTCTAATTTATTTACAGATAAATTTTTGAAAATAAGTTGAGAGAAATAAAAGAAAATACTTTCAATTAAAAAAATTCAAATTTTTTTTCAATTGAATATTAAAAAAAATACTTTGAAAAAAAAATAAATAGGTACGATGAAATATTAAAAATATTAAAATCCTCTCTCATTTCGTTAACGATTAATTTTTGAAAATAAATTGAAAGAAATAAAAAAAAATACTTTCAAATATTGAAAATTAAAAAAAAAAATAGTTTGAAATGAAAAAGTAAAAAAATACAATGAAATATTGAAAAGTGAAAAAAAATGATTAAAATAGTTAATAATGAAGAAAAAGAAAAATTGCAGGCAAGATTAGACGAGTGAAAGTACATTCAATTTCCTTTAAGTTTATCCCCTTCGATCTTTTTTTTCATATAAATTGCAGCATAAAATGTCAGCGAAAGGTCAAACAAAATGAGAAATATTTTCAGTGAATTAGAAGAAAAATTATTTCATTGCTTTATAAATTTGAAAAATAAAAATATAAAATAAATAACAAAATAATAATAATAGAATTCTTTCGAAGAATTTTATTATTTAGGAAAATAATTGAATTCTCGCGAAGAATTTTGTTAAAATTTTTGAAAATTCTAATTAAATTCTTTTTGAAGAATTTCTTTGAATTCTTTTTTAAATAATGGAGTTTCTTTAATAATTTTAATTAAAAATTTTGTAAATAATTGAAATCCTCAGAAGAATTTTGTTATTTAAGAAAATAATTGAAATCTTTAAAAGAATTTTACTTTTTATAAAGATAATTGAGTTTTTAGGAAGAATTTTCTTAAAATTTCAAAAAATAATTGAATTTTTTTGAAAAATGTTATAACGAATTAAGAAAAATAATTGAATTCTTTTCTGAAATTTTTTTGAAAATAATTGAATGTTTGCAAAGATTTTATAACGAATTAAGAAAAAAATGGAATTTTTTCGTGAAATTTTGTTGAAAATAATTTAATTTTTGCAAAGATTTTACTATTTAAAGAAATAATTGAATTGTTTTAAAAAGGATTTATTAAAATTTTAGAAAATAATTGTATTCGTTCATGAAATATTATTAAAATTTTGTTTAAAAATAATTGAATTTTTGCAAAAAATTTTACTATTTTTAAAAATAATTGAATTCCTATTAAGAATATTATTATTTATGAAAATAATTGAATTCTTGCGTGGATTTTATTAAAATTTTTGAAATTAATAAACAAGATTAATTAATTAGTGCGTTAATTAATAATTGGATTTTTTAAAAGTTTGAATCGCGTAACATTTGTTATTTTTCTTTTTACTAATTTTTCACTGAAAAAAATTTGTTCAATTTCTTTAGATACTAAAAAAAAGAAAAAAAAATCTATTGAATTTCTAATAATTGGTTCAATTATAAAATAAATAAAAATATTGTTTTTTTAAATAAAAGAAATTTGTAAAAATCTTGATCTCTAACCTTTTCGTTTTTCCTTTGGCAATTGAATAGCGAATAGTTTTCTCTTTATTGAAATAAATCTCGATGGCATCTAGGTGTATCTATTTTCGTTGTTGGCAAGTGATTCTTAGGGTCAGGAGCGTGTGGCGTTTGTGTTCGGGAATCAGGTGAAGGCCAATTGTATTTTAATCTGTTAAAAAGGAAGCGAAAATTCAATGGAACCGAATTAATTCACGATTAAAAAAAAAAGAAGAAGCAGAAAAAGAGGGAATTTAAATTAATTAACCAAGAGACAGGAAGTTCCGCTTTAAATAAATCTGCAAAAAATAATGAAAAAAAACTCTCAACAATAACAATTAAATTTTCAAATTCAATAAAACAATAAGTAATTATTTAAATAATTAATAAAACTTTTTTAGCAAAAAATAAATAATGAAAAAAAACTTAATAATAAAAATTACATTTCAAATTAAATACAACAATAAGTAATTATTTAAATAATTAAAAAATTTTTTTTAGCAAAAAATAAATATAATAATAAATATGAGAAAAAATTAGGAATAATAATAAATAACAATAATAAAAACATAATAATAATAAAAGTAGAAATAATAATAATACATATTTAATAGTAAACAGGAAATAAATGTAAAATTAATATTTGCAATAAATATCGAATAAAAATAAATAAAGAGAAAAAAATGATTTCATCGCCTGAAAGTTGGAAATATTAGTAATTTATCGGCTAATTTTAGTACAGAAAGTGACTTCCTCCTTCTTCGCGAAATCGCGAGAGTGAGATTCATATTCTTACGAGGATTGGATTAAAGACCGGTTGTCGACTTTGTTACAACATCAATAGGTGATTGCCCCTTTCGACGACGACGACGAAGCCGCCGCGTTTAAAGTTCCTTACACAACATTCTTTCACGTCTCTAGAAATGTTTAATTAAATTACTCAAAAATTTAATAATTACGATAATTGTGGAAAAATTACTAATTTACTTACTGCTGCTAATTTTCCTTCTTCTTTTTCTTCTTTTTTTTCTATGAGAGAAAGAAGATAAACGAACATTTCTTTCGTATACAGGAATAAAATTAATAATATAATATATATATAATAATCGCGTTCGTTAATAATTGAAATTAAGCATTTAATTATTGAATTTTATTAAAATTTTCAAAAAGAATTGAATTCTTTTGAAAACCTTGATATCGAATTAGGAAAAAAAATGAATTCTTTCGTGAAATTTATTTGAAATTAATTGAATGTTTGCAAAAAATTTTACTTTTTACAAATATAATTGAATTTTTGCAAAGAATTTTACGATTTAATATATAAATATATTTAGTTTTATTTGTATAACAAATAAATTGCAGAACAATTTATTTTCTCCGTCACCCACGATTTTCTTCTTTATAAACTTATAAAGCTAAAAGTAATAATAATTACATTATTAATTATTAACTAGTGATAATTAAATATTAAAGAAAACAATAAAAAAAAGTCACAAAATTTTAATCAAAGTCGTAAAAACTCTTTGTATAAAACAAATTAACATGTTTACACGTATAAAAATAATTATTTAACTTATATTGTAAAATTATTATTAAACCATTATTATGAAAATAATTAAAAATTTTTAAATAGAAAATTAAGAAATTTTTTTTCAATTTGTCTAGACTGGAACAAACGCCCTATTTTTTGCGTCCCAAGGGGGCTTTGTGGACATTGCGACACTTCTCCTAGATTACGGAGCTATTGTCGATTCTAGCAGTATCGTGAGTAGAAAATATATTTACATTCGTTTCGATACAGTCGAACCTGGTTAAGAGAGATTCTTTTTTTATTTTTTCCAAAAAAATAAGTTTTTGAATTTTTAATTTAATAATCAGGAAAAAATTTTTGTCCAAATAAATTTTATTTATTTTTGAACAAATTTTTTTATTTTTTTCACATAGATTTTTTATTTAATTATAAAATTTTTGTTAGCATTGTCTATTCGTACATTGAGTACGAAATATAAAAAGAAGTAAATATTTTTAATATTTTTAATATTTTACTTTTTTTTCTTTCTTTAATGTCGCATTTAACAAAGTTCGACTATATAGCAGCGAATAGTCATTTACACATTGAAAACTGTAAAAGAACGTGTAAATAATTATTTTGAAAAAAACAATTATCAAGGACGGAGGAACATCATTATTCGTCGCCTGTCAATATGGACATTTAAAAGTTGTCGAAACTCTCATCGATCGAGGTGCCAACGTCAATGCACACATGAAAGTAAGAATTCGAACATTTATCACATTTTTATCTATTTTTTAAAACGTAAACCATGTGAGACCGTTTTTTTTTGTAAAAAACGAATATTATCAACGAAATTCTTTTCTCCTAAAAAAATAAAAATTAAAGAAAAAAGAATTTTGAATTATTTTACAAATTGTCGATTAACGAAAATTCGATTTTCACATTTTTGTTTTTGGTCATTGAGACCATTTTTAAAAAATCGATCTCACATATTATTGATTACTATTTTAATTCAAAATTTAATTCGAAATTTCAAACAAAATTAAATTCGGAATTTAATTTTAAATTGAATTTGGAATTTAATTCAAAATTGTATTTGGAACTAAATTCAAAACCGAATTTGGAATTTAATTCAATATTGAATTCGAAATTTAAATCGAAATTTAAATCGAAATTGAATTCGAAATTGAATTAAAAATCGAATTAAAAATTGCAATTAAAATTTGTTTCGTAAGTAAAGTTATAATTTTTAACTAGAATAAAATTTTCTGGATCTATTCGAAATTTTGTTTTTTGAAAATTCAAAGACATCTTCCGATTTCCTTTAAAAATGCTCTCTGAAAATCGTTGTTTTGCCTCTTTTTCCAGGATGGCGCAACTGCTTTGTTTATAGCGTCACAAAACGGGCACGTCCACATTTTAAATTTACTTTTGGAGCATGGTGCAAAAATGGATGCCACACGAACCGATGGTGCTACACCATTGTGGATCGCTGCTCAAATGGGCCACGATCACGTTGTCAAAAGACTTCTGAAAGCTGGAGCAAAAGTAGATGCCACACGACACGTGAGTTTTTTTTAGACACAAGAATATTTTTACTTTTCAAAAAAGAAAAAAAAAGAAATAAAAAAATAGAAAAAAAGCACAAAAAGAGAAAGAGTAAAGAAAGTGAAAAGAGTAAAAATAGTAAAACAAATAAATAAAAAAGACAGAACAAAAAATTAAAAATATAATTAATAAAATAATAAAAAAGAACTCTTGAATTTGTTTTTGATTTCTGTGAAAATGTTTCTAGGATGGCGCGACACCACTTTTCAAAGCCGCCCACAAAGGTCACACGGCTGTTATTGGTGAACTTTTGAAATATCGACCATCACTCGGCATTCTTCCAGTGAGTATCAAAATAAATAGATAATTTTTTAAGTAGATAAAATTAAATACTAGCAAAAAAGCAAAATTAAATTAGAAAGAAAAGCAAATATTAACAGGGTTGCCACACAAATTTAATTCCTGTGAAGATTTTATTAATTTTTAAAAATATTTGAATTTCTGCGAAGGATTTCAATAAATTTTGAAAATAATTGAATTTCATCGAAGAATTTCATTAAAAGCTTTGAATTTAATTTAATTCTTATAAAGAATTTTATTAATATTTGAAACTAATAATTGAATTCCTGTGAAGAATTTTATTAATTTTTAAAAACAATTGAAATTCTGCGATGAGTCTTATTATTTATGGAAATAATTGAATTCCTGTGAAGAATTTTATTATTTATGAAAATAATTGAATTATTGCGATGAAATTTATAAACAATTTGCAAATAATCGAATTTCTGTTAAATTTTTATTATTTATTTATTTTGGAAAATTTGATTAAAATAGTAGATATTTAAAATCATTGAATTGAAGAAAATTTCCGAAAATAATTTCCTTATGAATTCTAAAAATTGAATTTTTTCCAGTTCTTTTAATAAAAATTCGTGAATTCGTTTTCCCTGAATTTACTGACCTGTGGCAACCCTGTACAATTTTTCTCTCTTACCTTTAAATTGTAATTTGTAATTTCCAAATTTCTTTTGTTTTTAGAATGGCGAAAGTGCATTGCACGCGGCGGCATTGACGGGACACATGACAGTGGCGAGACAACTCGTTGGAGCCGGTGCCGATCCTCTGCTAATGAATCAAGAAGGCCTCACACCTCTTCAGTTTGCCATTCGACACTCTCAGCATCAGGTCGCCAATTATCTGAAAGAAAAAGTTCGTCAGAGGACATCGACACGCTAATATTTTCAACAAGAAAAAAATGAAAGAAAAAAAATGAAGGCACTAATCCTTCTAAACTATTGAAGAAAACAAGTATTTTCAAGATGCCAAGAAAAAAGAAAATTTGCCTGTGCAATTTATATTGTAAATAATCTCCCTAGAAATCTCCCCTAGAAAATTTAGAAATTGTTACTGATAAATCAATTCTATTGAAAACATTTCCATAATCTGCGGGAGAAAATGAGAATAATCGATTGAAAGAAAGTAAGAAACTAGTTAGTCTCTTTAGAATTAATATATTGAAAAAATAACTCTACAAATTAATATATTTACCAATTTCAATTACGAATGAATATCTAATAATTAATATATTCAGAGACAAAGTCCAAATTTAATATTTATTTAGAAAATAATTGGAAGATGGAAAAAATTGTAATTTTTAATTTATTCGAAAATTGCAACTTTTAATTTATTTGCAAAATTCGTATATTTTTTTTAATTGAATTTTTTTTATTCGAATTAATCGTGAAAACCAAAGTAGTCTGAAGAAAAATAATTCAGTATTTAATCAGTGAATTTTGATAGAAACGTGTGCAATGAATTAGCATCGAATTTTGAAAATATTTTGTTGGAGAAAACAAAATTCAAAGGAGTGAAAAATAATTATTTAAAAAAAATAATTATTCGAAAAAGTAATTATTTTTAAAAAAATAATTATTTAAAAAAGTAATAATTTTAAAAAATTATTTAGAAAAATAATTATTCTATTTAAAAAAAATAATTATTTAAAAAAGTAGATAATTATTTAAAAATATTATTTAGAAAAATAATTATTCTATTTAAAAAATATATATAAAATTCTACAAGACTGGCCGAATTGCCTTTAAAAAAATCAAGCGAAAGAATATAAATTTAGAATTGAAAAAGAAACAATTAGAAAAAAGTAGAAATAAAACGTCCCTTAAAATCTAAGAAAAAAGTTATTTAATAACTAAGTCATTTCTTCTTGTATCTAAAAATATTTATACAACAAAAATAACTCCCCAGTATTTATAAATTGGAAAAAAGAAAATTTTACGTACTTATTTACGAAAAAAAATTGTTTTTATTATCTAGTGGCGAAATTACATTTAAAAAAAAGTAGGGAATTCTTTATAAAAATAGTTTTTTTGAACAAAAAAATAAAAAATAGTATTTAAAATAAAAAATAGTTTTTCTTAATTTTCAATAAAAAACTGTTTAGGAAAATAGTTTTAAAAAAAATTCAAACAGTTTTTTTCCTTAAAAAGAAAAGTTAAAAAAATTGTTTTTCTTCGAATAAAAATAAAGGGATAAAAATCGTAAAGAAAAAGAAAGAAAAATATTTGCTTTAAATAGAAAAAAAAACTATTTTACAAAGAAAAATATTTGTTTAAAAAACTATTTAAGTAGTTATTGAGTCTTCCTCTCATGTATGCGAAATATTTGTTACATCGTTAAACAAAGAATATATTATACAATTTAAATTTATATTGTAAATTACTATTTAGTAGGAAAAAATCACATATTAAATTTTATACTGTTATTTATTTCTCCAAAAAGCAATAAAAGAATATTAAATAAAATTTCAATTCTCATACTTTATTCTCTTAACAAAAAAAAATTAAATAAATTTCAATTCTCATAGCAAAAAAAAAAAATTAGCAACAAAGAAAAATGTCAATAAATAATAATTTTTTGCCCGCGGTAAAAATACATACAATATATTCCTTTTTCCTTTTTAAATAACAATCTGTACTTTGTATTCATAGCATTTTTCTTCTTGTCTATTTAATATGCAAGTCATTTTTCGTTTAATAAGTAATCGTGAAGTGTGTCACACGGTATTGTGAATTTTTTTCCGTTTTTTTAAATGAAAACGCACCTTAAAATAAAGTTTAAAGAAGGGTCGATGACTAAACTGATAAAAGAAAAGAAATTATCAACCATCATCAACTGTTAACTGATAAGTGTGATAACGAGTTGGAAGAAGTTCAGTTTGTCACCGAACAACGATGATTCGTGACCGAATGCCCGACTTGCAAATAGTTAGTGATTTTTTCTGTCAAGAATAAAATTCAATTCTTATTATTATTTAATTATAATATTTTATTATCACTTTTTCAAATTATTATTCTATTACTTTTCTTACTATTACTTTATCATCATTTCTCTCATTAAAATAATAATAGTAATCATTGAAAAATAAATCAATTTTGAAATTCGTGAATATTTCCGGAAAAAATAAATCATAAATAAATGTTATTTATTTATCAACGGGTTTCAAGGCCTGAAAATAATTATTATTATTAATATTTTTGAGAGATTGATGAAAAAAAATATGATTAAATTCAAAATAATTAAAGTCAAGGACAAAAAAAATGAAAGAAAAATGAGAAAAATCACTAAAATGAAAATAATAAAAAATTGAAATAAATAGAATTAAAAAATTAAATTTCCTTCTAAAAATTAAAAAAATTATATTATTATCTACAAATAATAATAAATATAAATAAATTTTGTTTAGCAACAAAGGAACAATAATTTTCTAAACAGAAGCAATTCATTTTTGCAAGATGTACAAATTCAGATTCGACAAGACAAAAAACTCAATCAGGTTCTTGAAGATGTAAGTATCGTAATTTTTTTAATTACTTAATTTTTTTGTTTGCTTAATTTTTTTTTACTTTATTTTTCTCTTTTTCTTTAATTGAAAAAATTTCTATTTCTCTTTTAGTCTGAGGAAATTCGTAATATGATACAACTTTTGGCTGATAATATCGTGAAAGTAAAGGAAATGCAAAATAATGTACTCACACACACGAATAGAGGTAATTGAACACAAGAATAATTTAATGCAAATTTAATTAACTAATATTAAAAATATTTCCGACTAACAAATAAAATTACTTTGAAAAAATATTTCGGCTAATTAAAAAATTGCAGGATTTCAAATGGAATTGGAGAATCGAATTTTTACCATTTCCCAAACATCGAAACGAATTCAAAGAAAACTTGTAGGTAAGTTTTTTATTTATTTTAAATTCCTTTTTCGTTATAAAAATTTCCCCTACAAGAATTGAATTTTGAAATTAAATTAAATTAAATTAAATCAAAATTAAACTAAAAATAGAATTTTTATTTGTTCTAAAAATTTTGTCTTTTTTAATATATAGTTGTTTTACAAATTAAAGATATTTTTCAAAATACTGTAACGTATTTCATTTTGTAATTTTAAAGTACAAATATATTTTTTAAAATACTTTAACGTTTTTCATTTTGTAATTTTAATTTAAAAATATTTAAACAAGAATTTATAAAAATATTGAAATTTTTCTCGTTTAGAATAAAAATAAAAATTGAATTTTTCGATTCAAATTTACAGACTTCGCACTTGATAATTAATTTTAAAACAGTAGCAAAAAGTAGCTTTTAAACTAAAAAAAAGTAGTAAAATAGTAAAAATTGAATTTTTAAAAATAATTGAAATTTGGTAAAGAATAAAAAAATAATTAAATTTAGTGAAATATTTTAAAGATACCTAATTTAAATTTGGTAAGATTTTTAAAATTTTTATATGGTATTTTATTAATTTTTTTTGAAAATAATTGAATTCCTTAAAAGCATTTTAAAATTTATGAAAATAATTGAATTTTTGGGAACGAATTTATTAGAATTTTTTAAAATATAATTTAATTTTCAAGAAGAAATTTATTACTTTTAAAAATAATTGAATTCTTCATTCTTGTGATGAATATTGTTATTTATGAAGATATTTGAATTTTGCAAAGAATTTTATTAAAATGCCTCAAAATAATTGAATTTTCGGGAATAATTTTGTTATTTACCTTTAATAATTGAATTCTTTCGAAGAATTATTTCCACGTAAATAATTGAATTCTTGGGAAGAATTTTATTAAAATCTAAAAAATTTGAATTATTTCAAAACAATTTAATTAAAATTGTATTTAAAAATAATTGAGTTTTTTCGATCAATTTTATTAAAATTGAATTCCTGTGAAAAATTCTAATATTTTTAAAAATAATTAAATTCTTGCAAAAAATTTAAAGAAAACATTTTTTTAAATAAAAAAATAAATATTTAAATTCAATTATTTTTGGTAAATAATTTAATCCCTGTGTAGATTTTTATGAAAAGTTTTTAAATAATTGAATTCCTGTGAAGATTTTACTAATTTTTAAAAATAATTGAATTGCTGCGAAAAAATTTATTGTTTTTTTTTAAAATAATTGAATTTCTGCGAAAGATTTACATAAATTCTAAAAATAATTGAATTCCAGTGAAGAATTTCATTAAAAGTTTTATATATAATTTAATTCTTACGAAGAATTTTATTAATATTTAAAACTAATTGAATTCCTGTAAAGAATTTTATTATTTTTTGCAAATAATTTAATTTCTGCGAAGAAAATAAAAATTTTTTTTAGGAAATCAATTAAAATTGTATTCAAAGTATTAATTTGAGAAATTTTATAAAAAATGTATGGAAAATAGTTGAATTACATTGTTTTAAATAATGAATTTTTTCGAAATATAATAAATATTTATGAAAATTATATTTAAAACAATTGAATTCTTGTGGAAAATTTTATTTGTGAAAATAATTGAATTTTGCGATTAATTAATTTAAAATAGTTTTAAAAATAATTGAAATTCTTCGATGAGTTTTATTATTTATGAAAAGAAGTGAATTCTTGCTTAGAATTTTATCAAAATTTTTTGAAAATAATTGAATCGTTTTAAAGAATTCGATTATAATTTTTAATTAAATATATTTTTCAAAATATTTTAACGTTTTTAATTTTGTAATTTCCAATTCAATATAAATTTAACCAGAAATTTACAAAAATATTAAAATGTTTCTAAAATAAATTTTTCACGTTTAGAATAAAAATAAAAATTGAATTTTTCGCTTCAACGTTGAAAAAAGTAGAAAAATATTTCCTTTTTAAGGAAAATAATTTTATAAATGTGTAATTACTTGCGTGAACTTGGTCCAGGCTCTGGGGAATGAATCGAATTATCACTTATGGAGATTTTTGATCCCATTGCACTCTGATAAGTTAAAGTTGAAAGTCTCCTCAAAACAATTTTAGGGTTTCGACACAAAAGATTTTTTATTTTCTCCTTCCGTCTCTCAATATTCGCACCGCCAGATTTTCTCTCCTCTCCCTTTTCTTTATCTTTCTCCCTCCCTCCTTCTTCTTGTTCATCATCTTCCTCCTCATTCTCATCATCATTACAATTTTGCCCCTTTTTCCCATATTTTCTCGAATCAATTTCAATATCCTTATCCAAATTCGGATACTCATTGTAAATATTACTCAACTGCTCTCGATTATATTCGGAAATTATTTTCAAAAAGAATTTCGTCACATCTGCCAAAAGTGACGATTTAATTTGCGCTAATTTTTTCTTCAACTTTATTATGATAGGCAGCAGGACTTCCAATTTATGCCTCTTTATGCCGTCAATAATTTCGTGTATCGCTTTTGCATTCGTTAAATTCGCCACATTTCCCGTCTCCTCCTGTGAATCGTCGTCAAATTGTTTATTTGAAACTTGCAATTGTTCATTGCTCAGCAAATAGAGAACGTCGCGTAGCATACAGATTTCCGGCTCCAATTTAATATCGAGAACATTGTCACAAATTCGGCCGAGAATTTCACTCGTTATTTTGCAAATTAGTTTCAATTTTCCCGGTGGATCGAGATGTTCGAGCAAAAAATCGTAAATTATTCGTCGTCTTGCCTCGTTCTCTCTGCCCGGCAGTGTCAAAGTCTTTTTCTCATTTTCCCTCATTGTTTGAATTGCGAATTTGTTTATTGCCTGAAAAGGAAAATGGAAATGATTTTTTAAATTCAATTTTCGAAAATAAAATTAAAGTGAAAAGTGATTTTTTAAATTCAATTATCGATATTTGACGATTTATAATTGATAATTTGTCTTATGAATTTCAAGAAATACAAAATTCTACATTATTTTTTAATAATAGTAAATTCAGGCCTCGGATCAACTTTAAGGTGAAAAAAAAGTTGCTTTAGTCGATTAAAATTCCAAAAAGAATTCGAAAAAGTCGTTCATTTAATTCATTGTTATCACAAAAAAATTTATTTTCTATATCCCTGATTTCTAAAATATTCGAAACTTGAATAATTTTGTTAAATAAATATTTAAATACTTCTTATTTATTTTTCCACGGGACATGAAATTTTAAAAAATTTCAATTCAAAACCTTTTGGGATTGAATAATTTCTAAAAATTACAACTATAACTCTTCCAAACTTCAATTATTTTCTACAATTTTTAACTAAACTTTAACTATAAATCAATTGCATATTTTTGAAAAATTTCAGAAAATTCTTCGAGAAATCAATTATTTAAATACAAAAATTCAATTTTTTACAATAATTGTAACTGTAACTGTTCTTTTTTACAAAAGTTATTAAGGTATAATATTTTCTAAAAATTAGAATAAAGAAATTATAAAAATTAATTTTTTTAAAATATTTTAAAATAATTTCTGAAAGATAATAGTTTTTCAGTTATAATTATGCAATTAAAACATTTCCAAATAATTGAAATTTAGTAAATTCTTTTTAAAATAATTGAAATTTTGTAAAATCTTTAGAAAATAATTAAAATTCAATAAAAGGTTTTAAAAAATAATTGAAATTCGATAGAAGCTATTAAAAAAATAATTGAAATTTGATAAAAACTTTTAAAAAATAATTTAAATTTAATAGAATCTTTTAAAAAATAATTGAAGTTTGACAAAATATTTTTAAAATAATTGAAATTTGGTAAAATCTTTTTTAAATAATTAAAATTTGATAAAATCCTTAAAAATAATTGAAATTCGATAAAATCTTTTTAAAATAATTGAAATTTGATAAAAACTTTTTAAAATAATTGAAATTTGATAAAATCTTTAAGAAATAATTGGAATTCGATAAAATATTTGTAAAATAATTGAAATTCGATGAAATTTAGAAAAAAAATAATTGAAATTTGATAAAACTTTCAAAAAATAAATGTAATTGGATAGAAGCTTTTAAAAAATAAATGAAGTTTGATAAAATCTTTCAAAAATAATTGAAATTCGATGAAATTTTTTTAAAAAATAATTGAAATTTGTTAAAATCTGTTGAAAATAATTGAAATTTGGTAAAATCTTTTTAAAATAATTAAATTTTGATAAAATTTAAAAAAAAATAATTGAAATTCGATAAAAGCTATTAAAAAAAATTGAAATTTGATAAAATCTTTTTTTAAAAAATTGAAGTTTAATAAAAAATAGAAAATCGAAATAAGTTGCATTTTGTACTAAAAATGTGGCATTTTTTAAATCTTTGGAAAAAAGTCGGATTAGTCGTAATTTTTTAAAATAAGTTGGAAAAAATTGCCCTTTTTCAATAGTCGAATTAATAATTTTAATTGAAAATTAAAATTGCATTAAAAACAGTTGAATTCCTAAGAAGAATTTTATTATTTATAAAAATAATTGAATTCTTTCAATTTTTTTTGACGAATACATTTAAAAATTGCATTGAAAAAGTAATTTAATTTTCATATAGAATTTTTTAAAAAATATTTGAGAATAATTGAATTATTTTTGGAGAATTTTAAATTCTTGTTGAAATTGAATTTTATGAACATTTTTGAAAATAATTAAATTCTTTCGTGTAATTTTATTTAAATCGTATTAAAAATAACTTAATTCCTGTAAAGAATTTCTGTATTTATAAAAATAATTGAATTGTTTCGAAGAATTTATTAAAATTTTAGGAAATAATTGAATTTTATGGAAATATTTAAAAATATTTGAATTCTTCCAAGGAATTCAATTGAAATTGTTTTGAAAATAATTCAATTCCTGCAAAGAATTTTAATATTTATAAAAATAATTTAATTCTTTCGAAGAATTTTACTATTTATAAAAATAATTGAATTGTTTCGAAGAATTTATTAAAATTTTAGAAAATAATTGAATTCTTTCGTGATATTTTATTAAAATTAGTTAAAAATAATTGAAATTTTGCAAAAAAATTTGCTATTTATAAAAGTAATTGAATTTTATGGAAATATTTAAAAATATTTTAATTCTTCCAAGAAATTCAATTGAAATTGTTTAGAAAATAATTGAATTCCTGCAAAGAGTTTTTTTTATTTATAAAAATAATTGAATTCTTTCGAAAAATTTTACTATTTGTAAAAATAATTGAATTGTTTAGAAGGATTTATTAAAATTTTAGAAAATAATTAAATTCTTTCGTGAAATTTTTTTAAAATTAGTTAAAAATAATTGAAATTTTGCAGAAAATTTTGTTATTATAAAAATAATTGAATTCTTCCGAAGAATGTTATTATTTAAAAATAAAAATAATTGAATTTTTGTGAAGAATTAAATTAAAATTTTTGAAAATATAATTATAATAATTAATTTTGTACCTAATAATTAATTTTTTTAAATTTTGCTTATGAAATTATTTAAAAATTTATATTTGAAAATAAAAAATTTTGTAATTTAGCTTAATTGTAAAACAATTGTTTTAATTTTAATTTAATAATAAATTGAATACCACGTTCCGCGCGCTAGCGTTAAAGGACCCCGCACAAAAAGTGCAGAATTTGGTTCGCGGTCAAATTTGTTTTGTATTTTAGATTTATGTTTGTGTTAAAGTAATTTGGAACAAATATAACCAATAAATATTAACAAATTTTACTGGGAACCAATTTATGTACTTTTTGTGCGTCGTCCTTTGCTAGTAATAATAATAATGTAGTAAATAAGAATAATAATTTAATAGTAAATTAATATCTTAGTAGATTAAAACTAAATTAAAAAAATTTTAAAATCAACTTTACCTGACAATTATTATAGTGAAAAATACTCTTAATAAACTGCTGTGAGACGAGTGTTTTATTCTTCGACAATAAACGTTCCTTGATCAGAAACATCGTCAATTCCCGTATAGTCTCATCATCATCAGTCAACATCGTTAAAATATGAAAGAAGAACGGTCCCTTAATCTTGATAAAATCCTCCAGCAGTAATTGAATAAATATCACAACAATCACTTCCCTAACTCTGGGATTCTCGTCCTTCATGCTGACGCACATGTCCGGCAAGTAGGACTCAACCAGCGCCGTGTACTGAATACAAAGATCCGCCAACGTCTTCGCCGAATTGATCTTATTCGCCGCCTCACTCTCCTTCCTCGTCTCAATCGTCTTCGACATCAATTTCCCGAAAATCGGCATCGTCTCCTCGGCGATTTCCCGATCTCGCATCGACAGCTGTCCCAGTAGCGCAATCGCCGTCGCCTGTAACTCTTTCCTCGTTTGCAGAATTCGAGGAATACTCTGCCACTCGAGAAGGAGGCCCTGAAGTGTTCGGACAGTAGACCTGGATATTTTGACCGAAGATAAAAATGCCGCGTGTCCCAGTGTCGACATCGCCTTCACGTAGAGTAATTCAGCCTCGAGAGCCTCTTCCTTATCGTCGCCGAACAATTTTTCGATTTCGTTCTCACAGAGTTTTATTAGATTCACCATTTTAGCGTCGATTTCAACTTGTAATTTTTTGGCGATCCCGATTAGGAGGTCGAAACAAATGCTTATTAACGCGATGTTGATTTCGAATCTCCCCAAAGCTTTGAGGAGAAAATCAAAAAATTCTCGTAGAAAAACTTGAGTCATTCCCGGCCATGAATTTCTCAGCACTTCGAGTTTTAGTCTCGAACAAAAGTCGTCGTATTGAAGAATTAAATTAAAATCGCTGAAGTAGAGGTCCATCTTCGGTAGCTGAATATTCTCGGACAAAGACGAAAGTAACGCCCAGGCGGATAAATTATTTTTCGTCCCAATGTGACTCTTAATACAACCAATTAATCCACTGGTCACCAAATCGGATTTTTTCCACAATTCGCAAATTTTTGACAAATTTTTCCTCATCTTCTCCTTTATCACCCGACTGATGATTAGCCAGGGAAGATTCGATGAATTTGTCACCACATCTTCGGTGTAGTTCGTTATTTTTTTCAGTAGCAAACTCTCGAGTGCTTCGAGTACTTTCTCCTGGACTTTGGGTTCAATGTCGTAGACCTGGGGCAAAATGAAATGGATCCAGTGATCGATTAGTGGGGTCAGTTCGACGTTCTCGAGAAGAATGTGAGTGAGGACTTGAATCGCGTGACTGCGAACAATTAAAGTTGGATCCCGACAACGAGTGCCGATTATAAGGAATATTTCCTCGACACTGTCCGGATGTAGGTTTGTGACATTGCGGAAAATTTGGAGTGCACTACGTCGCACTAGGGCTCTTTCGTCCTCCAGACGATCCATCAGCATTGGATAAATTTTATCCATCGTCGGTAAGGGATTGTCATCGGTGAAAATTGCACTCGACAGTTGATTGACAGTCGGAGGGAAATTGTCGTTTTCACTTCTTGACTCGTCGAATATTTCCTTGAATATCGTTCTATTCGGAGTGTCCATGTCGATACAGTTTGAAATTATCGCCATTGCTCGACCTCGTACCTAGAAAAAATAAAATTTATTTAGTAAACAAAAATAAACAAAAGCTGTCACAAAAATAAAAATATTTTCCCTGATTTCCAAACTTTTTCCTGACTGATTTTGATTTTTTCCCCAACTCTAAAAAATATTCTGCAGTTCACTCGAAAAATTACTAGATACTAAAAAAAATGTTCCACTACATTTATTTACGAATTTCTTCAATTGTCAAATTATTCGAAAACATCAATAACTTCTTTTTTAAATCAATATTTTATAATTATTTTTCTGATACTGTAACTTCTTTGAAATTATTTTCATCATTTCAATTCAATTATTATTTTCTAGAATTTTTAACTAAAATTCTACTTTAAATCAATTATTTATAATAATTTTTGAAAAAATTTTTTGACTATTTTCAAATCCATTTCTTTACAATTCAATTTCACAAAAATTTTCGATTATTCGTAAATTTTTCAATTAAATATAATTAGAGTATAGAAATAATTCATATTTTCAAAAATTTAAATTGTATTGACGAATTTTAATAAAAATATTTGAGATTACAGTAGAACCTCGATTATCCGAGGTAATGTGGGGAAGAGGTGCCTCGGATAATCGAAAACTCGGATAACACGGAACAAATGAAAATTTCATAATTTAAAATTATTTTCCATGTGTTTAAAGTGTTAGAATAATATTAAACGACAAAAATTAACGAAATTTTAAATGCAATGATCACAAATAGTAGTTTTGTAAAATTTTTTTTCCAAATTTAGTCGCTCGATTCGTTTTATCCGAGTTATTCGGCATTAACCGAGCATGTTTAGTGCCTCGGATAATCCGGAATCTCGGATAATCGAGGCTCGGATAACCAAGGTTCTACTGTAATTGCTTTTTTCGAAGAATTTAATTGAAATTCTATTAAAAATAATTGAAATTCTGCGATGAGTTTTATTATTTTTGAAAATAATTGAAATTTTGACAAGAATTATAAAAAAAATTTTGAAAATAATTGAAGTCCAGTGAAAAATTTTATTATTTGTGAAAATAATTGAATTCATGAGAAGAAATTTATTAAAATTTTTTTAAATAATTGAATTTCTGCGAAAAATTATATTAATTTTGAAAATAATTGAATTTTGCAAAGAATTCTTTTAAAATTTCTAAAAATAATTGAATTTTTCGGAAGAATTTTGTTATTTATCAAAATAATTGAATTCTTTTGATGTATTTTAATTGAATTTTTAAGAATAATTACATTTTTCAAGGAATTCAATTGAAATCAAAGATAATTGAAATTTTTCGATGAGTTTTATTATTTATAAAAATAATTGAAATTTTGACAAGAATTTTAACAAAATATTTGAAAATAATTGAATTTTGACGAAGAATTTTATTAATTTTTTAAAATAATTCTATTATATTTAAATGATTTGAGAGATTATTAAAGTTTTGAGTATAATTTTAGTTTAAAAATCTAGAAAATTAAATAAGAATTTTTCTAAAAATCCGGAAAAAATTCGAATTTTAATAAAATTTTTAAGAATTTTTTTCATTTTTCGAACATTTTTCAAGGAATTTGATTAAAATTGTATTAAAAATAATTGAAATTCTTCAATGAGTTTTATTATTTATGAAAATAATTGTATTTGGTTTTTTTTTAAATTTATGCAAATTCTATTTCTAATAATTGAATTCCTGTGAAATTTTTATTATTTTAGAAAATAATTGAATATTTGTGTAGAACTTTGTCGAAATTGTTTTTAAATAATTGAATTCTTTTGTAAAATTTTATTAATACAGTAGAATATGGAAAATCATTGAATAAAGAAATTTTTTGAAAATAATTGAAATTTTGCAATGAATTTTTATAAACTTTTAAAAATAATTGAATTTTACAAAAATTTCTGAATATAATTGAATTTTGTCGAAGAATTTTACTTTTTATAAAGATAATTAAAATGTTGACGAGAATTTAAAAAAAAAAATGTTGGAAAATAATTGAATTTCTGTAAAGAATTTAAAATTTGAATATTTATTAAAATAGTTGAATTCTTACCAAACTTGATGAATCGATGCAACGCCCCAATGTCGCCGTGATAAGAATTCGTTTCACTTTTCCCCGCTCGGCATCATTTTGATCAACAATACATTTCGAAATAATTTCCATAGCGAATATTCGACACATAACTTTATTATGAAACGAGAATAAAATCAAATTCTCAATAATCTTCAAATAGAGATTATCAAACGTAATATTTATCAATTTAGCAACAACATTCGCCTGTTTCTGTCTCGCCTCCAAACGTTCCGGACAATTAATCATCAATTGCTGCGTAAGAATCAAAATCCCATTCTCAGCCTCGTTTCTCTTCGAAATGAGTAGATTTTTCAAGAAATTAATTATCGTCTCCTGCATTATTACCAGTGACTTTTGCTGCAATTCCGTGTACGACGAGAGGAGAATCGGTAGAAAATATTTAGCAACGAGTTGTATTGTTAAGTCAACAGCTCCATGATTTGGATCGCACAATTCTTGTAGAGCAATATAGGCATTGTAGGACAATGTCGAGAGTGTTGCGTCTTTTTTTATTTTCTTCGGCGTTTGGAAAGGATTGACACTCGTTTCAAGTTTTAAGCAATCGATCAGCGATTGAATGGTGATATTCAACGTGTCCGGTTTGTCCTTCATGTAAAAAGTCCTCATCATTGTTATTAAATCAAACATTATACAATTTAATGATTTTGTCAAAGTCACTTGCTCCGAGTGTGCGAGACTTTCCACAGTTTCCTCTTCGTTTTCGTACAATTCTTCGAATTCGGGGGTTTTATTCACTTTTTTAGGAGGTGGTGCCAGTAGATTTACCAGTTTAAAAGATTCTATTGCTCTGAAACAAAAAAAATGTATTAATTTCACAAGATTAGATTCTATATTTTTTTAGTTCATTAAAAATTTAATTGTTTCTGAAATTAATTGAAATCTTGATTAGAATTTTATTCACAGTTTTTCAAATAATTGAATCCTTGCGAAAACATTTATTATTATTACAAATAATTGAATTTTTGCAAAATTTAAAAAAATAATTGAATTTTTGTAAAATTTAAAACAATAATTAAATTTTTGCAAAATTTTAAAAATAATTGAATTCTTGAGAATTTTATTAAACATTTTTTAATATAATTGAACTCCTTTGAAAAATTCAATTATTTTTTTAAATAATTGAATTTTCTCGGAGAATTTTTATAAGATTTTTAAAATTAATTGAAATTTTCGAAGAAATCAATTAAAATTGTATTGAAAATATGTGAAATCCTCATAAGAATTTTATTGTTTATATAAAAATATATAAAAATAATTAAATTTTTTTAGGAAGATTTTTATTATTTATAAATTGATTTTTTGCAAATAATTTTCTTACAATTATTGAAAATAATTGAATTCTTCATAAAATTCAATTACTTACAAAAATTTTAGTAAAAACTATTAAAAAAAAACTTCATTTTTTTCAAGAAAATTGAAATATATTCTTCAAAACAACTCAATTATTTTAAAGAATTTTAATAAAAATCTTGCCAAGAATAAAATTATTGTCAATACAATTTTAATTACATTTTCTCGAAAGATTTCAATTACTGAAAAAAATATTGATAAACTTCTTGAAATGAATTCAATTATTTTTAAATCTTTTGATAAATACTTTGCAAGAATTCAATGATTTTTAGCATTTTTAGTAAATTAATTTTAAAATTGAAAACATTTAAAAAGGAAAATTATTGAAAAAGTCATGAAACAAAAAAGCAAACAATATAGATTATTTGTTTTTGATTTTTTACATCGATCTTTAAAATATTCGGTTCTTTATTCAATAAGCGCGGTAACAAAATCAAAACAAACGAAGAACATAACCTAAAAATGATATACTTCGATTACCTGTGATATAAATGAGGATGAAACACTTGATAAACAGTACTTCCAGGAACGGCAAGCAGCATTAAATATAAACTACACGCCCTGAGGCAACATTGTCGGGAATCTTCATCGGCGCCTATTTTCTGACCACTTTTCATAATATAACCTAAAAATGCAAGCAGAGCACGAACATTGATTCCGATCGAATTTAACGTTTGCCATTTCACTTGCACTTCATCGCTGTTTTCCATGATCCATGATTTTATTATTGTACACGTCGTCATTAATAATTGTTCTAAATTTTCCGATTTAATTAATGATAAATACTCCGGGGGAGGATCAACGAACGTCAAAAACTCTCCGTCCCATATCGAATTTATCCACTCGGACTTCAAACTATTTAATTCGAATTTTTCGAATATTTTAAATCGTTCCATATTTACTATTTGTTTAGAACACAATTTTATACACTATTTTTTATATATCACTTTTCAAGTGGGCGATAATTTATTAATCATGATTGCGGCGAGATGATAATAATGACAATGGCGCGAAAACGAGAGGAAAATCGCGCCGTCAACAACTGCGCAGAATCAGAAAAGGAAAAAAGGGAACGTGAACCGGAAGTGTTCATTATGGCGTAAAAATTTGAATTTAAGGGGATCCCACATACCGATAATGCAGATCAAAAATGGTTAAAAATCTGCAACGACCGTTTCTTGAAAAATATAAGGAATTATGACCTATAAATTTGTGAAAGTCATTTTTTATTATAAATACATAGGATGAGTATTTTATTTGTTGTAATTATTAAAAAAAATATATTGTTAGAAAATTAAATATGGTCAGTTTCCAAGAGCCCAAACTGCAACGACCTTTTCTTGAAAACAACAAAACAAAATAATTTTTCCATTTAGCAAACTTAATTTTAATAAAAAATACACATAATAAGATTCATTACATATGAAAACAACAATAAAAAACTTTAATTTATGTAAACTGTTTTGTATAGCAATTTACAACAAGAAGAACACATGTGACAGCTTTTAGTAGTTCATAGAACCAAGAGATGGCGCCAAAGGTTCCAAAACTAACCAATTTTGATTATTTTTAGCTTTAAATTAGCAACAATAAAATATAATGTTTTCTTTTCGAGAAAAAATTCATTAGTGATGAAAGACACACAATGAGAGAGATTTATTTTGTTCAAATTGTTAAAGAAAAGTTAATGCTAGTAAATTAAATATCAAGTCCCACCGAACAGCTGTCACATATACACTTTACAAAGAATAAAGTTTTTATTTATTCCTGAATGGCAAATGAGTCTCATCCTCCGTATTTTCCTACAAAATTAAATTTCCCAAATAGAAAAATTATTTTGTTTCGTTGTTTTCGAGAAATGGTCGTTGCAGTTTGAGCTAGTAGTCAAAGATGTGTTACAGGGAAACTGCCCATATTTAACTTTCTAACAATAATTTTTTTTAAATAATTACAACAAATAAAATACTCATCCTGTGTATTCATGATAAAAAATGAGTTTTCCAAATTTATAGGTAATAATATCTTATATTTTCCAAGAAACGGTCGTTGCAGATTTTTAATCATTTTAGATCTGCAATGTCGATAAGTGGGATCCCCTTAAAAACAAAAAAATGGAAATTTTTTTATTTATTTTCCATTTAGAAAATTAAAATTAAGAAATTTCCCAATTTTTGAAAATAATTGAAATTTTATTAAAATTCTTGAAAATAATTGAATTTAAATAATATTTTAAAAAATAATTGTACTTTTTTGAGAAATTTGATTAAAATTGTATTTAAAATGATTGAATTCTTATAAAGAATTTTATTTCTGAGAACAATGAAATTCTTTCAAATTTTATTAAAATTCTTGAATAATAATAAACAAGAATTTAATTATAATTGTTGTACAAAAATATTCAAACAATTTTTTTGTTGCCTTTTTATCAGAAATGGGAAAGCAGACGATAAAAGTCGACGAACTCACAATTGAAAGTGCAGCCGATGGTCCAGCTCATAAAAGAATAAAAATTCTCCAATATACCACAATGCTGAAACTTTATTCAGATATTATACAAGATTACAACGAGACTTTAATTAAATACCACGAAAAATGCACAGCATTATTACAGCAACAAAGACTCTTAAGTAGGTGACAAAAAAGACAAAGAAAAAACTTACTTAAAAAATAAATTAAAAAAAAAATATATTTAATGTAAAAAAATAAAAATTAATTGATATTAATAAAAATAATAAAATAATATCTAAAAATTTGGAACATAATTTTAAAAAAATATTTCAGTTCGAAGGCAAATATCGAGCGAAGAATTCGAAGAATTAATGGACGCGCAAGAAACGAGTCTTTTTGTTGATAACGTTAGTAATTGGTAATATTTATATTTTTATATATAAAAAGAAATATATATTTGACGTAGAAAATAATAAAGAATTTTTCTCTTATAGATTTTAGTTGATATTCAAATAACGAAGCAACAATTGTCTGATATGGAAACGAGGCACAAGGAAGTGAAAAAATTGGAAAAATCTATAACCGAAATTCGTGACATGTTTGTCGATGTTGCTTTTTTAATTCAAGAGCAGGTGGAAATTGGAAAATTTTTAAAAATAGTAAAATTAAATAATAAAAATGAAAACATTGAAATAGTAGCAAGTAAAGAAAATAGAATTAAAACAAAAGAAAATAAAATTAGAACAATATAAAATAGTAAAAAATAATAATTAATGAAGTAAAGTGTCTTTGAATTTTTAGGGAGAACAAATAAACAGTGTGGAATTTTTCGCTGGAAAAACGATGGACAATATTGACAGTGGCGGTCAAGATCTTAAAGAGGCTAAGAAAAAGAGCGCAAAACTCCGAAAGGTACAAATTTAATAGAAATTTTTTTTCTCATTCCTCACCTTTCTTTCCTTTCCACTTTGAATTGTTTTTCTTAAAATTTTCCTTCTCTTTCTTCATCATTTTAATTTATTTTTCTCTTCTCTCCTTTATTTCAATTTTTTTTTCTTTCTTTGTTTTCTCTTTTTTTAAATTTACTTCTTCTCTTCTTCTTTTTTTAATATATTTTTCTCTTCTTTTTTGGCAATTGCATATTCGCATTTCAATATTTATAATTTCTCTCCTCAACTCCTTTTCTTTTTGCTTCCAGAGGAAAATCAAAATTGCTTGCATCCTCGTGACGATAATCATTATTCTAATTTTTATTGCTGTTTACTTTTAAAGAAAATAAAGAATTTATGGAAAAAAAATTAGCAAATATACTAAGTTTTTTTCTGTGGGAAAATTATTGTCTTGTAGAAGCGCACAACACCCTTGGCGCTTGGTCGTTTTTTATATTCATCCTCAGTGCAAACGGAGAATATTTCCAAAACCTGATCGTAACCCTCGCTTGGAAAGAATGCCGGCAAAAGTGGACGAGTTCCTTAAAAAAAAAGAGAGAAAAAACAAAATTTATTAATAAAGCATTGAAAAATTGTTTTTATAAACAAAAAAAGGTAATTAAAGAAATGAATTTAATGCAAAATAGAAGAAAACAAATTTTCTACCTGGTCCAGAAATTGTCGTATCGAGCTCCGAAGAATAACTCACGTCCATTGAATTTAAATCATCATTTTCGTCGCAATTTTCATCGGCCATTATTTCCTTCATTACGTCCGACATTGTGCTGCAAGAATCGACATGTGGCGGAGAAAGAGCCATCATTTCGTAAAGAACAAGTCCATAGGACCACATGTCCGCTTTATTTGTCACCGGTCCTTCACCTTTTAAAGAAATGCAAAAATTAAACATTTTTCCTTCAAAATAGTAAATAAAAAGAGAAAAAAATGTAAAAAAAAATTACCGGAAAGAATTTCGGGCGCATTCCAACATTCAGTGCCAATATAAGTGGCGTCTCCTTGCTTTTTCTTATCCATTTCCAACGATTCAGTGAGGCAAAGAGAAACGCCAAAATCGCACAATTTCACTGTTTTGTAATCAAAGGAAACAAGAACGTTGTAACTTTTAATATCGCCATGTAAAATAAAAGCAGTGTGATGTAAATACTCGAGGCCTTTAGCAACTTCGAAGCCAATTTTCAAAATGTCTTTCGCACTAAATAGTTCGCCATCTCTTTCCTCAATCATGTCGCCTGAAAAATAATTTTTCAAAAGAATTCAATTATTTTCTAAAATTCTTAATAAATCCTACGAAACAATTCAATTATTTTTCTAAACATTTCTAAACAGTAAAATTCTTTGCAGGAATTCAATTATTTTAAAAACAATTTTAATTAAATTCCTCTGGAGAATTCAATTTAAAAAAAAATTTAATACGTTTCAAATAAATTCAATTATTTTTTAAAATCTTAATAAATTCTTCGAAACAATTCAATTATTTTTATAAATAAAATTCTTTGCACGAATTCAATTATTTTCAAAACAATTTAAATTGAATTGCATGAAAGAATTTAATTATTTTCAAAAATTATGATTATCTGTCGTAGCATTATTTTTTTACTTTTTAATATTTTTCATTTATTTTTACTTTTTGATATTCTTTCTTTATATAATTTTTTATTTGCTCTTCTTTGTTTCTAATTTTTTTCCACTCTTTAATATTCTTTCTTTGTATCTATTATTTTATTATTCGTTTTGCTTTGTTTTTAATTATTTTATTTATTTGTTTTGCTTTGTTTCTAATTATTTTTTTTTTATTTTTTCTAAATATTTTTACTTTTTCATTATTTGTTTTTTTTCTTACCAAGAGAAGAGTCGAGTTTCTCCATAACCAAACATGGCTCTCCACTGGCTTCTTTCGTAAATCCACGAAAACCAATAATATTTGGATGATTCAATTTACGAAGTATCGTCGCCTCGTCCCTTATTCGTTCATTATATTTTGGATCTTTGACAACTTTATTTCTCTTCTTCACTGCCCAAGGCGATCGAATGCATCCAACTTTTGGTGATCTCTCCAATGTGAAAACTTTCACGCCTTAAAAAAGAGCAAAAAGAAACGTAAACAAACAAACATGTAAATAAATATTTAGACACTTGAACGTCAATAATAAAAAAAAACCAAACACAAATTTTCAACCCTATTTCTTTGTTGAATTTCTTTTAAATATAATGTTTAATTTTCAAATAATTTTCAGTAAACAATGACATACCGCAACCATAACCTAACTCTTGCAAATAAGGCGATGGAGGAATTCTAATTGGAGGTAAAGCTTTTTCCGGTGTTCGAAATTTCTTCGGTGTTTTAAATTCCGCCATAACTTAGCTTTCGATTTATTGACCAAAAAATATGACAATGATGGCAGTAATATTAAAAATTCAGGAGAAATAATAAAATGACGTTGCGACGCGCACTAATTTTTTGTAAATAATCCGTTACAATTGTAAACAACACTTTAACTTCCGGTTCAATTTTGACATTTCAGTCCATTATCCTCCCGTTCCCATTTACATATGCGATGTGCAATCGTCCAATTGACAGTTTTCTTTTGACAGTGACAGATTTTCTAACCTTATGAATGTTTTAAGAAATGAATATTTTTTTTCTCTTTTATTATTACATAGAAAAATTATTATTATAAACAATGGGGAAAATATGTAAATAAAATAATAAATATTATGTAAATTTTATGTTTTTGTATCGTGAATTAAGAGATTAGTTGTATATTTATAAAAAAAATTGTTTTTTGGTAAGTTAAATTCTTCTTTCACTCTTTTGATATTTATATTTAATATTTATGACGTATTTTTTCGTTTTTTAATACTTTTTCATTTCTCTTATACTGGTTTTAAAAATATTTACCAGTTTTAAATACTAAGTTAGTAAATAATTGTATTTAAACTATTTAAATATGTCTATGACAGAAGTAAGTTACAATTGTAAAGAGAAAATAAATGACAGATCTTTTTATTTTAGTAGCAACAATATATTCTTTTATAAATTCTTCAACCTGTCAATATTATTGTTATCGATTTATTGCATACGTATTTTTCAAATTAGATATTGTTTATTAACATAACCTTAAAATAAACTTTTCCCGAAAATGAATGAACTGAATGAACTAAATTTTCAATTTTTCGTATAATAAGCTCAATATTATTATTGTTTTCCATTTTTCTGCGAATAGAAAATGTTTGAATTGCCAGCTGAATTGACAGCTAAACCCTTGGCCTTTGTTGCCATTACGGGTTTAAATATGTCAAATACAATTCACAAATCGATTTGGGATGCATTTATCAATAATCGTCGTCCCGATAGTGCTGCAATTCAGTATAAATTATTAACTGGCAATCTTGAATTTCCAACTGAGAAACCAAAGGTATTTCAAGTTTATTACTTTGCAAATTTTACATTTTATTTCTTTACTTTTACACTTTTTAGTTTTAATTCAATGTTTTTTGAAAAAATTTGTCCACAGAGAAATTCTTACGAATGGTACATACCGAAGGGAATTTTAAAGAGAAACTGGATGAATAAATATTTAAATGAAATTCCAGCTCTTGTTGTCGTTTTCTATGATCTTGATTGGACAGATCCGATGTGGAACGAAAAAACAATGGAATGTGTCTCTAGAGTTCGTTCTCTAAGGTAAATTTCTAATTAAATAATTACTAATTAACCAGCAAATGATATGCGCCCGAAAAGCGATATTCCATTTTATTATATTATAAATTGAAAAATTTTATATTTTCAAGAAAAAATATCAATTTTTGAATTATTCCAAATTCAAAAATTAAAGAATTTACTTATTAAGTACATAATATTTAATATTCTCATTTATTATTATTATCAAAAAATTTTAATAACATTTTTCCCAAGAATTTCATTATTCTCAAAAATAATAAAATACTTCACAAGAATACAATCATTTTCAATAGAATTTTAATAAAATTTCTCGAAAGAATACAATTATTTTTCAAAATATTAATTAACTTCAATTACTTTCAACAATCTTAATATAAATTCGTTTATTTTCAACAATTTTGATGAAATTCTTTTTAAAAAAATTATTATTTTTAAATCTTTAATAAATTTCCTTCAAAAAATTAATTCAATTACTTTCGAAAATTCAGATAAAAGTTTTTTCAATTAATTCAATTATTTTAAAGAATTTCAATATAAATCTTGCCAAGAATTAAATTATTTCCAATAATATTTAAATTTAATTTTCTCGAAAGAATTCTATTATTAAAAAAAATATTGATAAAATCCTTGAAAGCAATTCAATTATTTTCAAACTTTTTTATAAATATTTTACAAGAATTCCTGTATAAATTTTAGTATTTATTGATATTATTGAATTCTTTCGAAGAATTTAAAAAAAAGTTTTAAAAAAATAAATTTTTTGAAAATAATTGAACTCCTGTGATAAATTTTATTAATTTTCAAAAATAATTGAATTTCTGCGAAGAATTTAATTAAAAGTTTTGAATAAAATTGAATTAATTGAAAATAATTGAATTCCTGTGATGAATTTTATTAGTTTTTATAAATAATTGAATTTCTGAAAAGAATTTTATTAAAACTTTTGAAAATAATTGTATTTAATGCGAAGAATCTTATTAAAAGTTTCGAAAATAATTGAATTCTTACTGAGAGTTTTATTAAAAGTTTTTTAAAGAATTGAACTCCTGTGAAAAATTCAATTAATTTTTAAAATAATTGAATTTTCTCGGAGAATTTTTACAAGATTTGTAAAAATAATTGAAATTTTTCGAAGAAATCTATTAAAATAAATGAAATCCTGATAATAATTTTATTATTTATATTAAAATAATTGCATTTTTTTTACAAAGATTTTTATTATTAATAAATTGACTTTTTGCAAAGAATTTTATTCACATTTATTGAAAATAATTGAATTCTACATAAAATTTAAAAATTTTAAAATTTTCTCCACTACTTTCAAGAATATTGAAAAAAAATTCTTTTCCGAAAGTCAATTATTTTTAATAATTTTAATAAAAATCTTGCTAAGAATTAAATGATTTTAAGAATATATTTTTAAATTAGAAAAATTAATACTAAAGAGAAAATAAAAATTAGATTTGTCTTTAAATGTTAGAAAATATTGTAAATTTTATTATAGAAATTCTAATATTTGTCTTTCTTTCAATTAAATTTAGAGGCGTTTTAGGAGAGAGGAACACAAAGTACGCAATTGTTTTGATTCAAAGACACGCTGCGCCTCCGGGAACGGAGGACGTTCTCGCAACGGAAAGAGCGACCGCACTTTATACCGCCTGCGATATTCCTGCAAAATCACTGTACATTCTTCCTCTCGGCGATCATCTTATAGGATACATCACCAGGTTAGAGAAAATTAAATAAAAAGAAGACAAAGTTTTTCAATTTTTCTTCGTTTTATTTTTTAAATTAACAGAAAATTTATTTGATTATTTCCACCCTTTTTTCTAGATTGGAAGGAGCTTTTAACGATTTAGCGCAAGGATTTTATCATCTCGAATATCGTAACGTGAAAGGACATCGCGATCAATTGAATAAAACGACTCATCAATATTTATTTGTTCGACATCAGTTCAAAATGGGCTTTTTTAATGAACTCAAACACGAACATCATACAGCTCAAAAGTAAATTCTTTTCTATTTTAATAATAATTATTTATTTTAATCATTTTTTCGATCATTTTTATTATAAAAACTATTATTATAATAATTATAGTAAAATAATTATTATTATAATAAAAATTATTATAAAAAGGTTCAAATAAGGTTATTTTGCTTTTATTGTGTTTAATTTCGACTAGATTTGAATAATCGTAATAATTATTTTAATAATTAAATTATTTTTCAGACACTATCAGCAGGCTTACAATAATTTACTCGACATACGAATGGTCGACACGAACTCATTGGAAATCAAAACAATAGCCAGTTTTTTAAACTATAAACTCTGTAAATTAATGTTTTCACTAAATCTTCCGAAAGATGCGATTTCACAGTTTAAGAGTCACACTGAAAGGTACGAATTCTTTTTCTTCCATCAGTGAAAATTTTTTACTGGTACAAATTTATTTCGTTACTAGAACTTATTCAATATTCAATTTAAAAATTAAAAGTTAAGAATTAAGAATTAATTTTTATTTTCTATATTAATTAGGTATTATATTTGTTTTTTTTTATTTTTCTTTATTTATTATTTCCAAATATAATACTTGCTTTTTGTTAAAAATTTTTTTTAATTTCGTAATTATATAAATAAAATGATTAGTAATTTATTTCGTAATAAACGTTTTTTAAGGAAATTGATATTTTCATTGAAGGAGAGAATTTAATTTTGCAGATTTAAAATAAGACCGGGACCGCCGGAATTAATATTCGAGCATCACGCATGGATGTCGAGTCAATATTCAACGTTCGCCGAATTATTCGACGACGCGATTCGACAGGGACTTCCAGCTGTTCAGACACAGCATCCTGGCTATTATTTCCAACTGGCGGCAAAATACGCGAGCGAAAGGCAAGCGGCTTCAAAGGAAATTTGCTCTGTACGTCAATTTTAAAAATCTAAAATATTAAATACTAAAAAAATATTGTAAATCTAAAATATACGAAAAGAATCAAATATTTTTCTTGAAATATCTAAAAAAAATCTAAAAAGAAATAGTAAAATAATATCTGATTGTGGAAATATTGATAGCAAATTTGACTCGGTTTTAGAGTGTGGAATCGTATCCAGAGCCGGATCCGTTGGCCGACGAGGAGAAATTGGAATTTTACGGACAAAGGCCGTGGCGACCGGGGAAACTGAGCGCCGAACCAGCGGATACAATGGGCGAATCTGCGGCAATTCAGGCTCTTCAATTTAGAGAGAAAACCACTGTTAATCATTCTGTGAGTACAAACATTGCATTTAAATTAGAAAAGCAAAATAAATAGTTGACAGTCAAAAGAAAAATATTAATAATAAATAATAGAAAAAGAACTGTAAAAAGTAAATTTATGTAGAGAATAAAATAAAAAAGGAAAAAGAATAAATTAAAATAAATAGAATATAGAAATAATTTAAAAAATTCTATTTTTCAGATGATAATTATAGGCCTCTTAGGAAATGCAATTTCACAATTTAAAATCTATCGATGTCCGCGAATGCGCCGAGTACTTGGTAATTTTTCTTGTTTCTAATTTATTTCTACTTTTTTAAAAAAGAGGAAAAATCTATTTTATTCTTATTTCTAGTTATACAAATGGCGGAGGAGTATTTTAACGCAAAAGATTATGGAAAAGTTTTAACGTGAGTAGAAAAAGAAATATAATTAATAATTCAGGTGTGAAATTTTGTAATTAAAAAAAGGAAATTTTTCAGATTGTTGATTCATATGTTATGGGAATATCGAAGTGAGCGCTGGCCGCTTTTACATACGAATATTTTAAAGACTGCTCTACGCGCTGCTTATTTGTCAGTGAGCGTTCAGGATTATCTTGCGCTGGCCCTCGAAGCAATTGGACCGACGACATTGTTTTCCGATGAACATCGTTCCTCAATTCATGCAAATATTTTCAATATTCTCCAGGTTTGTTGTCATTAATTTTAATTAATTATTCTTTTCTTTTTTCTAATTTTCTGATTGTACGTTCATTTTGCTCTTTATTTTCTTAATTTCTTCTTCTAATTTTCTGATTGTAAATTCATTTTCTTAATTTCTTTTTCTTATTTTACTTTTTATTTACTTATATTTTTCTTTTGACTATCAAATATTTTCTACAGAGGAAACCTCCGAATCCAGAGGCAGATTTGCCGGAGAGTGACAAAAATGTAATTCAAAAATGGAGCGCGGAACTTTCCCGACCGGAGCCAATTTTATTTACAATCGACGACAACACAACATTGTCGTTTATTGAAATTAAAACGAGATTCACTGAACCAAAGTACACTGTTAATTCGACTGTCACCATTGAAGTTCTCGTCAGGTATTTTTCTTCTTTCCTATAAAAAAATTATCGGTATTAAGTTCAAAAAATAATACTAATTAAATTACGTTAAACTAAATCAAGTTAAATTAATTAAACTGTTAATTAAATTACGATAATCTGAACTAAGTGAAATTAATTAAACTATTAATTAAATTAACAATTAATTTAAAAGTAACTTAATATTAATTTAAATCGAATAATTTAGATTCTTAAAGTTCTTTTCGAATTTTCAGGAACTCGTGCAGAGAGAATATTGAATTTTCGAAAATCACGGTAACAATAAACAATCCTGGTTACAATTTGGAAATCCCGATAAACGGAAGCGCTGACGATTTCACTTTTCACGAGGGCGAGACGAAAAAATTCAACTGTCAATTTCAGGTCGAATGCAATGGAAATGAAATTCAAATTAGCGCAGTTTCCTTCTATTTGGGACGGGAGAATAATTGTTGCGTCATTATGCGATTCTCGCCCAACGGAAGTGACAACACTGTCGATCGATTGTATCCCGAAATTCAACAACTTCGGTAATTTTTCATCTATTCATCTATACAACAAAATTAACATTTCTTTGTTTATTTTTTTAAATTAATTTCAATTTAATTAAATTAATTAGTTTAATGTTGACGAAGTAACGAATTTGACATTTCTTTCTTTATTTTTTAAATTAATGTCAATTTAATTAAATTAATTAGTTTAAAGTTAACGTTTTTTTTTCTTTGCAGAAGTAACGAATTTGACAGAGTGAGGAATTTAACGACAGCGCAAATAAAGCACAAGGATGCGAAAATTATTTTAAACGTCGAATCGGAAGAGCCAGCACTACTCGGCGAATGGTTTCCAATAAAAATTTCCGTCACCACCGCCGAGAGTATATCGAAAAGTTTTTTAAAAATGCATCTTTTAAATCCTGGGAATAACGAGCAATTGAGTACGTTCCGTCTTCTTCTATAATTTAATTAACAGAATCATTTGAATAAATAGATTATTTAAATTCTTAAAAGTCATTAGGTAGTTTTATTAAAAATTATGAAAATTATGATTTTTCAAAAAGTATTTCATAAATATTGTTTAAAATAATTGTACTTATATTAAAATTCTTGAAAATAATCGAATTTAATTAATATTTTAAAAAATAATTCGATTCTTTAGAGAAATTTTATTAAAATTGTATTGAAAATGATTGAATTCTTGTGAAATATTTTATTATTTTTGAGAATAATGAAATTCTTGCGAAAAATTTTTGAATAAAAATAAACAAGAATATTTAATATTATGTACTTAGTAATTGAATTCTTTAAATTTTAAATCTCTAATCATTCAAAAATTGATGTTTATTCTTGAAAGTATAAAATTTTTAATTTATAAAATAATAAGAAATGGAATTTACTAGTTTATAATAATTTTAAAAGGTAAAATTAAAAGTTTAAATTTCTAATGTCTGTTTTTTTGTTGCAGCTGAATTGAGTTTAAATGCAAAGGAAAAGGAATCGAATCTATCAGTGGAAGTGAATTTAATGGAAAATAAAAGTTTCGAGAGAATTTTCTATTTTCGTGCACATAAAATTGGAATGAGAAGTTTTATGATAAATTTAGATTACATAATGAATGAGCAGAATAAAAGTTCAGAGCAATTAACAATAAATGTTGGTGTTGTGAAACCATTTGAAATTACAACACAATTTTATACAATGCTTTATGAACCATTGACAAAGGGTTTTATTAATGAGCCATTCTTCATCATGCCACACATTAATTGTACATCGCCATGGCCCATCAAAATTCTAGGCACATCCATTGAATTGGTTTGTTTGCTGTTCATTCATATTCAGTAATAATTCATTATAAAGAAAATATTCAAATTTAAATTTATTTTAAAATAATAGTCGAAAATAGTAAAAATAGTAGAGAATATTGGGAATTATTTTATAAATTGAATTATTTTTACTTCAGGGCGATTCAATTCAAATGGAAAATGAAGAAGAAGAAGAAGAAAATAAAGAATGTATTTTATCTGGAATTATTCTCAAAGAAGGAGAATCTGGAACGGATGTTTATTCGGTTTTTCCGAAAATTGGTAGCGAACAACCGACAAGTACTGGAGTCTACACCGTGAGATGGAAACGGTATTTTGTCTTTTTATCTTCTACAAATTATTTTTTAACCATTTTTCTTCCTGTATAAAATTACATTTTTCTATATAAGAATGCAGAATTTTATATTTCGTAGAAATCTTTCTTTTTAATAAGGAATTTTTGAAATTAAAATAAATAAATTTTTTTAAATCGTAAATATAAATTAAAAAATTAAAAGAAAAATAAATTTGAAAATTTTGAAGAGAAACAAAAGCAAAAATAAAAATAAGGTGAAAGGAAAATTTCCATATTTTAGTGAATGTTAAATTTTAATCTTAGTTACCCAACAAAAAGGGAGATAAAAAATAGGAAATAAAAAATCTTTATAGTTTCAAAGAAAAGTAAAATTTAAGAGAAACGTAAATTGATAAATATTTGCAAATAAAAAATAAACTTAAAAAAAATAATAAAAAAAATATTCATGAATTTTTAATCTTTCCAACCGAGAACAAATTAAATTTTTTACCTTTCGAAGGATAAAATATTTCTTTTCTCGAATTCGTTTTTGTTAATAAATAAATAGAATAAAAAAGTAATAATTATTGTAAAATATTATATTAATTAATAATAGTTATTATTATTACTATTATCAAAAATTTATTTTTTAATTTACTTATTATTAAAAATAATGATAGTAGAAAAATATTTTCGAAAATTAAATTTAAATTGGCGATAATTTAAATTTTTTTTCATGTTTTTGGTTTTAGGGCGAATCGAGAAGATTCGCTGGAAACAAGCAATAGCGTGACCTTAACTCCACTTTGGGTGGAAGATTCTGTGATTGGAGTTGAAGCGAAACTTCCAGCTTTTGGCACTGTGCGAACACCTCTCTGCATTACTTATTACATTCGAAATCATTCTGATTTTTTGATAACACTTCACATGACAATGGAAGCGAGTGACGCCTTTATGTTCGCCGGAAATAAAGAGGTCCAATTATTTTCCCTTTTTTTCTGACAATTTTCATTTTAAAACGAAAGTTCATAATATCTTCACCGAAAGTATAGAATTTTTTGTTTTCTTTTTTCTGGCAATTTTTTTTGTAAACTAATTTCTTTTTTCTGACAATTTTTTTGTAAACTAATTTCTTTTCAACAAAAATTTTGTGAATTATTTTCATTTTTTGACAAAATTATAATAATCTTCGCTTTATTGTTAACAAAAAATTTTGTGAGAATTGTTTTTATTTTTTGACAAAATTATAATAATTTTCGGTTTATTGTTAACAAAAATGTTGTGAATTATTTTTATTTTTTGACAAAATTATAATAATTATCGCTTTATTGTTAACAGATTGATATTTACATTCTTCCCGAGAGCGAAAGAAAAGTCGAGTGGATTTTACGACCTCTCGTCGCTGGATTTGTTGCACTTCCAAATTTAACACTCGCCGTTTCTACCGGTGAGTTTTTTATTCTCTGATTTATAAACAAATTTAATTTTTAAAACTTTTTTTTAACTTATTTTCTCTTTATTTTCTGTGTAAATTTTTCAATTTATTATTTATTTTCAACAGAAGATGAACATAAATTGAGCAAAAACAAATTAGCCGAAGTTTTAGAAAGATCTTTACCAAGTCATATTTATATAATGGTAAGTCGAAAAAATTCTCTAAAAAGTAAATAAATAACTTCTTTCATATTTAATAAATAATTTTTTAATAATTATAATTCAATAATTTAATAATAATAATAATTTTTTTTAACGAAAATAAATATTTTTTTCAGCCAAAATCGCAAATCTCCGACAATTAGGATTTAAATAAAAATAATTCCCCCTAAAGTTCAGTTTATATATTATTATTATTTTTTATTCAATAATTTTATAAACTGATCTTCGGGGAAAAAAATAAAAAAAATAATGGAGAATTAGAAAATGAATTTTTTTTAATTACAAAATTGTACAAAAATATCTGTTTGTTAAATAAATTTTGTTTAAGTTAAAGGTCGAGTATTTTATCTATTTATTTAAAAAAAAACTAGCAAGGAGAAAAATGTTAGAAAGAATTAATTCTCCAGCACGATTTTCTTATTTCACCTTGAAAAAAGCGGATATACGAAAAAAAAATTTTTAAATAAATTATTTTTTTAAACAATATTTTTATTTTTAACTAATAATAATTTTATTTTTAAAAAATGGTATTAATAACTTTTTGATACTTTTATACAAAAAAGGGAAATTTTTCTATTTCTTTTTCTCTCTTTTTCTCTATCTCTCTCCACGGGAAATAATCGATAACGTTTCCTAAGTGACTTTTCCGAAGTTGAAATCAAAACAAAATTATTCTCTATTATGCCTCGTCGTCATTCTTCTTGCGTGAGCGAAATTTTAAATAAGTATTTGGACCAGGAACAAGAATTGGACAAAAAATTGCACGAATGGTGAGTTTTTATTTTTTATTGTCTCTTTATTAAATTCGAAAATAAAAATACAGTTTTTTTATCGTTTTTTAAAATAGAAGTAAAAACGCAGTTTTTTACAATTTAAAATAGAAATAAAAAACACAGTTTTTTATAAATTAAAATAGAAATAAAAAGGCAGTTTTTTTTATAAATTAAAATAGAAATAAAAACACAGTTTTTTAAAAATTAAAATAGAAATAAAAACACAGATTTTTTCTAAATTAAAATCGTAATAAAAAATATATTTCTACGTGTATAGTTTTTGAAATAAAAAAAAATTTTTAGCTAAAGAGGAAAAAAAGAATTAAACAGATAATTTACTAAAAGAAATAATTTTCTTTTGTTAATTAAAATTATGTAATTTTTTCACTAATAAATTTGGTAGAAAACCAAATAGTAGATATTAAAATTAATTTTTTACTATTTACAAGTTTAAATATTTCTCTTGTTAATGAAATTGAAAAAATCATATTTGGTGTTCGAAATTTCGAGAGGAAAAAAATTAATTACATTAAATTAGAATTTTTATGAATAATTCATTTTTTCCAGAGAGAAATTAAAATTTTCAAGAATAAGAAATAATTTTTAATTTTTTTTTTCGTTTCAGTGAAAACATGAGGCACGAATTATATTCAACAGTGACTTTAGGAAACTACGATTCAATGACTCATTTACATTTAAATAGAGAAGCTTCTTTATCAAGAAATCGACAAATGCTAAAGGTAATCTAAATAATTCGAGTTTTCCAGGTTAGATAAAATAAATTCTCTTTTCTTTCTTTTAAACTAAAAATTTATTAAATTCTCTTTTTTTTAAACTAAAAATTTATTCAATTTTGAAACATTTTTTTAAACTAAAAATCTATTAAATTTTTAAACCTTTTTTTAAACTAAAGATTTATTCAATTTTTAAACATATTTTTAAACATAAAATTATTAAATTACATTATTTATTTGAAATTGTTTTCAGGAAATTTGTTTAAATTGAAAGAAAATATTCAATGTTTTCTTTTTAGGATTTAGAAATATCGAAAGCTCGTTTGAGAACTTTCTCGGCTTTCTCACCGACAGATCAAGAATTAAATGACATCGCTGCATTTTATCGACGAATTTTGGCAACTGAAAAAAATTCAAAACGATAAGAATAGAAAAATAATAATTATTATAATTGTTAATACTGGAGTTGCTGATAAAAAAAAGAGTAAATAAGTTTCTGTTACTTGAAAAAGACTTTTAAGTCTAGAAATATAGACATAAATAAATTCCTTATCTTGTTGAAGCAATATAAAATTGTTTTTTATCCTCTTTTTTATATTCTACTGAAAAGAATATTGTTGAAAAAAATAATTTATAGTTGGACAATTTTTAATGTTAATGTAAAAGAAAATAATAAAAAAATAGTGTAAAACAAAGAAAAAATACTGAAAAATGCAAAAATATTAGGAAAATCTAAACAATTTAAATTAATAAATTTTAAAGATAAAAATTTAAATTAACAAATTTTGAATCTAAATACCTATTTAAATTAAAAAAATTAAATTAATTGAACATTTTTTTTTGAAACTCACCAAAAGAAGAAATAAATTTTTCGTCGTAAAAACTTTTTGCTGTTATCTGCGTAAAATAGCGACGAATTTTTGTAAATGTTTTGTAAACGTTTCTTCAAACCAATAACTCGAGCCGAACGAACAAACTTTTAATTATCAAGTTTGTTGATCGTTGGGATCGATGAATCGGAATTAAAGTTTGAAAAATCAAAACAACTGGACTCGAAAAACGATTCGAAAATATTAATGTTCCTTTTTGTATGCTTCTGTCTTCTTCTTCGTCTTCTTTATGTTCTTCTTCGAATAATTGTCAATAGTCGACGAGTTTCGCAAATGCCAAAAAAAAAATAATTTCACTATAACAAATAAATTCGTTTGTCAAATAAAAAAAATTTTGTTAGAAGAAAAAAAAAATTTCAATTACTCTGGGAAAATTATATTTCCTAAGGAGAAAAAAATTGTTATTAAAATATCTGTAAGAAAATTATTGAAAAGAGGAGAAAAATGTAAATCAAATTTTCTAATTGAAGAATTATTGGATTAAAAAAATCGAATTTGTAATTATAAAATTAAAATTATCGAATTTCGAATTAGAAAATAGTTGAATTGCGAATTGAAAATTAAAAAATAGGAAATTAAAATTGAACGTTAAAAAATTTAGGGAATTTAAATTAAAATTACGAATGAAGATTTCGACTTATCATTTATTAAAATTAAAAATTAAAAAGTTAGAGAATTGAAAATTGTAAATTAAAAAATTCAGGGATTAAAACTGAAAATTAAAACTTTTAGTGAATTAAAAATTGAAAAATTCAGGGAATTAAAATTGAAAATTAAAAAAGTTAGCGAATTGAAAATTGTAAATTAAAAAATGTAGTGATTAAAATTGAAAATTAAAAATTGAAAAATTCAGGGAATGAAAATTAAAAATAAAAGAAGTTAGAGAATTGAAAATAAAATTGAAATTAAGAAATTCAGAGATTAAAATTGAAAATTGAAAAATGCAGGGATTTAAAATTGAAAATTAAAAAAGTTAGGAAATTGAAAATTGAGAATTGAAACATGAATAATTCAAGGAATTAAAATTGAAAATTAAAAATGTTAGGGAATTAAAAATTGTTAATTAAAAAATTCAAGGATTTAAATTGAAAATTAAAAATTGAAAATGAAAAATTCACGGAATGAAAATTGAAATTAAAAAAGTTAGGGAATTGAAAATTGTAAATTAAAATTGTCGAATCATAAATTATGGAAATAAAACGAAGCCTATATCGAATTCGAAATTATAAAATAAAAATGAAAATTGTTTAATTACAAACCATGGAGAATTATTTAAATATATCTGAAAATTATCGTCTTCTAAATTAAAAATTAAAAGTAAGAAATTATAAAATCAAACTTATGTTTCTAATTACAAAACGAAGATTATGAAATGCCTCAAATCAAAATTATCGAATCACAAAAATGAACTTATGAAATTATAAATTTAAAATAAATAAAAAATTACGAAACGAAAAAGGAAAAATTAACAAAAATGAAAAAAAACAAAAATACTGTAACCAAAAATTAAAAAATTAAAACAACTGAATTAAATTAATTTAAATTATTTAAATATTTAAATTAAAAATCTAAAAATTGAAAAAATTCCCAAAAAAAGGAAAAACCGAAAAAATATTCAAATAATTTTTTTTAAATTATGGAAAAAAAATTAAATGCAAACAAAAAATGATAAAATTTGAAAAATATACATTTACCTATCGCTCTGTTTAATAAACAAATAATTTTGAACTAATATTCAAACGTTACCTTCACTTCAGAAAAAATGTCTTTCTCTTCCTTCCATTGAACCGCGCTGGTGAAGACAAGTTTTGAAACTGATGAAAAATATTTTCAAACGAAGATGAAGACAATGAGTGAAGACGATAAAAAGTCGACAAAGTTGATGATGATGCTCAAAAATGAAATGATATTCAAAATAAAAAAAAGAGAGGAAAAGAAAAGAAAAAAGAAAACTATCGTCCGAAAACTATAGTAATCGAAGTGTTGTGAGGATAACGACTGCAGTTCACCTGTCCAAATGATTATTCACATTCGTTTTTTTCCCTTTTTTTCCAATACGTTAATATTTTTCTTGTCGACGTTGTAATTACCACGTGTAACGCAACATTTTACGTGTGTATATATATATATAGACAATAATATACGTGCACGTCTCAACATTCGATAGGACGACCAAGTTTTAGAAGCTTTTTGATAAGACGAAACTATAATAATACTTTTTTTCTTCGTATTTAATGTCACCGGCACGACTATTGTCTTTTTATATATTTTTCATCACATTCCATTTTTTATTGCTTCATTTAGTATTTTTTCTGTTTTTTAATCTTCCTTTGGCTTCAATAAAAAAATTTTCATTTCTAACTTTTTTACGTTTATTTATTTTTATCATTATTTTTATTTATTTTACTATTATTATTACTATAATTAGTATTTTTATTGTAATTATTTTTATTCTATTATTTTTTTCCCATTGTTTTTTATTATTGTTATTGTAATTATTATTTTTATTGTTATTCAACCTTTAAAAAAATTCAATTATTAACTAATTTACAAATTAATTATTCTTATTTATTAATTTCAGAAATTTTAATAAAATTCTTCGCAAGAATTCAATTATTTTCATAAACGGTAACATTTTTTGCAGTGATCCAATTTTTTCTTTTATTTTTTTTGTTTTTTTTATTGTTATTATAATTATTATTTTTATTGTTACTATTTTTTTTTATTGTTTTTATTATTGTTATTATATTTATTTTTATTGTTACTATTTTTTTATTGTTTTTATTATTATTTTTATCCTTTGGTACGATTTTCTTATTAATTAATGAAAATTTTTCTTTTCAATTTAACAATTTTGAAAATTTTTTCACAAATGAAGATCAATTTATCTTTAATTACAAAATGTTGAAGAGAAAATTAAAAAAATTCTCACAAAGCTTCAATTTAGAATTAAAAATTGTTTAAATATAAAATGTAACGAAATTATCAATAAATAAAATTACTTTTTAGAAAAGTATAAAAAGAAAAAAAATTAAGGGACAAAATTTTACCGGAAAAAATACGTGAAAGAAAAATGTAAAAAGAGAAAAAAAATTATCCAGAAGAAACAAGAAAAAAAACAGAAATTACTCGAAAAAAAAAGAAATTACCTGCACTGAAGAAAAAAATAAAAAGTAATTACTTGGAACAAAAATAATAAAATACTAAAAAAGTAAAAATAAATAAAATGCTAAAATAAAATACTAAAGAAAAAAAATTTTTGAAATAAAATACTAAATGTCAAAGAAATAGTAAAAAAAAAATTGAAGAAGAAAAAGGGAGTAAAAAAGAACAAAAAATAAGAAGTGAAGAAGAAAACGGTACAAAAAATTGAAAAAAGAAAAAAAGTAATGAAATGAAAAATGAGAAAGCAAAATGAAAGTAAAATGAAAGAAGAATACAAATAAAGTAAAAGATGAAGAAGAAAATGAAAACGATTAAAAAAATGATAAACCTGAGAGACGGCGATCTCAACTTTAATGAAAAATTAAAAAGACTGAAGTAAAGTCTGGAAAAAAAATATATTAAAATTTATAATTCCAACTTTTATTCTATTTGACGTTCTTGCATATCAGCTGGGTAAATAAAAGTTTCTTACGACCTCGCAACAAGCGATTGCCCAAAAAGAAAAAAAATGAGGAACATCTGTGTCTACAAGGGCGCATTTTCTATACAGAACCAAAAAAAATTAAGTAACCACTTTTATTCATTTTGTATCATTTTTAATATATTTGTCAATTTTTCTCCTCTCTTTCTCTCTCTCTTCACAAATCTTACATTTTTCTCAACCTCCACAAAAAAAAAAATTAATAGGAAAAAATTCGTAGTGTTTCCACTACGAATTTTTTTCTATTAATTTTTTTTCGCCTTTTTTCGCTTTTAGAGCGAAAAAAATTAATAGAATTAATAGAAAAATTGAATTTCCATAATTACAAAAGGGGGAAATTTTTTTACAATTTGTGTAATAAACGCAAAAAAACAAAAAATAAAAAAATGTAAACGATAGCATTTTTTTTAGATCATGGCTTATTCTCCCACCGTTATTCGGAAGGTAAATAAAAAGTAGGTGAACTGATAAGATGTATTGTCGTTTCGAGGCCGAACACTTCTTGATTACACAACTATAAAAAAAAAAGAAAAAAGAAAAAAAAATGCTAGTTTTTCAATTTATGCATTTTTAAATTCAACTATTTTTATACAAAAAAGAAAATTTCTCCCTCCCTCTCTCTCTCTCTTTTTGCATTCAATTTCGTAGAAATAATAAATAAATATAATTTACTTGTAACTAATTATAAACTATTAATTGCGCGTCAATTTCTTTTTTTTTCAAATGCGTCAATTTCACTTTTTGTTCACTTCTCTCGAAACTAGAATTGCAAAATAAACAATTTTTTCTATTTTGTGACAATTGAATAAATTAATTAACTGTTGTTTTGTTAATTTTGAGAAAAAATTAAATCATTTAATGATTTTGAATCTTGAAGGAAAAAAATAATTAACAAAAAAGAATAAAATATATTTTATTTTATTCTTTTTTGTTAATTTGAAAAAAGATTAAATTAATTAATGATTTTAATTCCTTATAGAACAAAATTATAATCAACAAAAAAGAATAAAATATATTTTATTTTATTCTTTTTTGTTAATTTGAGAAAAGATTAAATTAATTAACGTTTTTAATTCTTAAACGAAAAAATTATAATCAACAAAAAAGGATAATATAAAATAAAAAAAAGTTATAAAAAGTTAATTGAAAATGTAAATTGTAAAAATTGAAATGTAAAATTTAACTAAATTTATAAATAGGAAAAATTATGAACGGGAAAAATTAATTAACACCAAAAATTTAATTAATTAAGAGAAAAATTTGCAAGTAAATATAAAGAAAACAGAATTAATACAAAAAATTAGAAATGGAAAAATTAATTAACAAGAAAAATTTAGTTAGTAAAAAAGTTTGTAAATAATTGTAATTAATAAAGAAAACTAAATTAATTAACTAATTAATACAAGAAATATAAAAGTTATAAAAAATAACAAATACGAAAAATTTTGATCGATACGAAAAATCGAAAGTAGAGAAATCAAAAATTAATTTAATTTTCCCAACAGTTAATTCGTTTTTCTTAATTAAGAAAATTAACTACAACACCGTTAACAAATGAAATTGAAATTAACTAATTTAACTCAAAATCAATGTAAATTAAAATTATTTGGAAGAAACTGATACGATTTTCGTCTTTAAATTAATTAATTTCCAAACTTCATTCGAATTGATTCGGAATTTTTTCTTCCTTTAAATATTAATTCTCTACTTAAATTCCCAATACTATTAAAATAGTCTGTCTATTATTATTTTTTTTTAGATTTAATTTAAATAATTACTATTACTTTTAGATTGAATTCAAATTATCACTATTTCTTTCAGATCGAATTTAAATCATTACTATTACTTTCAGATCGAATTTAAATTATTTCTATTACTTTTAGATTGAATTCAAATTATAACTATTTCTTTTAAAATTAAAATTTAGAATTTAAATGATTACTATTATTTTTAGATTGGATTTAAAAAATAAAAAGATAAAAAATTGTGATAATAATTCTGCTAGGCTTGAAATAAAAAAAAAAGATAATAATAGTAACGTTAAAGTCCTAAAAATTCGATGATAATTGGAGCAATTCGTTCGGGATTATTCAAATGAACATGATGACTGCCTTCGACTTCTCGATATTCAAATTTCGACGCTGTGAGTTTTATTTCGTCCAATACGCGATGATAAGATTCTGGTTGTTCAAATTTCATGCCAGGCATTGCGCGAATATTAAGATAGGCGCATTTAATTTTTTTTGCGAACGCCAAAACGAGATCCATTGACAGCATTCCCAATAGAGAAACCTGGAAAAAAAGAATTTTTATTTAATTACAGATTTGAAGAGAAAAAATTTGTTTTTTTAATATAATCATAATGTATTTGTAGATAAATTTTAATATATTTATCTGTGAATTTACAATAATTTTCTTCTCAGTCTAATAAATACTCTGAAAAAATTTAATTCTTGCACAGAATTTTATTAGAATTTCTAAAAATAATTTAATTCTCTCAAAGAATTTTGTTAAAATTTTCGAAAGTATGTAATTGGATTTTTTCAGAGAATTTTATTAAAATTTTAAAAAACAATTCAAATTCTTACTTTTCTTTCTTAGGAATTTAATTAAAATTGTATTCAAAATAATTGAATTGTTTTAAAGAATTTTATGGAAATTTTCGAAAAAAATTGAATTTTTTCAAGAAATTCTATAAAAATTGTATTAAAAATAATTGAATTCTTGAGAAGCATTTAATAAAAATTGAATTAAATAAAAGTAATTGAATTCCTACAAAGAATTTTATTATATTTATGATAATAATTGAATTCTTACTACGAATTACATTAAAATTATTGAAAAGAATAATTGAATTATTTCGAAGAAATTTACGGAAATTTTTGAAAAAAATTGAATTTTTTGAGAAATTCTATTAAAATTGTATTAAAAATTAATTGAATTCTTTGGAAGAATCTTATAAAAAACTGAATTAAATAAAAATAATTGAATTCAACCATAAAAAATTCTATTCAAAATAATTGAATTCCTACGAGAATTTTGTTATTTATGAAAATAACAAAATTACTAAATTTTTTTGAAAATAATTGAATTGTTTCGAAATATTTTATAAAAATTATTAAAAACAATTTAATTCTCTTGAAGAATTTTATTGAAACTATTAAAAGTAATTGAATTCTCTCGAAGAATTTTGTTTTAAATTTTTGAAAATAATTGAATTCTATCGCAAAATTTTATTAAAATTTGTAAAAGTAATTCAATTCTTTCGTGGAATTTCATTATAATTTTTTTGAAAAATAATTGAATTCTTTATTGAAAAGAATAAATGAATTCTGTATTGAAAAGAATAATTGAATTCTTTATTGAAAAGAATAATTGAATTCTTCATTGAAAAGAATAATTGAATTCTTTATTGAAAAGAATAATTGAATTCTTTATTGAAAAGAATAATTGAATTCTTTATTGAAAAGAATAATTGTATTCTTTATTGAAAAGAATAATTGAATTCTTTCGAAAAAATTTAAAATTATATTAAAAATAATTGAATTCTTTGAAATAATTTTATAAAAATTGAAGTAAATAAAAATAATTGAATTCTTTCGAGAAATTTTATTAAAATTATCAGTAATTAATATTTTAGTAAAATAAAGAAACAAATATTTTACTCTCTTTACTATCAATAGTTGAAAACTAAAAAGAAATGCAATGTTTTTATTAATATTAAAATAAAAAAAGTAATACAAGTCTTAAAAAATTGAAAAAATACAGAAATAATTATTAAAAACAAAAATAAAAAAATAAAAATAATATTAAAGCAGTGAAAAGATGAAGAATAAAAAAAATTCTTGGACAAATTTTACCTTTAGTCGTGGATCACGACGGAAATAATAGTGATTCATAATCGGAGCCGGTTGCATTCCGCGTTTCATTAAAATCTCCGCACTCTCTCTGGTGATGTCCCCATTGTACGCCGTCTCGACAATGTCAATCATTTCCTTGTAATTATAGCAAGGCACCGAGTCCAGTGTCAAATCTTCGTATTTCAAAAATCTATCGATATAAGTGCCCGTGATTTCCACCGATTTTGTAATGTCACGAACACTTGGACTCGCAATGTCGAGACTTATCACATATTCAACCTCGTCCGGATAGGAAGCTGCGTACAAAAACGATATCGCACCACCCAACGAGTGTCCCAATAATTTTACCTGAAAACAAGAACGAGAAAAATTAAATAAAAATTAACAAAAAATCGGAGAACATTTTTTGGAAAAATATTTACAAAAAATACCAAAAATTGCAAATATATTTTTTGAAAAAAAAAATTATAAATAAATTACGAAACAACTAAATTTTTAAATCAAACTACTTAAGTTTGTTAATTTTTATTAATTATTAATTATTATTATAGCTGGATTAGAAATAATAAATTTTTATAAATAAAACTTTTTAAGTTATAAATTGTTATTATTAATTACCTATTATATTAATTATTATTAATTATTAAATTAGTTATTAATTATTTCCAATTATTATTATTATACCTGGATTAGAAATTTTTTAAATTCTTTTTAGAAATAGAAAAAAATTCCTTGGCAAAAGAAGATTTTTGCCGAAAAAAAGAGAGAAAAAACTTGTTTATGAAAGAAATTAGTAAATGAAAAATATAAAATGCTGATTAATACATTGTTAAGTTTTCTTAGTTTGCAAAATATGTAAACAATGCATTGTTACGGTAACATTATTATTTATAAATGAAGCCCTCATAATGACCATGCATTCATAATAAGCTCATTGTCAGTAAGCTAACAGATACTCGCTTCAAAACATAGAATTTGTGATTACTTTGCAAAAAAAAAAAAGAAAAAAGTGTCGTAGCGTTAATTTTTATTTTTATTATTATTATCATTGTCATTAACATTATTATTAGTATTATTATTTTTCTAAATTTCCATTCCTGTTAATTGCCGCAATTTATTAAAAAAAAATTTCCATTATAATTTTATTTTCAAAAAAATTTCCGAGAGTTGTTTTTTTTTCTCTCGGATATTTTCTTTACTGTTAATTTTTTTCCTTTTGGAAATTTTCGCTTTTGTTAATTTTTTTCCTCTTGCAAATTTTCGCTTTTGTTAATTTTTCTCCTTTTGGAAATAAATTAACAATTTTCGCTTTTGTTAATTTTTTTTGTCTTGTAAATTTTCGCTTTTGTTAATTTTTAAAATTTGAATAGCAAGTTATTTAATGTTAATTTCCCTTGGAAGAAAATGATTTCGTGCTTATTTCTGTTTTCTCTGGGTTCGCTAACCTTTTTCCATTTATAGTAACGAACAATGCGACGAAGCAAGACGATACCGTCCCAGTGGACATAATAGGACTGTCCCTTTGGATAATGGGACGAGAACCCGTGGCCAGGTAAATCCAAGCACAATATAGAAATACTTTTAGGCATAAGTGACATTAATTTATCGAAGCTGCCTGCATTATCTTGTCGCCCATGTAACGCCACAATCGGCTGGATTCCCCTCGAACCCCACCATTTGCCTGCAGATAAGCATTTATTTATTTATTTATTTATTTATTATTTCCTCAAAACCCTTCTTTCAATATTTACACGAAAAATACATTTTCCCTTTAAAAAAACAAACAAATAATTAATCAATTTTCAATATTTCAATAATTACATATTTCTAAAAATTTTACTAAAATTATTTTTTTCTTAATTCGTTTTAAAATTTTTCAACAAAATTTTGATACAATTTCACGAAAGAATTCAATTATTCTATAAAATTTTAATTAAATTTATTGAATAACTTTTATTATTTTCAAAAATTTAATTAAAATTCTTCGAAGCAATTCAATTATTTTCCATAAATAATAATTTTCTTCCGAAGTATTTAATTATTCTCATTAATAATAGAATTCTTTGCAGGAAAATAATTGAATTCTTTTTTGAAAAGAATAATTGAATTCTTTCGAAAAATTTTATTGAGAATAATTGAATTCCTACGAAGAATTTTATTAAATTTATGAAAATAATTGAATTCTTACGACGAATTTCATTAAAACTGTCAAAAAGAATAATTAAATTGTTTCGAAGAATTTTATGGAAATTTTTGAAAAAATTGAATTTTTTCGAGAATTTCTTTTTAAAATGCATTAAAAATAATATTGAATTCGTTCGAGAAATTTTATTGAAAATGATATTCAATAAATAAAAATTATTTTCAATAAATAAAATTAATTTTTTTCAATAAAATTTCTCGATGGAATTAAATTATTTTTAATGTGCAATTTAAATAGAAATTCTTGAACAAATTCAATTTTTTTTCAAAAATTTCCATAAAATTCTTCGAAACAATTTAATTCTTCTTTTTAATAATTTTAATGAAATTCGTGGTAAGAATTCAATTATTTTCATAAATATAATAAAATTCTTTGTAGGAATTCAATTATTTTTAAAAAGTTTTTATAGAATTCTTTATAAATATTTTCGACTTTTTTCTATAAAATTTTAATTAATATCGAAAAAATTTTATTATTTTCAGAAATTTAATTAAAATTCTTCGAAGCAATTCAATTATTTTCATAAATAATAATTTTCTTCGGAAGGATTTAATTATTTTCAATAATAATGGAATTCTTTGCTGATATTTAATTATTTTCAATAAAATTTCTCGAAAGAATTTAATTATTTGTATTTAATTCAAAAATTTTAAGGGCATTTGAACCTTGATGACGTTACAGATTGTGCAAAGCATGTGTGACGTCATCAAGGTTCAAATGCCCTTAATATAATTCTTTTTTAGAATTTAATTATTTTTATAAATAATAGTATTCTTTGGAAGAATTCAATTATTTTTATAAATAGTCAAATTTTTTGCAAAAATTCAATTATTTTCAACAAAATTCTAATAAAATTTCACTTGAGATTTCCATAATATTTTTAAATAAATAGTAAAATTTTGGAAAAATTTAATTATTTTTAATAAAATTCCACGAAATAATTCAATTTTTTCTTAATTCGTTAATATAAAATTTTCCAAAAGAAATTCAATTATTTTCTAAAATTGTTATAAATCCTACGAAAAAAATTCAATTATTATCTAAAATTTTTATATATTCTTCGAAACAATATTCAATTTTTTTTATAAGTAGTAAAATTCATCGCAAAAATTAAATTATTTTTTATAAATAATTAAATTCTTCAATGTTAATAAGCTTCAATATGTAATTAAATATTATTTTGAAAAATGGAAAAAAATTCTTTGTTTAATTCAATTATTTTCAAAATTTTCAATTAAAATTATTCAAAATAATTTTATTATTTATAAAAACTCTAATAAAATTGTTTAAAAGAATTTAATTTTCTATCAACCATTTTAATAAAATTTTAATAGTAAAATTATTAATTACAATTAGTAACAAAATCGATTATATTGAAGAAATTGAAGAAATGTTTTTAAAGAACTCAAATTGTAATCAAATTCTGAGAAAAATTCAATTATTTTCTAAAAATTTTATTAAAATTCAATTATTTTCATAAATAATAAAAGTCTTCGAAGGAATTCAATTATTTTCAAATTATTTGATAAAATCCTTTACAAGAATTCAATGATTTTCAATACAAAATTAATTTTAAAATTGAAAATATTGAAAAAGTTAGGAAACAAAAAAGCAGACAACTAACTTGAAACTGCGAACAGATTACCGAAATTGTACAACAATTATTAATATATCTAGATTTTTAATTAAATGAAGAAAGTTCTTTAATAGAAAAATAAAATTTTGAGAACTTTCTTCTTTAAAAAAAGTAAAATCAAAGTATTGACGATTATTATTATTAAATAAATTAAAGAACTTTGGCATTAAAATTACCTAAAAAGAAGAAATTATAATTAAAAGTGCAAAAAAGAGACACAAATAGAAAAATAGATAATAAAATATGCACATTTAAAGCACAAATATAGTGAAGGAAAAATTCCAGTTATTCTAGACAGATAAGACAATAATAATTAGAAATAAGTGTTCAATGAACAATGAAGGCGCAAATAAAATGAAACAAAGTAGCAGCGAAAGGCAATTTTTCTCCGGAAATTCAAAAACTAAACTTAAATTTCAAAACTCGAAAATAGTAATTCTTTCTAAAAAAACAAATTCGAAGAAATTCTAATTTTCTAAAAACCTAGTTTTTAAAACATTGAAAAATTATTGTCACTCGCCAATAATTATTTAACATTTGATAATTATTAATAGCTAGTAATTAGTAATTAACGGGTTAGTTAATTTTTTTTCCTCTTTGTAGAATCACAAACATTTCCTATTTTTGAAGCAAGTTCTGTTTCGTCCTAGTTTATATACAAAAGCAAAAAAAACTTTTGAGTTCTGAATTTTTTTCTCGCTTGCTGACCTTGTTCCATTTGAAGTATTTAACAATTCTACGAAGATAGACAAGACCGTCCCACATAATATAGTAAAATTGTCCATTTGGAAGATGAGCGGAATGACCGTGTCCAGGAAGATCGATACTTAAAATTGACGTTTCCGATGGCAATAAACGAACGAGAGGATCGAATGATCCCGAATTATCCTGCCAACCATGAACCATCAAAATCGGTTGCTTTTCTTTTGGTCCCCATCGTTTACCTGAATTTTTCATTTTCAATCCAAAAATACTCTTTTATTTTCCAAAAACAAAATCCATACCATAAAAAAAAAATACTTTTTTACTTTCCAAAAAGAAAATCTTTACCATAAAAAAAATACTTTTTTATTTTTCAAAAAGAAAATTTCAACCATAAAAAAAAAACTTTTTCTAGTAAAAATAAAAGAAAAAGAAAGAAAAATAAATCTAATATTAAAAAATCAATTCTTTATCGCGGAAAAATCTCATTTTAAATAAAATAAAATAAGAATAAAATTCTTTATCTATGAAAAAGTCGATATTAATGAAAAGAAGAACAAAAAAATGTTCGTGAAACAAAGATAATTCTAATTTAACACAATGACAATGTGCTTCTTTTGTGCCATGAACTTTGAGCGTGTAATAAACAAAAATTGAAAAAAAACAAAAAGTTAAACTGAAAAGTGAAAAATACATAAAATAGAAAACACATTTAGAAAAGAAAAATATTGGCAAGGAGTAAAACTTTACCACTAATGTGACCCCAAGGCACTGGAATTTCAACTTCCTCCGGTTCTGTAAACAAAATTTCGAAAATGTATACAAACTAAAAATAGAAATCATATTAAATATGTTAATTACTAATTATTATTAATTATTAACTATTAATAATTCATTATTAACTAGCAAATGCTAAACGCGGAACGAGATATTCGATTTATTATATTATGCAAATTATACAAAATTTTTTATCTTCAAATATGAATTTTTTAATAATTTCCGATTCAAACTTTAAAAAACTTCAATTATTAACTAATTTATTAATTAATTATTCCTATTTATTAATTTCAAAAATTTAAATAAAATTCTCACGCAAGAATTCAATTAATTTACATAAATAATAAAATTTTTCGCAAGAATTCAATTATTTTTATAAATAAATAAAATTTTTTGCAAAAATTCAATTATTTTTAAACAAAATTTTAATAAAATTTCACGAAAAAATTACAATTATTTTCTAAAACTTTAATAAATCCTTCGAAACAATTCAATTTTTTTTCAATAGTAAAATTCTTTGCAATAATTCAATTATTTTTAAAAATTGTAAAATCCTTTGCAGAATTTCAATTCTTTACAAGACAATTTTAATAGAATTCCTCAAAATAATTTAATTATTTTCAAATATTAACATAATGTTCATTTATTGACTAAAATTTTAATAAATTCTACGAAACAATTCAATTTTTTTAAAAATAGTAAAATTCTTCGCAAAAATTTAATTATTTTCAACAAAATTTTGATACAATTTCCCAAAAGAATTCAATTATTTTCTAAAATTTTTAAAAATCCATTAAAACAATTCAATTATTTTTTTAAATAGCAAAATCTTTGCAAAAATTCAATTATTTTCAAAATTTGTAATTAAAATTATTTATGAAACTCGATTATTTAAAAAAAAAAATTCTTCAAAAAGAATTTAATTAGAATTTTTAATAATTTTAATAAATCCTTTGAAACAATTCTATTATTTTCATAAATAATAAAATTCTTCGGAAGAATTCAATTATTTTTAAAAAGTTTTATAAAATTCACTGCAATAATTCAATTATTTAAATAAATCCTATAAAATTCTTTGAAAAAATTCAATTATACTTATAAATAGTAAAATTCTTTGCAAAAATACAATTATTTTTAATACAATTTTAATCAAATTCATTGCAAAAATTCTATTATTTTCAAAAAAATTTCAATTTTTTTCTTCATTCGTTATAAAAGTTTTCAAAAGAATTCAATTACTTTCTAAAATTTTCTAAAATTTCTTTTTTTAAACTTTTAAACTTTTTAAGATTTAATATTTAAATGTTCAATTTTAATTATTAACAAACAAATTTTAAAAATTTGTGAGAAATGTTTCATAAAATTCAATTATTTTCAAAATTTATAATTAAAATTATTAAAAAAAAACTCCATTATTTAAAAAAAAATTCTTCAAAATGAATTTAATTAGAATTTTTTAATATTTTAACAAAATTCTTCGTGACAATTCAATTATTTTTCTAAATCATAAAATTCTTTGAAGGAATTCTATTATTATCAAATTTTTTGATAAAATTCTTTGCAACAATTCGATGATTTTCGACGCATTAATTTTAAAATTGAAAATACTTAAAAAATGTTACGAAACAAAAAAGCAAACAACTAACTTTAAACTTGGAACAAATTTTTGGAATAAAACGAATATTAACATAGATTACAAATAGTTAATTAATAATTAGTAAACTATAAAAAATAAATTATAAGTATACCACTTTCGTTCAACGACATTGAATTTACTTCCTTCTCCACATCTGTAAAAAGAAAGTTTCACAATATCGAAATAGTAAAAATTGCAAAACAAAATATTAACAAAAATTTACCATTTTTCTCGAATCCATTTGTCATAATTTTTGTCTCACTCTCTCCGTTTTCGTTCATTTTCCTCTAGAAGCAAAAAATTGTTTTCCACATTCAAATGAATTATCAGCAAACCTTTGAATTACGAAAATATGTTTTCTCTTTTTTTTAAATAACTGCAAGTCATGAATGTAGAATTTTTATATGTATATATAAGGAAAGAGATTAGTATAGGAAGTCTATGAGAGTAAAATTTAACCTCAAATTATTCATACATATAGTTTTTTGACATATTCTATTTTAAACTGCGTAAACAAAATGTTAATGAATGACTTGTGAAATTTTCGAAATTAACATGAAACTTAGAAGAGAAAAAAGGGTTAATAATAGAGAAAAATATGTTACCTTTTTGCAAAAGTGTTTATTTAAAGGAAGAAACTATTGCAATTGATGTAATATAGGTGTATGTCGAATCAAGAAGCGTTGAACGTCATTTATGTATATATAGGATATTCTTTGCCGCTTTTGCCTTTGCTAAACGTCAAATTAAAAACAATGGTAAATCACGTGTTTGGAATTTATAATTTGACAACAACTCAAGAAGAAGGGGTAAATAATTCGGTGAGTACTGTTTTGTTTTTGGAATTTTCTGTGAAAATGTTGAAAAACTGGCGCTTTTTTCAACCTTTTCACGCACTGTGAAGCGACCTTTAGTTTCAGTTTTCAATCCGTGCGATCCAACCCTGTTGTAGTCAAAAAGTGAGGTTATGTTGAAAATACAATTTTTTTCGCTATTTTCCCGATTTTTCCTTTTTTGACATTTACATATTACAAGATTTACAGTAATTTAGATAATTTATCAGTAAAGAATAAAATTAAAAATAGTGTCAAATTAAAATACGTTCTTTTTCAATTAGAAAAAATTGTTTTTTAATCGCAGCAAGAAGATTGAATCGCAGGAATCGCAGGCAAGAAGGAAAATTCTCCGAGAATTTACCAGCGGTTATATTCTCTTTGGTAATATAACCGACAATCCCGACAATCGACATAGAAGATAGAAGACAAGACTAGAACGTTTATGACGTTTATACAAAAATATATTTTTTTAAAAGAGAATTTTTTTATATAAAATATATATTTTAAATAAGCATTGTATTTTTGAAGTTTAGTTTTTATGCGGTAAAATCGCATCAGTAGCAGGCGTAATTATATTTTTAAAGGTTATTTTTCATTGACAAGTGACTGTCAACAAAATATAGAATTCAACCAATTCAACAAAGTGACTGAAAATGATTATTACAGGCACAAAATAGAGTTTATTGTTAAAAAAAAATAAATAGAAACAACCGGTCGTTTAGTTATGTAGTAAAAAATTAAATCCAGAGAATTAAAAAATCAAAATTAAGAAAGTTAAACCACAAGTGAAATAATGGAAGGTAAATATTGTTCTATAATCGTTCAATAGTTCTAATAATTTACTTAATTGTGAATTATTTTTATCATTTAATTTATAGAATAATTTTTATTATAGTGAAGAAAAATAAACGAAAACATTCGGACAAATAGTTTTTAAAAATAAGTTTACATTTCTCGGACGTAAAAAATTGATTAAGAATAATATTTTTATTATTTAATTTATAAATAATTTTTATTACTTAATTAATTAATTTTTATTTACAGTAAAACAAATTTGAATAAAATTTGATTTCAATAAAAATACATTGCTTTCTTTCCTCTTCTCTTCTATTTTCTTTTAGAAACAGCAAAAAATCAGATTGGAAAATTCATTCAAGATTTGAAAGAAGCAACTTTAACGCAAAATGATTATCAGGATTGTAATATTGTGAATATATCGGAAATTCTCGATTCTTTGGTCAATATTAGTAAAACTGACGACAAAACAGGTAAACGAGGAAAATTAATTAAACTGTTACGTATTGAAGAAAAAATATTACAATTAATAGAATAATAAATATAAATAATACACTTAGTAAAAATAATAAATTAATTCTTTTTGTATCTTAACTTTTTTTTAATAATTTTTCTTTTAAAATATTTTCAATTTTAAAATTAATGTATTGAAAATCATTGAATTTTTGTAGAGAATTTTATCAAAAAATTTCAGAATAATTAAATTTCTTCCAAGAATTTTATTATTTTGGAAAATAATTTAGATATTTTGTTAAAATTTTTGAAAATTCTTTGATTCTTTTGAATTCTTTGAAGAATTTCTTTGAATTTTTTTAAAATAATAAAGTTTCTTTTAATAATTTTAATTTAAAATTTTGAAAATAATTGAATTTTATTAACAATTTCTTTCAAGTTTTTAAAATAATTGCGTGTTTGTTAATAATTGATATTGAACATTTAATTATTGAATATTATTAAAATTTAGAAAGTAATTGAAATCTATTCAAATTTTTTATAACAAATTATGAAAAAAATTAAATTCTTTCGTGAAATTTTGTTGAAAATAATTGAATTTTTGCAATGAATTTCACTATTTATAAATCTAATTTCAAAGAATTTATTAAAATTTTAGAAAATATTTGAATTTCTTCAAAAAATTTTATTAGAATTTTAAAAAATTGTTTCGAGAAATTTTATTAAAATTGTTATTAAAATAATTAAATTGAATTTTTGCAAACAATTTCACTATTTATAAATACAATTGAATTTTTTCGAAGAATTTATTAAAATTTTAGAAAATAATTGAATTTCTTTATAAAATTTTATTGAAAATAATTGAATTTTTTCAAAAATTTAATTGTTTCAATGGATTTATTAAAATTTTTTGAAAATAATTGAATTCTTTCGTGAAATTATCAAGATTTGTTAAACATAATTTAATTGTTTCAAAGAATTTATTAAAAGTTTAAAATAATTGATTTTTTTTGAAAATTTTTATAACGAATTAAGAAAAAAATTGAATTGTTTCGAAGAATTTTTAAAATTTTTGAAAATAATTGAATTCTATTGAAATTTTTTATACCGAATTAGGAAAATAATTGGATTTCATTGTTTCGAAGAAATTATTAAAATGTTATAAAATAATTCAATTTTCTCGAAGAATTTATTAAAATTGTAGAAAGACTTTTATTAAAATGTATAAAAAGTATTGAATTTTAGTGGAAAATTTTATTATTTGAATTATTCTGAAGAATTTTATAATTTATGAAAATAATAGAATTCTTGCAGCTAAATTTATTAAAATTGTTTTTAAATAATTGAATTTTTTCTAAAGTGTTTTATAACTTTTAAAAATAATTCAAATCTTACTGCGAGTTTTATTATAATTTTTAAAAATAATTGAATTCTTACGATGAATATTTGCTATTTATGAAAATAATTGAATTTTGCTAAGAATTTTATTAAAATTTTTGAAATTAATAAACAAGAATAAAGTTAATTATTGATTTTTTTTTAAATTTTGAATCTGAAATTATTCAAAAATTCATAGGTATCTGAAAATAAAAAATTTTGTAATTAAAATGTTCTCTTCTTCTTTGCAGAAAATGTAGAATTTATAACAGACAAAATTTTTCTGAAATTATTAACAATTAATTCGGAAACAATTGCAACAAAGACTGCAAAAACAATTGCCGAAATTGCAAAGACTGAAAGTGGAAGAGAAAAATGCACAAGGGAGGATTTAGTTAGAACATTGATAGAACTTTTGCAATCGCAAAATTTGGAACTTCTCATTCAGGTCTCGAGGGCACTTGGAAATATTTGTTACGAAAATGGTAAAGAAACAATAAATTAATTAATTCAGTAATGACAAAAAATTATTTTTCTCTATTATTAATTTAATCCCTTTTCTCGACAGTGAAAGGCAAAACGTTAATTCAAGAGATGGAGGGATTGAAACATATTTTAAAGCTTCTTGAGAGAGGAATTGAATTTGGTAACAAAGAGGGGGCGGATTTTTTAAGAAACGTAGCAGCTGGATTTTTGTTAAATTTTCTCGTGGACCAAAATAATATTGATAAAGAGGTATTTAATCTTTTCCATCTTTAAAAAAGATACGTTGATAATAATTTAATTTGGTTTTTAGTTCTTCTAGTTTTAAGTTTATGTATTTTTAAAAAAAAACTTTCTTTGGTAAGGTAATAAAATTTATTTTTAAATAAACTTTTTTTTCGAAGGTGATAAAAAGCGAGGTTGTTCCGGTGATTTGCAAAATATTAGAAATCGATGGCACTGCGAATCGAGAGGCAGCGATGCAAGTACTTTTAATTCTTGGCGTTTTGAACGATATCGACGTACAATTTCTCAACGAGAGGCTCGCCAATATTTTAGTCGAAATTCTCAGCAGTGACAATTCGTCCGAATTTTCTGAAATGTGCTTAGAAATTCTTCACGGACAAGCGGAAGACGGTAAATTATTTTAGAAATAACTAATGACAAAATTCGATTTTTAAAACTTTTATGTTCTTTTTTTCTTATCAATTGCAGAGAATGCAAAATTACTGTTGGCCAAGGTTGGCGTTTGCGAATTACTTCTTAAATTATTGGAGAAACATGGACCACGTTGTACGGATGAGGAAACAAGATCAGTATTGAAAGTCGCTTGTAATTTGATTGTTCTAATTCTAACTGGAGGTGAGATCCAACATTTAATAATTTAAACATCTTTTATTTAATTTTATTATTTATTTATTTATTATATTTTTATATCAATTACTTTGTTTATTTGTAAATTTAACGAAAAAATAAAAATTAACAGACGAGAGTATGAATCTACTGTACAAGAATAGCGAGGGCTATGTTTACAAAAAACTGGTGGATTGGCTGGAGAATATTGACGAGGATCTCCAAGTGACGGCCGTTTTGGCCATGGGAAACTTCGCACGAGCCGATAAGCATTGTGAGTCAATGGTCGTCGAGGGCGTTCACAAGAAATTATTGAAATTAATCAATAAAAACAGTGACAAATGCGGTGACATTCGATTTCAACACGATCTCCTGAGTGCAATGAGAAATCTCGTCATTTCGCCGACAAATAAATCTCAAGTCCTCAACGATGGACTCATTGAAATTCTCATGCCAATGCTCGACATTCCAACGTTTCCGGTTGTCTTCAAACTTCTCGGAACACTTCGAATCGTCATCGGCGGACAGCGTTCGTATTATTTTTCTTTTTCCAATTTTAGAATTCATTTCTTTCATTTTAAAAATTGTCAATTTTTTTTCAATTAATAAATTTCAAATTGTCAAAATGACTAAAATTGTAAAGAAGTAATTTGAAAACTAAATAATAATAATAATTTTTTTCTATTTTTAGAGAATGCAGCGATATTATTGGGAAAGAATTCGAGACTAATGGAAAAAGCTGTGGAATGGTCGGGAACCGAAGATCATCCCGGGGTTCAAGGCGAGGCGAATCGTTTATTAGCCTGGCTAATAATTAACAGCAGGTTTGTTCCCTTTTTTCTAAATACAGAAATTATTATTTCCAAATAAAAAGAAAATCTAGAAGTACGAATACAAAGAAATTGAAAATACTTTTTCTTCTTTTTGCAGAGACAAGGAAGTCGTATTGACACTGATAAATAACGACGGAGTGAAGAGATTAGTGAAAATGCTCAATTCCAAGCATCCATTAATGCAGAATGAAGCTCTATTGAGTTTAAATATCATCACCGCAATTTGTCTCGCCGAATCGGAGAAATTTCTAATTGATTCGAATATTAGTCACGGATTGTTACGATTTATCAAGGAGAGCGCACCAACTGTCGAGCCACCAATTATTTACAATTCTCTCTCCCTTACACTAAATCTCGTCAAATCTGGTAACAATAATTAATTATTAATTAATTATTTAAACAAAATTTTTAATAAAATTACAAATTTTAATTATTTTCATAAATAAAAATTTCGCAGGATTTCAAGTAGAAATTAAAAAAAAATTTTTTACAGTTTAATTCAATTATTTTATAAAAAAATTTTTTACACGATTCTTTAAAATGAAAAAAAAGAAAAAAAAGTTCTTAAAATATTAAATTTATATCGGAATAATAAATTCAAATTAAAAATTATTTGCAGATAACTTAAAGGAGCATTTAAAAGAATCTCAAGTTCCTGCCTCGTGGAAGGAGTTGATAAAATCCCGCGAGAAAGAAATGGAAATACCAAAAGATAAAATGAAAATTCTATGTGTCGAACTAAATATTTCTCTTGACTGAACAAAAAACCAATTCTTCCTATAAAAAAAGAAAAATAATTGTGACTGCCTCTAAATGCCATAAAAAAAATGCACTGAAAATTCCATTTTAGTGTTACAAGAAATATAAAAAAGTCTCTATACAATATATACTATATTTTAGATACAAAAAATGCGCGTATACAAATATTTTTTTTTCTCTTTTCTGTAATCTCTTTCTAACACTTTATTTCCAAATTTCCTATTAAATGGAATCAATGTGTATTTAAATCAAATCCTGTTTAATATAAATATATATATATATATACTAAAATATTTGTCAAGATATTGAAAAAAAATATTTATTTATTGAAAATAAATTTTTGCTGAATGTAATCTATGTAAATAATTGGTTTTTGAAAATATTTTTTACATCCATTATTGATATTCGAATTCGGACTATACTTTTTTTATATTTCAGCCATTAAAAGACTGAAATTTCTCAATAGAATTTAATTATTTTCAAAAAGTTTTAAAAAATTCTAAGAAATTCAATTATTTAAAACAATTTAAATAAAATTCTGCACAAGAAGAATACAATTTTAATTAAATTTTTTAAATAATTCAATTATTCTTTTAGATTTTAATAAAATTCTTTGCAATATTCAATTATTTTCATTAATAACAATATTGATCACAAGAATTCAATTATTTTTTAAAGTAATAAAGTTTTTCTTGGAAATTCAATTATTTTAAAAAATTCTAATAAAATCGTTTGCAAGAAATCCATTTATTTAATTATTTAAAAAATTTCTTGTAAAATCTTCGTAAAAATTCAATTCTTTTCATGAATAATAAAAATTATTAAAAATAAAAAAATTGAATTCTTTCATAAAATTTAATTAAAAAGTAATTGAATTTTTGCAAAGAAAAAAATATAATTAAATTTTTTCAAAGAATTTATTAAAATTTTTGAAAATAATTGAATTCTGTCGTGAAATTCTTTTGAAAATAATTGTATCTTTGGAAAGATTTTATAAATAATGAAGAAAAATTGAATTCTTTATATTTTTAAATATAATTGAATTGTTTCGAATAATTTATTAAAATTTTTGAGTATAATTAAATTGTATTGGAATTTTTTAAAACGAATTTAGAAAAAAATTGAATGGTTTTGTGAAATTTTTTTGAAAATATTTGAATTTCTTCTATGAATTTTACTATTTATAAATAATAGAATTTAATTATTTTTAAAAATAATAAAATTTTTCACTGTAATTCAATTCTTATTAAATATTTTAATGAAATTTTTCTCAATAATTCATAATTATTTTCATAAATAATAAAATTCTTCTCAGGAATTCAATTATTTTTTCAAAATTTCCCAGGATTTCAAACATTTACAAATTTTTTTATAAATTTCTTCCCAATAATTCAATTACTTTCAAAATAAAAAAATTTATTGCAGATCGTAATTTAAAAAAAAAATTTTTTTTGTTTTTGAAATAACTTTTTTTGTTTATTAAAATTTTCATTAATTCTTGTCAAAATTGTATTCCAGACATGAAAACGAATCGATTCTTGTATATAAAGTGTATATTTTATCAATATTTAGATAAATTAATCAATATATTTATTTTTCAGAAAAGATTCAAATTTTTTTTTTTTAATTTTATTTTAACACTTTAAAATAATTATTCTAAAATAAAAAATTAAACAATTGAGAAAGCTAAATGATCATGAAATGAACAATTTGTTTTTATTTTTTTTATCGTTATGTTTAATTTTTCGACTACGTTTTTACTATTTTTTTAGTTTGAAAGCAACTTTGGTAATTATGCAGAAGAAGGACGTTTCCCAATTTTGAAGATAAATGGTTAATTCTTTTTGGAAAAGCTTTCATTTAGCTAAAAAAATGAAAAATCAGATGGGGGAAGACCGCAACTTTTATAAAAAAATAATTATTTTTTTACTGCTTTTTTTAATTTTTGAAAAAGAGAGAAAGGGTGGAAAAAAACTAGATGATTAACATTACAATTGTAAAAGTATTTAATTCACAATATTATATAATATATTAATGAAAAAACTAATAGGTATTCTAAGAATCATTTTCATTATTATAATCCGTATCGGAATCACTCCGATCGAGCCTCTCCTCATAATCGTCCTTCGTCCAGACACGTTTCGATCTCAAGCCACGTCTCGTCAGTCCCCAGAAGGACTTGGGTCGTAAATTATTATTCTCCGCAGTGAAGAGCCATCCCATGTGATTGCGACATTTTTGGCACGAGACAATCGTCCACGCGTAGCCGGGAAACCAGGAATATTCCGTCGACGGTTCATTGCCACTCAGAATCAAGTTCTTCGCCCTGTAGAGTGTCACAGTCTCGTGCAAAATTCCACTCAAATTGCAGTAGGTCCCCTGCGGTCCCTCGCGATTCATCGGAAACATATCCGACTGTTTGCCAATAAACGAATTACACTCGTTGCAAACGAAGCAGCGATCCCTCACGAGATAATTGATTTCCTTCTGTAGGCGCGGAATCGCACTGTCGTAGTTGAGGAGAGCGATTCTCTTGCTGTCGACGAGGGGGAGATTTTGCCCGACCCAGAAGGAGAGTTCGGTGGGATCCTCGGGGACGTGACTTCCTCGTTTCTTGATGAAGTCGAAGTGGAGGCGAATTTTCTCCGAGAGTTTATTGATATTGTAGCGTTTCATGAGCCACGACGGCCAAGGCGTGGAAATTGAGTCGTGACGTTCGATCCTCTCTTTGAGCAGCGTCGACGTCTGTTGTCGTAAATGATCCGAGGAGCGACAACGCGACTCCCAGAGGGGAAGACCGAGATCGATTTCGGGAACTATTTTGACATTGGCGGAGAATTTGCCGTAGCCCTGAGTGATGCGGAGAATTTTGAAGCGTTGCCGTCCCTTGGCCTTGATGCGAAAGCCCTCGATTGGCGAGCCCTCGATGTACTCGTAGATCTCGGCGGTGGTGCCGATGGAGATGAGTTTGTCGTAGCCGAGGCAAACGACGCCGAATATTCGGTTTTTGTTGATGCACTGCTGGAGCATTTCGATGGTTTGCCGGTCGAAGACGGTCAGGGGGAGGGTTTGTCCGGGGAAGAGGACGACGGACTTCTTTATGAGGAGGGGGAGATTTATGTAGATTCCCTCATCGAGAAGGGTACGACCTCGGAGTTCCTCGAGGTTGTTGCCGAGGTAGGAGTGACTCGCTGGCAAAGTTAGATCGAATGTATTGTCGTCTGGAATTTGCACATCGTCCTCGACATCTGAGTTTTCCATTTTTCTTCCTGTTTCTTCCTTTTGTTTAGCTCCTCGTTTTCCTTAACTCATCGGGAAAATTTCTCCTCCTCACGGTTTTCTTCGAACCAAGTTTCGAACACTAAAATTAAAGTTATTAAATTAATATTGTAATATTAATATAAATTCAGTTATTAAATTATTATTGTATTATAAATTATTAAATTTATCAATTTTTATTTTATTAATTATTAAATTATTATTGTACTAGCAAATTTTACGAGCGCGGAACGTAATATTCAATTTATTATTATTATTTTCAAAAATTCTAATAATATTCTTCTCACGAATTTAATTATTTTCACAAATATTAAAATTTTTCACTGGAATTCAATTAATTAAAAACAATTTCCATAAAATTCTTTTTAGGAATTCAGTTATTTTTATAAATAATAAAAAACTTATCGCTGAATTTGAATTATTTTTTAATACAATTTTAATCGAATTCCTCTAAAAATTAATGTAATAACTGAATTCTTCAAGAAGAATTTTATTGAAATTTTTCAAATAATTAAATTCCAGTAAAAAATTTTATTAAAATTTTTCAAATAATTAAATTCCAGTGAAAAATTTTATTAAAATTTTTCAAATAATTAAATTCCAGTAAAAAATTTTAATATTTGTGAAAATAACAATATTTTTATTATTATTATTATGCAAATTATAAATTTTTTCATTTCAAATATAAATCTTTGAATACTTTTGATTACATAATCAAAATTTACAAAATTTACTAATTAATTATTATTGTTTATATTTTCAAAAATTTTAATACACTTCTTTGCAGGAGTTCAATTATTTTCTAAAATTTTAGTGAATTCTTCAAAACAATTCAATTATTTTTCTAAATACATAGTCAAATTTTTACAAAAAGTAAATTATTTTCAACAAAATTTTAATAAATCCTTAAAATACTTTAATTATTTTTTTATATAGTAAAATTCTTTGAAAAATTCAAATATTTTCACTGAAATTTCAAGACAGACTTCAATTTTTAAAAAAATTCAATTATTTCTTTAAATAATTAAATCTTTGCAAAAATTAAATTATTTTTAATCCAATCTTAATAAAATTTTATGTAATAATTCAATTTTTTCCATTTTTAATATTTTTCGAAAAAATTAAATTATTTTCTAAAATTCTAGTAAATCCTGCGAAATAATTCAATTATTTTTTTAAATAGTAAAATCTTTGCAATAATTCAATTATTTTCAATAAAATCTCACGAAAGAATTCAATTTTTTTCAATTCGTTTACTAAAAATTTTCTAAAAAAAGTTAAATTATTTTATAAATAAATTTAAAAAAATTCAATTATTTTCTAAAATTTTAATAAATAATTATTAACAAACGTGATTTATTTTAAAAAATTGAAAAAATTCTTTGTTTAATTTAATATTTTCAAAATTTGCAATTAAATTGTTTTAGCAAATTTTAATAAAATTCTAAGAAGAATTAAATTTTTTCTAAAAATTGTATTAAAATCCAATAATTAAATGTTTAATTTCAATTATTAAGAAACATGATTATTTTTACAACTTGTAAGAAATTGTTCAAAAAAATTTAATTAGTTTCAAAATTTGCAATTAAAATTATTAAAGAAATTAGATTACTTTTAAAAAATTCTAAAAAATTCTTGAAAAGAATTTAATTAGGTCCATAGGGTTAATTATGGTCCATAGGGACTGCGGGACCAATGTTAAATAAATAAATAAATAAATTAGGATTTTGAAAAATTTTAATAAAAATTCTTCGCAAGAATTCAAATAAATTCTGAGAAGAATTGAATTATTTTCTAAAAAGTTTTAATAAAATTCAATATTTAAATGTTTAATAATTGAATTTAATTATTTAATTATATTAACTCAAATTGGTTACGAAACGGAATTGAATTATAACTGAGATTCGTTTCCGAACTTTCTAATTTTGCCGATTTTTACATTTTTCGCACTTTATTTATATGCATATGTTTAAAAAAAGAGGTTAGAAATGCGTAAATTATTTCCGTCTATTTACATTCTTTATTTTTTATAATTTTATCTATATATAATTCCAAAACTTAAAGAACATAAATTAGACTTATTTATTCTTTAACACATAATTTGCAAATTCAAAACCGAAGAATTCCAAAATATTTACTTTATTTATAGAAAAAAAAATCAAAACTGTAAATTGTTGCCTTTTGTAGTTTTTATTAAAAAGCAATTTGTAACGAAACGGAATTAAAAGCAATTACCCGCATTCAGAATATTTCTGTATATATTACTCTTCTTTATTTTGTTACAAAAGAATAGAAAAAAACGTGAATATTGACAATATACAACGTATTTGGAAACGGTAAAATTGTAACTTTCTTTCAACACAATAAATACAGTTTCGATCTATGGAAGGCAGGACAGAAATTAAATTAAAAATCACCTTTTTCTAGAAAAAAGTACGAATGAAAAAAAGACTTCTTTTTCAAAACACTTGTAATTGAATTGTATTTTAAAGTTGTTAACATTCACTCTCTTGACAGACAGGTCTAAACTAAACTGAAAGATATCGTAATATTACCGAAATCAATAATTTCCCTTTTTTCTCCGATATTTTCTCCTTCGCAGTGGAAAATAGTTCCGAACTCTCCTTTTTCAACGAATTTTACTAATTTTCTATAATTTTCTATTCAATTCGACAATTCTTATTCCTGAATTCAATTATCTAACTTAAGAAAAAAAGAATTAAACATATTTTTTAAAATTTTTCGGAATTGAAGAATTGAAGAATTTTTTTGAATTTTGCGCCAAGTTTCCAAAAGCGTGGTGTGAATGCACCCTTAGCAGGGTTGGGAGCGTAAAATACCTCAAGTTAATTAAATGTTTATTTTTACTGCAAAATACCTTAAGGTGCTTCTATACCTCCGGTGGATTGGTCAAGCAATCGGCTCGATGAATTTTCACGGTCGGAAAATGTACTTTCATGGCTGGTATTTTTGAATAAGTAAATGTTGAAAAGGTTTTTACTTGAAAATTTATTTTAAAAAATGATTTTATCATAGAAATTCTTTTGAAAGTAATGTTAAAAAACATGTTTTATTTTAAAAGTTATCAAATTTTAATTCAAAATGTTTTAATTTTCCAAAGAAGTGTAAAAAGCCTAATGTTTTTGAAATGCTAGTACAGACGGTACAGACTGTTTGTTATGAATGTACATAACCTAGCGTTGTGTTGTCTGTTCATTATTATTTAATATAATAATAATTAAATCATTAAATTTAGAATATAATAATATCACAAGCACGACAACACAACGCTAGGTTATGTACATTCATAACAAACAGTCTGTACCGTCTGTACTAGCATTTCAAAAACATTAGGCTTTTTACACTTCATTGGAAAATTAAAACATTTTGAATTAAAATTTGATAACTTTTAAAATAAAACATGTTTTTTAACATTACTTTCAAAAGAATTTCTATGATAAAATCATTTTTTAAAATAAATTTTCAAGTAAAAACCTTTTCAACATTTACTTATTCAAAAATACCCGCCATGAAAGTACATTTTCCGACCGTGAAAATTCATCGAGCCGATTGCTTGACCAATCCACCGGAGGTATAGAAGCACCTTTATTTTTAACTTCAAAAAGTTTTGCAAACAATCAGATTTGAGGGAGAAGGGTAAAATACGTATTTTACATGTAAAATTCAGTTACTATCCCAAAAAACCAGAGTTTTACGTCTCAAAAGTCTCGAAGCGCGTCGCGACCGTCAAAAAGTTATTGTATAAGAACCCTAACTTAAGAAGTGTGATCTCCCCTTTATGGGAAGTTTTTCAAATGAGTTTCCAATCTTATTTTCTATATACTTCAAGTTATAAAGTGACAGATATTTTTTAATATTTAAAAAAATTATTTTTCACCGAAAATGCCAAGGACAATTTTTGCAAACGATGATCTATTAGATTATTTAACATCCCTCGCTAATCCTACCGGATATACCATAGGATTAATATTGGGACAGGTTTCTTTTGACACTTTTTTTCTCTTTTTTCTCTATTTAAATTTCAAAAATAAATAAATATAAAAATAAAGTACCAGCAGCTGTTATCTATTTTTTGAAAAAATGTGACTTTTTTTAATTATACTTCAAATATAAATTAAAAAATTTAAGTTTATAGTCTTAAAACTATCACTCGGCAAAATTACATAGATTTTAAAAATTAAGTTGAAATTATTAATTTAAATTTATATTCACATAAATATTGATATTTATATGTAAACAAGATTCGTGTTTATAAAAATTACTGTTTTTGTAATAATATTTAGAAAAATATTTCTAATAACAATAACAATATTTATATTCATGAAGAAAATAATAAAATGTTTATCAAATAATAATTTTTTCGGAAAATACTTCAGAATTGATTTCAAAAGACTTTTTTTCTTTTTTACTGTGTAAATCAAATTTTGTTTACTAAAATTAATATTTTTGCTTCTCACTAGAGTTGTGAACAGAAAGATTTTGTCATTCATTTGGCAAGAACTTCTCAACCCTCAAAAAAAGACGTAATTGAAGAGTCCGTTCTTGGTTCAAGTTTAAATGTTTCCCAAGAATCATTTACTTCCATAAAGTCTATTAAGGACATTCCCGGAAGTTGGGTCGCTGATCATGCAAAACACGTGAGTTTTTCTATTTTTTTCTATTTATTTAATTAACAATTTTTTATTTTCAAATATGAATTTTTAAATAATTTCAGATTCAAACTTTAAAAAAATTCAATTATTAACTAATTTACTAATTAATTATTCTAGTTTATTAATTTAAAAAATTTTAATAAAATTCTTCGCAAGGATTCAATTATTTCAAATTAATATCTATTATTTAAAAAGAAAAATTAGTAAGAAAAGTTAGGAAACATTAATATAGAAGATAATTTTTTTATTTAAATTAATTTTTCAAAAATATTTACATTTTCTTTTACGATAGGTTACAAGAATGTTGCCCGGTGGAATGTGGGTTTTGGGAATTTTCACCGTTGGTCCAGAAGATGTATTCACGACAAATGCTTCAGTTGAGAAATTAAAAGCAATTCTCTCATCGGTTGAGAAAAATTTAATCGCCAATCCACATTTATATGGAAATCATGAAGAGGAAAGTCTTCTACTACATTTTAACAGCCTTACAAAAAAGTAATCAAAATTATTTACATTATAGTTAATTTTAACTTTTAAAACAATATTTTTAACAATATTTATAAAATGTAGATACATCTGTAAATCAATGGACGCAAAAAATTTCTTAAAACCAGTGGATTGGAAATTTCAAAGCAATTCTACATTCACAAAGTGGCACCATCTCGAGACACTTGTTGATTTTGATCGTGTGTTTCCTATTTCGAGACTGAAAACGCCGAATCCTTTGAAGAAACAATTACAGGTTGGAATAAAAATATTCACATTTCTAAAAAACAAAATAATATAAAATAATAAAAATAACTAAAAATTAAAAATTGTTATAAAACATGAAGAAAACGATCACTCCGAGTCTTCGACTCGGAGCAATCGCTGTCTTCATGTTTTATAAAAATATTTAAAGTTATTGAATTTGAATGTTTTGGAAAATTTTAATTCCTACGGAAAAATAATATTTAAATATTTATTTAAAAAAAAATTATTGATATTTTCGAATAATTTTACAATTAAAGAAATTCGTAAATAAATGTAACAGAACATTTTTTTGAGTAAATTTTTTTCCTTTATTTTCTAAAAATTTAAAAAGTTTCATTTTCATTTGTCAATTAAAATTTGTAATTGACAAATAGAATAGAATTTCTTTTCGAAAAGAGAAGAATGAGTTTCTGAACAATATTGTTATTGAGAAATATAAATTATATGCATAAAATATTTCCTATTTCTTAATTATAATATTTTATACAAATTAACAATTTTCTATTTTTTGTAAATAATTGCTTTTTTTTCGAAGGATATTCTCAGTGAGACGACAAATATGATTAATTCCTCATTGGTGGTAATTGAAGGTGAATTACGTTCAGACGACGCCGCTGTTGAAACGATTGGCAAACAATTGTCAAAAGAGAAGAAAACTGAGAAGGAAAGCAGTGGCGATAATGAGTCTGAGAAAAAAATACTACAAGTCGGAATTTATATTCCCTGCGTAAGAAATAATTTACTTTTTATCTTTTTTTGAAAAAGAGATACAAAAATGAATAATTTTATTGTTTTTTGTTTCAGCAAAAGAATTTCGATATGCAAACAATAGAATGCACTGGATCGATGCGATTGGTCGGTCAACTTGTCAGTCGAACGTTTGTCCATCAAAAAGCAACAATAGAAGAGGCGGTGAATGCTGTGAAACAGGATATATTAAGATCATTGGCCAGTCGATTGGAAATGCATTGGGACAGTTTGATTGAAGAAGAAGACGGTTCACCCGAAGGTGAATGGAAATTAAAAAATTCTCCTCATTATAATTTACATTTCTTTTTTGAATGTTTTTCTCTGCGATAATAATTTTTCGAATATTTTTCTTTCTTTTTATAGAAAATTAAAAATTGAAATTTTTCAATGTTTTAGAAACAATTACACTTCATGAACCGCCGAGGAGAGTTTTGATTCAACTTCCAAGGAATAAAGTCAGTTTATCGGATTATTTGTTCCCCGGTGAAGGCACACAGGAATCTTTACTTTCACTTCGTGAACTGTTGGATATAAAAGTGCAGGAATGCAATATCAATAAGGATTTAGAATTACAAGTTGGTGAGTAAAATATTCACTCAAAAGATATTAATTTAAAAAAAAAATGAAGTCCCTGAAGTTGGCATCGATGTTCACTATCGAAAACTATCTTTTCTTATTTTGAGTGATAAAAACTAATTTCACATTTTTCATTCACCTAGGAAGTAGAATTAAAATTTTATTTTTCCCTGATTTCCGGACAAAATTTTAACTTTCTCCCTGAGCCTAAAAAATATTCTGATTCACTCTAAAAATATTAGATATACTGAAAAAAATGTTTTTTTATTTACATAAATTATTTTTAATAATTTTTGAAAAAAGTTCTTTGAGAATTTTCAAATACATTTGTTTACAATTCAATTTTACGTGAAATTTCAATAATTAGGAAATTCTTCAATTAAACTTTTTCAAAAAAAAAAAATTAATTCTACAGAGTTTTTAGTTAAAAGTATATAAAAAATTCACATTTTCAAAGATTTTAGTTTGAAACCTTTTCAAAATTCGATTGTTGCGAAAGATTCACTATATAATGTTTTTAATATTCAATTATCTGAAATTTGAAATAAAATTTATTTTTGAAACAATTTTTATTAGAAAATTCTACTAGAATTCAATTATTTAAATACAAAAATAAATAATTTATTGAATAATTGAATACTTTTTCAAAATTGAATTCTCATAAAGAATTTTATGAACTAATTTTTAAATAATTGAATTCTTTCGACGAATTTTAATAAAATTTTTAATAATAATAACATTTCTTTAAAGAATTCTTGAAGAAGAATTTTATTGAAATTTATTAAATAATCGAATTCCAGTGAAAAATTTTATTATTTATGAAAAAAAAAAATTGAATTCGTTCAAAGAATTTTATTAAAATTTATAAATAATAATAATTAAATTTTGCAAAGAGTTTTATCAAAATTCCAAAAAAGAATTAAATTTCTTTGAATAATTTTTGTTATTTATCAAAATAATTTAATTCTTTCGAAAAATTGCATTAAAACTTTTGAAATAATTAATATAATTCAAAAAAATTCAATTAATTTCAACAGAATTGAAATTAAAATTTTTCATAAAAATTAGTTTTACAGAATTGTTAATTAAAAGTATAAAAAATTAAAATTTTCAAAGATTTTAATTTAAAAAATTTTCAAAATGCAATTATTTCTAAAAATTTACGGAATGATACATTTAATATTCAATTCTTATTTTAATTTTTAACTAAAATTAATATTTAAATTAATTTTTATTAGAAAGTGCTACGAGAATTTAATTAATTAAATGTAAAAATAAATAATTTATTAAATAAATTGAATATTTGTTAAATTTTATTAAAATTTGAATTTTCTTAAAATTTGTGGAAAAAATTGAATGTTTGCGTAGAATTTTGTTAAATTTTTTTTTAAATTATTGAATTCCTTTGGGAAATTTTTGAAAATAATTGAATTTCGAAGAATAATTTTATTATTTATAAAAATAATTGAAATCTTGACAACGATTTAAAAATCATTTTTGATAATAATTGAAATTTGGAGAAGGAATTTTGCTATTTATAAAAATAATTAAATTTTAGAGAAGAATTTCATTATTTATAAAGATATAATTGAAATTTTTTTTAATTCTTGAATTTCATTATTTTAATACAATAAAAATTTATTGAATAATTGAATGTTTCTTAAAATTAAATTCTTATAAAGAATTTTTCCAGTAAACTTTTAAATAATTGAATTCTTGAGAAGAATTTTATGGAAATTTTTAAAAATAATTGAATTCGTGTCAAGAATTTTATTAAAATTTTTGAAAATAATTAATGCAAAGAATTTTATTAAATTCATAAAAAATAATTAAATGTTTGGGAAGAATTTTGTTATTTACCAAAATAATTGAATTCTTTTGACGAATTTTAATGAAATTTTTAAGAATAATTACATTTTTTGATGATTTCCATTAAAATTATATTAAAAATAATTGATATTCTGCAATGGGTTTTAGTATTTGTGAAAATAATTTAATTCTAGTGAAAAATTTTATTGTTAATGAAAATAATTGAATTATTGCGAAGAAATTAAAAATTGTTAATAATTGAATTCCTATGAAATTTGTATTATTTATGAAAATAATTAAATGTTTGCTCAGAATTTTACCAAAAAATTTTTTTAAATAGTTGAATTCTTTTGTAAAATTTTCTTAAAATAGTATAGATAATGAAAATCATTGAATTGAGGAATAATAATAATAATAATAATAATAATAATAATAATATATTTATTTAAATAATGAAACAAAATAATAATTTATTTGCAGATCCATCGGAATTTTATTGTCAAAGTGCAGACACAAGGACAAGTGACACAGCCAGCATTCAAAAAAATATTATCGGAAAAAAAAATATTTTCCTATTCATCACTGGTTTCAGTTTTGCTCTACTTATCCTCATTGTAGCCATAATATTTAATCGAGCTTAAAACCGAAAAACTCTCATTTAGTCCTGGACTAAAAATATTGATTAAATAATGTAAAAAAATTCTAAAACTTGATTTTTTAAAATTTTTATTCAAGAGTTCTGTACAATATTCTTTTTGTTTTCGTACTTCATTTTATAAAGAAATAGAATAATTATAGTGTTGTAAAAATTCATACCTTATAATGTATAAAAAAGAATAAAACGAGAGTTGACAATTTTTATCATTTGAAATTAAAAAAAAAAATGTAAACATTTTTTTTGTTATATTTTTTTATATATATAAAATAAAAATAAATAAATTGTAAATTGTGTCTGTTATTTAAAAAAAAGAACAATCTCGGTTTATATTATAATTCAATAATGGAAAGTTTAAATTAAATTACCTAGCAGGCCGTTTTTTATTTTTACGATCAAAAAAATTAACGAAAATTGTTAATTATAGTAATATATCTATATATGGAATTTACGAATAATTTTTTTTTATACATGTAGTCCATAAACGTTTTGTATATTATAACATTGTAATATTTATAGAATATATACATAAGTTTTTCTAATTAAAATATGTACAAATTATAGTTTTTTCACTCCCAACATTTCTTCTGAATATTATAATCAGTTACGAAATAAGTTAGAAAATATATATTTTCAATCAAAAAAAAAAAAAATTATTGTTGCGCTCTGATAATAAAATACAATATAAATTCAAGAAGAAACGAATTGACAATAATATTAACATTTAAGAGGCAGTGATTGTTTTTTCTATTTAGGCTTTTCTACGAGTTGTTTTTTTTTTGTTCACTGTAAAGATAATTTTTTACCTGAATTTCCAAAATCTGGATTAACAGATTAATTAATCTGTTAGTTTGTTAATTTTTTTTGTTGAAAAATCGCAGACTTAACTAAAATTCAACTGAAAAATTATCTTTTTACTTTTTGGAAAAAAATAGATAAAAAAGAAATATAAAAAAATTTCAATCGTATTTATGGAAAAATTGGCTCATTTGAATTTATCAGCCTTCTGGTTTTTTCTCGGTCTAAAAATGCATAATTCTCTCTTTCTCTCTCACTTAAAAATTGTATTTTACATTTAGTAATTCTCTCTCTCTTTTTTTTACTGATTAGTACGCAACGTTTAGTACTTAAACTACGTTTTTTTCTCTCGGTTATTAAAAAAAAAGGAAACTACTATTAAACTGCTATTGAAAAATAATATGCAAAAATGTCGAGTTGCGCTAATACTGTTAAATTCAATTAGATTGTACAACCCAAACGATACATTTTTCTCTCTCAAGCGGTCGATAATAATGATGAAAATGAAAATGATTCTTTTTCAGGGCTCGAACCAGTGAAAGTCGATTATTTTTAATAATTTTCGAAAAAGTTCTTTCACAATTTTCAAATCCATTTCTTTACAATATTCAATTTTACGAAATTTCAATTATTCGTCAATTCTGCAATTAAATAAATATTAGAAAATAAAAACTTAAAATAATATATAAAGAAAATTCAATTCAATTTTTTCAAAATAATTAATTTCAAAATTCAATTATTTTTAAAAATTCACGCTATATTGTTAATAATATTCAATTATTATCTAAAATTTTAACTGAAATTAATTTTTAAAACAATTTTTTTCTGAAAATTCTACGAGAATTCAATACAAATAAAATGCAAATAAATAATTTATTCAATAATTTCTTTAAAGGAATTTAATTAAAATTTTACTGAAATTTATTTTTTAAAAAATTTTTTATAACAATTTTTGAAAATAATTGAAAACTCTTTGAAGAATTTTATTAAAATTTTTAAAAATACTTGAATTCCTGAGAAGAGTTTAAATATAAAATTTATGAAAATAATTGAATTCATGCAAAAAAATTTTATTAAATGTTGTTTAAATAATTGAAATTTTTTACAAGAAGTTTATTACCATTTTTGACAATAATTTAATTCTTGAGAAGAATTTCGCTATCTATTTATAAAGATAATTTAATTCTTGATGAGAGTTTTAAAAAAATTTTTTAAATAATTTAATTTCTGCAAAGTATTTTATTACTTTTTAAAAGAATTGAATTCTTGTGATGGATTTTAATACTTATAAAAATAATTGAATTTTGGAAAAGAATTTTATTAAAATTCCCTAAAATAATTGATTTAATGGGGATAATTTTGTTTGTTTATCAAGATAATTGAATTCTTTTCCAGAATTATTAAAAAATTTTTGAAAAATAATTGATTTCCTGCGACGAATTAAAAGTTATTTATGAAAATAATTTAATCATTGTAAAATTTTTAAGAATAATTGCATTTTTCGAGGAATTTATTTAAAACTGTATTAAAAATATTTAAAATTCTGCCGTGAAAATAATTGAGTTCCTAAATGAAATTTTATTGTTTATGAAAATAGTAAATATTGAAAATCATTGAATTACGAAATACTTTTGAAAATAATTGAAATTTTGCAAAGAATTTTATTTAAGTTTTTGAAAATAATTGAATTTTTGCAACAATTTGTAACTTTTACAAAATTGAATTTTTTTTCCGTGTTTTTCACTAAATATTTTCTATAAATCCATTATTCTTAATAATTTTTGAAAAAGTTCTTTACGAATTTTTAAATTCAGTTCTGTTTACAATTCAATTTTACAAAATTTCAATTATTTGTAAATTCTTCAATTAAATATATATTAGAAAATAAAAACTTTTAATAATTTCAAATAAAATCCGCAATTAAAGTTTCTCAAAAAAAAAATTAGTTCCACAGAATTGGTAGTTAAAAATATGAAAAATTCAAATTTTCAAAGATTTTAATCTGAAACCTTTTCAAAATCTAAAATTTTAACTGAAATCCATTTTTAAATTAATTTTTATTAGAAAATTCTACGAGAATTCAATTCTTTAAAAATAAAAAATAAATAATTTATTTAATAACTCAACGTTTCTAAAAATTTGATTCTCATAAAGAATTTTATCAACAAATTTTTAAATAATGAAATTCTTTCGACAAATTTTAATAAAAAATTTTTTTAATTTACATTTTTAGTGGAATTCGATTAAAATTGTATTAAAAATAATTGAAATCTTCCGATGAGTTTTATTATTTATGTAAATAGATTAATTCTTGCGAAGAATTTTATTAAAATTGTCAAAAACAATTAAATTCTTGTAGAAAATTCCCAGAAATTCAATTATTTAAAAAAATTTTAATATAATTCTTGGCATAAATTAGAAATAACAGAAATTCTTTGCAGATCTTCATTTATTACTTTCGGAAATTTTAATAAATTTTTTTGCAGGAATTTAAATATTTTTGTTAAATAATCAAAATCTTTGCAGAAATTCAAATATTTTCGAAAATCTTAATAAAAAATCTTCCCAATTTAAAATTTCTGAAAGTAATTGAAATTTTGCAAATGAATTTTATTATTTGTGACAATAATTGATTTTTTTTCGAGAAGAATTTTATACAAAATGTTTTTAAAATCTTCTAAAAAATTTACGCTCTATTGCTTTTAATATTCAATTATAATATAAAATTTTAACTATGAAATCTGTTTTTAAATCATTGTTTATGAGAAAATTCTACTAGAATTCAATTATTTAAATACAAAAATAATTTATTGAATAATTCCATGTTTCTTAAAATTGAATCTCATGAATTTTATCTATAAATTTTTAAATAACTGAATTCTTTTCACGAATTTTAATAAAATTTTCAAGAAAATTTTTTTCTATGAATTCGATTAAAATTGTATTGAAAATAATTGAAATTCCTAAAAAGAATTTTATTATTTATGAAAATAATTAATAGTTTGTCTGGTATTTTATCAATCATTTGTAATTTCTCTAAAATTCTCCAAATTGTATCGTACAATTCAGAAATTTTTCATCCTTCTTGAATGAAATTACGGACTTTCGCGGTTTTTTACGGGATTTAGTTCGAGCCCTGGTTTTTGAGCACTAGGGGGGCAAAAGTGGTTTTTATTGCGCTATACAGTACCGCCTAATTTGATCAAACCCGCTTGACTGGCAACGTCCTCCAGCGAATCTAAATCTAATGCCGATTCAATCATTGTTGTGTCCTGCAATAATCGGAGCTTGGACGCCGACAATGGAGTGCTGGCAGTTGTATTATTCGACGATAAATGCGGAATTGATGACGATGATACATCGTCCAATCCAATTGGAATTCCCACGGTCGTCGACGGTAATGGCGCAATTTCGTCGATATCTATTGGCGCAATATTAAGCGAGGCCAATGGCGCCTCATGGCTCACGAGGTGACTCACGCTGTTTGTTGTACTACCTGAAAATTACAATATTTTATTTTTATAGCAACTATAATAGTAATAGTAATAATAAGAAGAAGAATAATAACAATTAATAATAATAATATAGGTCTTTCTTTACCACAATAATTAATTTTACTACGGTCGACAATCAAATATAAACAATAAAAATAACAAAATAAAATAAAATAATAAAATAATAAATTAATAATAATAATAATAATAATAATAGCATTAATGATATTCATAATTAATAATAATTAATAATAATTATAATTATCATAAGGATGATCCATTCTTTGACAATAATCGTAAAATTAAAGTCCGCTACTGGTGCAAAAGAAATTTTTTTGCTATTTACAACAATTATATTTTGATAAGTAATTAATCGTCTACAATACAATAGTAATAATTATTATAATTTCCATAAAGAAAAACTTACCCCACAGAGTGTGAACTCATTCCAAAAGATTATTATTTTTTTTTTGACGCGTTTAATTAAGAAAAAAAAAGAGAAAGTGAATAATTATTTCAATTAACATTTTTATATAGATTTTTACGGAGAGAAAAAGAGATTTTTTTTTTATTTTTAAATATACCTATAATAAAATATATATTCTTCTTCTAATTTCTAGAAGCGATTAAAATTTTCCATTTTTTTGAACAAAATTAGGCAATTTTTCTTTTTTTTGTTCAATTTTTTTAGTAACAGGCCTTGGATTGAATTTTGCGAAAAAAGAGCGAAAAAAGATTGGAAAGTGAAAAAGAAAATCGAAAAAGTCTATTTTATTTAGGATTGTCGCGATTTTTTTGATTTTTTACTACCCCCACTTTTTCGTTTCTAGAAAATTTTCTAAAAACTTTTTCTTCTTGTAAAAATTACGTGAATTTGTAAATTATTGTGAAATTCAATTATTTTCAAAGCAAGTTTTTCCCTTTTTTTGCAATTTCAAAAAATTATAATCGCGTTTTCTTCGAATAAAAAATAAATTTTTCAAATTCTGCTTCTAAATTAAATTTCTTTCAATAGAATTGTCAATAAAATTTGCCAAAATTTCCAATTTCAATTTATTATATTCAATAAATTGCAAATATTTTAAAAATTTCTAAATTAAATCTTTGAAAAATTCAATAAATTTGTATTTTATTATTCTTTTTTTCACAAATGAATTAAAATTTCAATTTCGAATGTTTTGAAAATTAATTATTTCTAAAAAATTACAACTGCAAGAAATTCTTCCAAAATTCAATTACTCGAGAAAATTAAATAAAATTCTCCGTTAAATTTAATTATTTTTGACAATAAAAATACATTAATGATTGAATTTCTTTTTTTATTTTCAAATAATTAAAATGAAATTCCTTCAAACGTTAAAATATTGAAAAAATTTAAATAAAATTAGAATTAATTCGATATTTTCAAATAATCGAGTTTCTGAGAATTTTTAAATAAAAATTGTCCAAAATTCAATTTTGCAAAAATTTTATTTTAAAACTCTTTAAAATTTAATTAATACTAAAAATTTCTACTATAAACTCTTTCAATCAATTATTAGAATTTTCAACCAAAAATTCTTCTCGTAGTCACTTATTTCAAGTTTTTTTTTTTGAAAATACTAAAATAATTTAGAAGAAGTTTTAGAAGAATTTTAATTACAAAATTATTAAAAAAATAAATTATTGAATAATTGAATGTTTCTCCAAATTGAATTCTCATAAAGAATTTATTATGAAAAATAATTGAAATTCTGCAAAGACTTTTATTATTTATGAAAATAATGTAATTTCTAAAAAAAATTTTGTTATTTATGAAAATAATTGAATCCGCAAAAAATGTTATAATTTAAAAATAATAATTAAATATTGCAAAAAGTTTTATCAAAATTCCTAAAAAGAATTGAATTTCTATGAAGATTTTAATATTTATCAAAATAATTGAATTCTCTCGAAGAATTGCTTAAAAACTTTTGAAATAATTAAATATAATTCGAAAAAATACAACTAATTTCAACAGAATTCAAATTAAAAATTTGTCGAAGAATTCTTTTAAAATTGATGAAATTTATTAAAAAATTTTAAGAATAATTACATTTTTCGAAGAATTCTTTTAAAATTGATGAAATTTATTAAAAAATTTATAAATAATTAAATTCTTAAAAATTTTATGGAAATATTTTAAATAATTGAATTTTAATGAAAAATTTTATGATTTGTGAAAATAATTGAATTCGTTTCAAGAATTTATATTAAAATTTTCAAAAATAATTGAATTCTTTATGTGAATATTGTTATTTGTTAAAATAATTGAATTTTGCAAAATAATTTTATTAAAATTCCTCAAAATAATTGAATTTCAGCGAAAGAATTTTGTTATTTACTTATTTATCAAGATAATTGAATTCTTTTAGAGAATTTTAATAAAATTTTTATGAATAATTACATTTTTAGAGGAATTCTTTTAAAATTGAAGAAATTTAATAGAAAATTTGTAAATAATTGAATTCTTGTGGAATTTTTATTAATTTATGAAAATAATTAATTGTTTGAAGATAATAAAATTTCCAATCGAAAAATTTTCGTTTAATTAAATTTTAGTAAAAAATCTTTCGAAAATTGAATAATTGAATAATTGAAAGAAAATTTAGAAAAAATTTTTTCGAAAATTACTACAAAAATAATCAATTTTTAGAACAATTTTAATTATAAAATTATTAAAACTATTTCTCAAAAATTCGAATAAGTTGAAAAAAAATAGTTTTCTTTAATTTACTTCTTTTGAAGATAATTGAATTTAAATAATTATATTTAAGTTATTTTTAAAAAGATCTATCTTTAAAAAGTTTAATTTTTAGGAAGATAAAAATATTTGCAAAATATATTCTAAATATTTGTTTAAAATATTTTCAAAATATTTGGAAGAAAACTAAAAATTTTTTTTTTGAATACGAATCCAAGGCTTGTTAATAAGAATAATTAAGAAACTTAAGTTCTAATGTTCCCCTTAATCGATTTATGTCGAAAATTATTATCAACAGAATAGGAATTATTTTTAGTCTCAAATAATGACATGGATGACGATGATGAGAGTGTCGTAAGAGAAGATGATGATGATTCTGATAATGTAATTTGTGGTGCTTTATTGACAATTAATTCAAATGAAACTTGTCCGGGAACTTGTTCAATATTAACACTCCGTCCGTTGGGACTCTTACTCGTGATATAATTTAACGAATGATCATGAATTGGAATACATCGAAAATCATTGTAATTAAATAGTGAAATTTGCGAATTTTGTTGATGATAGTTTTCTGGTAGTATTTTACGATCGTTTATCATAAACGAGGATGACGACGAAGGTGATGGAATGTGTGAACTGTCATTGCATTTATGACAGGGAAATTCTAAATTTTGATTGTAAATAATATCGTTATTACTATCATTATCAACACTCAGGGAAATTCTATTGTCACGATAGAAATTTTCCGAATATCTTCTTTCTAGATTTGAAATTTTTTCCGAACGGTGTATTTTGTTTTTAATCAGTGTACCACTTTGATGTTGTTGTTGTTGTTGTGGGTTGATAAATGAATTTTTGTATGAACAATAATTTGACGTGTAGATATCATTATTTGGGTTAATATAATGCGATGGGAAATTTACATATTCTTTGGCACATGGATTTCTTAATAGTGGCAACTCACCGTTCATTGATTCAATTCGTTGTGGTGAATGTTGTCCATGGTAGAGATTATTCATTGAACCAGTGAAGTCTTCATTGTTTATTGAAATATTACCGACACCGTTCATTTTTTGCTGTTGCTGAAAAAAGCATAACATTTTTTTCAATTTTTCAATAAATAAATAATTCTGTAGGAAAAAATAGAAATTAAAATTGTTACCTGTGGTTGTATTTTAACTGCTCCGTACGTCTTTCCTGGATTTATTATAACACTCTCGCCGTCGAGCCATTCACGTTGTGTTCTATATTCGGGCGTGACAATACCTCGACGATCTGGAAAATAAATTTTACAATTTTATGTCACGCGTTCTTAAAAAAAGCAAATAAAAAATACAAAATTTGTTACTTTACCAATAAGACTTGGAGGAGCAGGTCCACATAATACAAAAAAACAATTGCCACAAATATTCCCCTGACTGTAGGGATTGAAACTTTCTTGTCCCCGTTTACTGGTAAAGGATCCTTTTATCTGTTGAAAGAAAATAATTTTAATATCATTAGTGTCAATCATTTAATAATAATCGAGATATTTCTCAGAATTAAAAATCTCTTTGTTTAATAAAAATAAAACTCACATCTTCATTTGTCGTTTGATTACTTGTCGTGAGGTACGTGTGGAATCCAGCTAATCCGAGAATACTCCAGACGGAAAAAAAGCAAACAACACCAACGACAACACTACCTGGAGATTGTTTCACAGCATTCAGGAACGGATTATCGTTCCTTGTAACTAAAGAACAATTAATTTTTATGAAAGTGAAAAAAGAAACTAAAGTAATATAACAAAATAAATTAATACAAAAATGGAAAACTTACGCATTATGAGATGTGTTATTGCACAGGCAAAAATAAAAACGCATAAAAATGCTAAAGACACTATAAAGGCATAAAAATATCTATAGTTTCTTCTTCCCACGCAGTTTCCTACCCAGGGACAATGGTGGTCGAAGCGTTCTGTAAAAAATTACAATTCTTTATTAGCAAAAGCAAAACCAAAAAATACATCGAATATCTAATTATTTTAACTATTTTCAAAGAAAAATTCAATTAAACTTTATAAAAAAAAATTAATTCTACAAAATTCTTACTTAAAACCAAAAAAATTCAGATTATCAAAGATTTTAGTTTAAAAACTTTTCAATTCTACGAGAAAAATTCTACGAGAGAAATTTCTACGAAAATTCTACGAGAATTCAATTATTTAAATACAAAAATAAATAATTTATTGAATAATTGAATGTTTCTCAAAATTGAATTCTCATAAAGAATTTTGTCAACAAATTTTTAAATAAATGAATTCTTCTGACGAATTTCAATAAAATTTTTAAGAATAATTGCATTTTTCGAGAAATTTCATTAAAATTGTATTCAAAATAATTCAAAAAAATTTGAATTATTAAAATTTTTTTAAAATCTAAGTTCTTTAAAATTTGGAATTAAATTCATTCAAAAATTGAAATTTTATAAAGTAGAAATGAAATGAAAAAATACAAACCGACACAATTGTCACATAAACTGCAATGTGACGCTCTCGGTGGTCGAAATATTTTACACGTAAAACAATATTTAAGTTTTACAGGATGTCCACGAACCATTATTTCCTTTGTACGTGGTGGAGGCCTGTATGTTGGTGAATTGCCATTATTTGGCACTTCTGTGGAAAAAACATTTATTTTACATCAGTTTCTTACAAACCAAACAAAAGAGAAATTAAATTGAAAAAATGAAATAATTGTTCTATTTTTTATATTCAAATTCTGTTAATAATTGTATTTTATATATTTTTGTAGTTTCTGAAGAGGAGTTTATGATTTAACTCGAAACGTTCGACTTTTAAAAAAAAAGTAACATTGTTGTCCGAATGTATCGTTTTTATTGTAATAATAAAATAATAATATTAATAAAAATAGTAGATAAAGAAAATGTAAAATAAGTAAAAAAAAAACTATCAAAAAAGGGTAAAATTTCTATTTTCTATTCACCAATTTGTTGCTCTATGTAGGCAGCTTCATCGGGCGTTGCACGTGGTATAACGCCAGGATCACTGAAACTTGTTCGAAATAAAGCGGACATAACGAATATAAAAAGAAAACCACCAATCACTGGAATTGCTGGCGTTATATTATCCGCAAGATATGGACAACTGTAACAAAAAAAAATAATAGAAAATTCCCACTTCTTCTTTCAATTATAAATCAAAATTTGTTCTTTTCTTTAAAAAAAACTTACTCGAAGGCAAAAAATAATCCACTCGTTCCGGCGATTAAACAAACAGTCACATAAAATACTCCCGTTTGTGGAGCCATCATTAATCTCCCATCACAGCAAAATCTATTTTTCCCAGGAAATAATTCCCACTTTCTAGTAACGTGAGGCATTTTTTTCTTCTTGTTTGTTTGTTTGTGCGTTTCTTAAATACTACTTTGAAAAATAAAAAGAAAAGTTTTCCTTTCTTTCAAATGTCGTTCAATTCTTCATTACACTAAAAATAAACAAAAGGAATTTTCTGCTTATAATTAGAATAAACAAAGGGAATTTTCTGCGTATAATTGAAAAAATTAAAATAAATTATTCTACTAATTTTGAAAATAGTTTTTCCTTCCATTATAATATTTATAACGAAATTTTTTCCGATTTTTGAAAGATGATGTCAAAAAAGAAAAATAATTATCTTTTTTAGTAAATATAATATTAATTATAATTATTTTATTATATTTCTAAACATTTCTTTATAAATATTATACTAATAATTATTCTAAAATTTATTAATTGCTACTATTTATTACTGTACTGAAAATAATTAATTTGCTTACAACTTTACTTTTTTTTACTTTACTTACAAGACAAAAAGTTACTCACCCAATTTTTTCAATTCTTCTAGTCAACTAATTTCAATTGTTGTATCAATTAATTCGAAACAATTAATATACCAAGCACCAGTGTATCGATAAAAATTCCTCATTCTTACAATAAAGAGGGGACAATTATTGTCAGGTATATTAGATTGACATCCAAATGTTTAGAATGTTTCTTCTAAAAGGTCACGATTATTACTTCCTTCGTCTTTTTATTTCTCTAATATTTACATTATTATGATTCTTCTATATAAATTATATTTCAGAAACATTCAATAGATCGTTTTAATATTCACCTGAATACATTGCTTGATTATAATGTTCTACGTTTCTTCCTACTATTATCGCCGAATTTATCAATTTTCTTATCACAGTCATTATATATTTCCCAAAAAAAAAAGTAAGAGAAAGAAACAAGAAATGAAAATTAACAAAGACAATTAAAAAAAATTAATATATTAAAATATAGGTCAACTTGACGTGATTTTCTTTATAAATATACAATTTAATAACAATTTAAATGTTCATTTTTAGAATGTTGAGAATTCATTTTTATTGATTGAAACGAAAAAAAATGTAAAATGAAAAATATGTTATCACCAGATTAATAAAATAAAAATATACTTTTAGAAAAACAATGTTCAATCATCTTGTGCAATTTCATGCCACAAGTATCCTTGTTACTTTTAATTTGTGTATGTGTACATGGATGTGAACAAGTGTTTGTGTTTGTTGTTTCATGGAAATGCGCCCAACGACAGGGGTGGAAAGGTGTGACCTTAAGGTGCTTCTATTATATGTTTTTGTACCGACAAATGTGTGAATGCACCCTAAATTTCATTGCAAAAATTTGAAAGTGTGCAAGCGCCTTAAAAGTCTCTTAAGGCTCCGTACACACTGCACTTGACACATTTATCCATTGAATTCCCATCTATAGTCCATCACATCTATGACTATGGCGACAGCGGCAAAAAAGGCGGTAGATTTTGGCGCCTATAATGCGCATTTAGTGTTATAGCGTGTGCAATTTAGAAGACATTTCTCACATCAATCGACTCGTAGCTTCCTTTATTAAAACACACCGCGAGAAAATTGTGTTTGACACTCTAAAAACTAAGAAAAATCCCATATAATCAAGAAAAAAATCAAGTGTCAAAATCCCTCTCTCCACAATTTATTTTCTCAATAGAAATATAACAGTGAATACTTTATAAAAGTCAAGAAAAGAAAAAGCAATCAAGAAAAATGTTTGAGGCACGTTTAGTTCAAAGTTCTGTTTTAAAGAAAGTTATTGAAGCCGTCAAGGAGCTTCTGTCCGAAGCAACATTCGAATGTTCAGATTCGGGAATGCAAGTACAAGCGATGGACAATGCCCACGTTTGTCTTGTATCATTAAATATGAGAAGTGATGGTTTTGACAAATATCGATGCGATAGGAATTTATCAATGGGAATGAGTATCACTTGGTAAGAAGAAAAACTAACATTTTTTCAATATTTTCTATTTCAATTTATGTAAATTTTGATAAAAATGTTTAACATTTTGATGAAGATAATAATTTTGCAAACATTTATTTTTTAGCATGTCAAAAATTTTAAAGTGTGCTGGTACAGATGACACTGTGACCTTGAGGGCATGGGACAATCCAGAGTCAATAAACGTTATTTTCGAATCGCCGAATAAAGAGAAATTGGCCGAATATGAAATGAAACTTATAAATATGGATCAGGAACACCTTGGAATTCCCGTGAGTTGATGTTAAATGTAAACAATAATTTAAAATTAATAAGTGAATCAATAAATTAAATTAATTTGGATTTTTTTTCACAGGAGACTTTATATTCGTGTACAGTAAAATTACCATCCGCTGAATTCGCAAGAATCGTGAGAGATTTACAAATGTTTGGTGAATCGATAACAATTGCCTGCTCTAAGGAGGGAATCAAATTTAGCGCTGCTGGCGACATTGGAACAGGTATAAAAAAATACTCAGTTTATTATTATCATTATTATTGATATTATTAAAAGATTAAAAAATATTCTACGTTCACTGATTTCAATCTGAATGATTTACTGATTTCAATTTTTAATGAATAAAATTAGAAATTCTAAAGAACTTAGGGTTTATGCAAAAAATTTGATAAAATTCGTCGAAAGAATTTAATTATTTTGATAAATAACGAAATTCTTTCCAGAAATTCAATTATTTTCAAGAATTTAAGAAAAATTCTCGTCAAAATTTCAATTATCTTTATAAATAATAAAATTCTTCTTCGAAATTAAATTATTATCAAAAATTTTATTAAAATTCTTTGCAAAATTCAATTACTTCTAATAGAAAACAATATTCACCATAGAAATTCAATTATTTTCAAAAATTTTCAATAAAATTTTAGATAAGAATTGAATATTGTAAACATAGCGTAACTTTTTTAGAAATAATAAAATTATGAAAAAGTTTCAAATTAAAATCTTTGAAAATCTGAATTTTTCTGAATTATATTTAATTATTTCAAATTTTGATAAATAACGAAATTCTAAATTATAAAAATTTTCTTTAAATAATTCAATTATTTAAGGAAATTTAATTAAATTTGTTTGCAAGAATTCAATTCTTCATTAATAAATAATTGAATTGCTGAAATTAAATTATTTTGTTTTATTTTTTAATTGAATTATTTGCTGGAATTGAATACAGTAAAAATATCATTTTTCTTTGGGATTCAATTATTTTTAAATTATCTCAATAAAATTCACCGCAAAAAATTAATTATTTTTATCACGAATAATAAAATTTTTCGCAGGAATTGAATTTTTTCAATTAAAATTCAATTGTGGCGAAAAATTATATTATTTATGATGAAAATAATTTAATTCTTGTGATGAATTTTAATTATTTTTTTTAAATAATTGAATTCCTGTGAATAATTCAATTATTTATTAATATAGAATTAAATTTTTTAAAGATAATTTTGTTAAAAATTTGATTTTAAAGTCAATTCTAGCGGAGAATTTTATTGTTGATAAAAAATAATTCAATTCTTGTGATTAATTTAATTTAATTTTATTAATTTTTAATAATTGAATTTTAATCAGAAATTTTACTATTTGTAAAAATAATTGAATTCTTGCAAAGGATTTTATTGGGTTTTTTTTGTAAATAATTAAATTTTTTTTGAAAGATTTTATGGAAATTTAAATTTTTGTGAGTTGTTGAATTTCAAAAAGGTTTGAATTTGAATCTTTTGAAGAATTTTAATTCCTATGGAAAAATAATAATGATTAAATATTTATTTAAAAAAGAAGTTATTTATGGTTTCGAATAATTTTACTTTTGAAGAAATTTCTAAAAAAAATATAATAGAAAATTTTTTAGAGTATATAATAATTTTTAGAGTGAATCAGAATATTCCTTAGGAAAAAAGTGAAAATTTTGTTTTCAAATCAGGGAAAAGTCAGGAAAAAAGTAAAAATTTTGTCTTTAAATCAGGGAAAATATTTGTAGCAACCCTGTTATTAGAAATTTGAATACAATTTTTTCTTCTCTTTCAGCAAACGTGAAATTGGCACAGACCGCCGAATCTGACAAGGAGGAAGAAGCAGTCACGATAGAAATGCAGGAACCAGTGAAACAAGCATTCTCAGCAAGGTATCTCAATAATTTCGTGAAAGCAACGCCCCTCTGTGCACAGGTTCAACTCTCGTTGTCAAACGACGTGCCCCTTGTCTGTGAATACAAAATCGGCGACATTGGCCACATTCGGTATTACCTAGCACCAAAGATCGAAGACGAAGAGGAAAGTTAAAGAAAAGCCTGACTTTAGAATTATATCTTTTAAGCCCAATGTTCTCAATATTTTAATTCTTACAAAGAAAAAACGCGAAATTAATATTATTCACTTGACAGTATTTGTTTTTTTTCTTTTAAAATATTCATTCATTTCGTCTTTGATGAATAAGTTGTAAAAAGAAATACGATTCCCATTGTCTCGTCATTTTGAAACTGTAAAAAGATAATTTTTATAATAACATTTTTCTATTAAAAAAAAAGAAAAAAACCTAAAAATTAATAGTACTTTATTTTTATCCTTTTTGAAAATTCAAGGGGAGACTTCGACTATATAAACTATATCCAGAAAATTGATTTAAATCTTCAATAAAATTATTTTCCTATATTTTTCGAGAGAAAATATTCTGCCACTTTTTGGATTTTTATTTTTCTTAAAAATTTGTCATAGAATTTAATTTTATGAAGAATTCAATTTTTTTTAATAATTGTTATAAAATTCTTTAGTCAATTTATAAATAATAAAAACCTTCGTAAAAAAAAACTAATTATTTTTAAATAAATAAAATTCTTATCAAGATTTCACTTATTTTCAATTCCATTTTTTAATGATTTCTTCGAGAAAATTCAATTTTTTTAAAAATGATTTAATTTTTCACAGAAGTTCAATTATTTAAAAAACTTTTAATAAAATTCAAATTAAAGAATTCAATTACTTTCATAAATAATAGAATTTTCGCTGGAATTCAATTATTTTAAATACGCAATTTTTATTGAATTCCATCAGGAAAAATTAAACTATTTTTAAACATTTTTTTAAAATTCTTCGAAAGAATTCAATAATAATTATCAATAAATAGTAAATTTTTCACAGGAATTCAATTATTTTAATAAAATTCTTCTTAAAAATTCAATTATTTTTTTAAAATTTTGCAAAAAATTCAATTATTTGCAGAAATAATAAATTTTTTCGCAGGAATTCAATTATTTAAAAAAGTTTTTATCAATTTTTTGATCAAATTTTTATCAAATTAATTTTATCAAAATTTTTTTCAATAATTGAATTCTTTCGAGAAAATGGTATTAAAATTGTATTGAAAATAATTTAATTCTTATCAAGATTTTTATTAAAATTCTTTAAAATATAATTGAATTGTTTCAAAGAATTTATTTCAATTTTCTTGGAAATAATGAAAATTTTGAAAATAATTGAATTTTTAGAAGAATTTTATTCAAGTTATTAAAATATTCGTTAGAGAAATTTTATTAAAATTATCTTGAATATAATTGAATTTTTTTCCTATAGAAATTTTATTAAAATTGTATCTGAAAATAATTGAATTTCTCAAAAGAATTTTATTATTTACAAAAATTATTGAATTCTTGCCATGAATTTTACAATTTATAAAAATAATTGGGCTCTTGCCATGAATTTTACAATTTATAAAAATAATTGAATTTTTTTTCAATAATTGAATTCTTTCGAGAAAATGGTATTAAAATTGTATTGAAAATAATTTAATTCTTGTCAAGATTTTTATTAAAATTCTTTAAAATATAATTGAATTGTTTCAAAGAATTTATTTCAATTTTCTTGGAAATAATGAAAATTTTGAAAATAATTGATTTTTTGAAGGAATTTTATTAAAAATTTTATTTAAAAAATTGAATTGAATATAATTGAATTTCTAGGAAGAAATTTGTCACTTACAAAAATAATTGAATTGTTGACGAGAATTTCACAATTTATAAAAATAATGGAATTGTTTCAGAGAATTTTATATCAGAATTGGTGAAAATAATTGAATTTTTATTAAAACTCTTGAAAATAATTGAATTTAAATAATATTTTTAAAAGTAATTGAATTCTTTCGAAACATTTGATTTTTTTTATGAAAATAATTAAATTCCTTTGAAGAATTTTATTATTTATAAAAATATTTTAATTCTTGCGAAGAATTTTCTTATTTTATTAAAATAATTGAATTCTTGCGGAGGATTTTACAACTCAAAAATAATAGAATTGTTTCGAAGAATTTTGTTTGAATTTTTGAAAATAATTAAATTTTTTAAAGGAATTTTATTAAAAATTTTGAAAATAATGATTTTTTAAAAAGAATTTTATCAAAATTCTTGAAAATAATGGAATTTAATTAATATATCGATACAAATTGATAGTTTAAGAGCATTTTCTTCTTTTATTTTAAGATTTATTACAACAGTCACTTTCGTGAAAAATAAGAAAAAAGCATACATACATTTTTTTATAATTCTATTGTTGTCATTATTGCTAACAAACATTCTTATCTGGAATTAACATTCAAGAATTTAAAAACACCATTTTCGGAACATTTTCTAATCACATTTATTTATTTATAGATTTTTTGTTTCAATAATTAGATTGCTTCTTTTTTCCAAATTATTAGGCTATACAGTTTTTTCCTCAGTTGTCAATTTTCAATTTTATTTTTTTTTATATACAGAATTTTTTTTTCTTTAAATTCTTTTTACTGAAATTTTTTTTACATTAATTACCATACCGTCTCCTTAATTATTGCGATAATGAATTACAGTTTGGAAGAATGGTGATTTTTTTAAATACATTTTTCTGTAATTATTTAATTTTCATTTAAAAAAATGAGAAAATTAATTTTTTTAAAAAAAGGCATTTTATACATTTAAATAAATAAAAAAAGGAAAATATTAATTACCATTTTCTTTAAAAATTACAAGAATTCGTTTTAAATTTTAAATTAACAAAAATGGAGAAATAAATGATTGTTATTTTTCATTAATTAAAACTCGAGGACTTGTTCTAAAAGCGAAGAAACTAGAAATTTTTTTTTAAAAATAAAAAAATAAATTCAGGAAAGTGCATTCGACTTTTTACACGATTTGCAAATTGAATGAAATAATTTCTTTTTCGTTATTATTATTAATTTGTTTTTATTAAAGAATCAATGTGTTTTGAAGTTTGTCTTTTGCAGCATATACATTTAAGTTTATGATGTTAACAAGAAGACAATATATTATTTTTTTTAAATCGATATAATGCGCAATTATTGCGTCGAATTTTTTTTTTTTCTTATTTAAAATTTATGAAATAAAATCAGTTTTTGTATGTTTTCTTTTATTATATAATATACGCTCTTAAAAGTAAAAATAAAGCTAATTTATTATATAAAAATACAGAATTATAGATTATGATGAGTCAATTTAATTAAATAAGTGACTCGACTATATTATAATTCTAAATTTTAGTATAGAAATGGAAATATGAAGAGTGATGAATAATAGGAGTAATAGTAATAATAGAAATATATACAAGTACTCCCTTTCAATTTTATTCTCTTTTTCTTTGTTTTTAGCAATAAAATAATTATAATATATTATAATATATTTCCTTAGATATTATAATACACTATAATTGCAACAAATATTGCAATCTTCAATCTTTTTTTTGCAATAAAATCTTTTATTTTGGTATTTTGAATAATCTTAGGAGAGAAGAAAAAGAAAAACATTTATTTTACTCGCTACCACTTAGTTTTTTTTCACTAATTACCTACAGAGCTTAAAATTAAAAATGTATTATACATTTTGTAGAATCTTTGTTTTGGAATTTTTACCAACACGATTGTACATTTTTTTTATCTTCTTTCTCAATTTTTTTTTTTTTTGGTAGTGGAAAACACTCGACTCTTATTATTAGAAGTAAAAAAAAGAGAAGTGAATTATAAGAATAGAAAGTTATCAAAGGCTTTTGTTTTTGAATAAATAATTACATTACTAATTCTTAAAGAATTATTATTCTATAGAAAAAATGCGAGGGGAAAAAAATAAAAAGCTTTGGCAAATATAAACTGGCGTCTTTTGAGATTTTTCTAGATTTTTAAATTCAAAAGTCAGTTATTGTGCTTTATTATAATTCTTGGAATTATTTATTAATTTAACGACAAATATAATTTCAAAAAAGGAAAATTCGCACTGACTGAAAATTTCAAATGGCACATTTTTAAAATTCAGACACAAAATTAATTTCGTCACACTCACATTTTTTTTTATTAAATTAAATAAATATTTATTTGTGACCAAAGAACTTAATTATTTCTCAGAAAATAATTTATTATTTATTAAATAATTAATTTTCAAAGTTAATTATTTTTTAGCAAATAATTAATATTTATTATTAAATAACTATTAATTGAATTAGAAAGAAAAAGTAAAAAATTTGTTGAGAAAAAAAATAAAAGAATATTTTAAAAATGCGCCAAAGTGATGAGTGAAAAAATTGATTCACACTGTTTGTGTGTTAATTTTCTTTTTTTTTGAGCCTGACTTCTTGTCCTATGGTATGGAAAGAATATCACTAAATTGTTGTCAAAAGAATAATGAAGAGTGAAGATGGAATCTAGGCATTTTTGTTGCCATTACTTCCGTATAAACTTGGATGAACAAATTTGTCGTGCAATGTTCTCAAGTGTCTCAATAAATTGCTTTTGACGTTGAAACCTTTTTTACAATAGGAGCATAAAAATGGCCTCTCGCCGGTGTGTGTTCGTTGATGTATCACCATTGACGCATGACTAGGGAATACTTTTTGACAAATATTACACAACTTTTGATGGCTGTGAATTCTTTTTGGTTTCGGTGGCGCTGAATTGTTCATCAATGCCAATTGCTCTTCGGTATGTTCGGTTTGAATGTGTCTCACCCATTCCTGTGGCGTTGGATAAGTATTGCCGCAAAGATCACATTTTAATGGGGGGAATTCTTTACTGTCGTCGTCGACGTCGCCCTGTGAAAATAAATAAGTAGGTTAAAAAAGTAAAATAAAATATGTAGTTGAATATAAATAATTTTAAATTCAAAAAGGGTTTTTTATTTTTAAATTCATTTTACCTTTCGCTTTTTTCGCCGATTTTCCGTCATGTCGGCGTGTGTGAATTCTATGTGTCGCACCCAATCGGAAGGTCGATTAAAGGTTTGACTGCACATATCGCACGTGAGTGGAGTGTACTCTTCTTCTTCTTCCTCCTCTTCCTCCTCCTCTTCTTCTTCTTCGCCGTCTTCATCTGCACTGTGCACGATTTCCTAATAAAACCATGAAAAAAGTAAATTAATTTTCATCTTTACAGAACTCTGATCCCTCGGATCAACTTTAAAACGCTAAAAATAATTTTAATAGATTCAAAGTCGAAAAACTCGTTTATTTTATTGATTTATTTAAGTTTGTCAAAAAAAATTCGATTTTTCTATTTTTCTCACTTTTCCTAATCTTTAGAAAATTTTTCAACTTTTTCCTTTATCTTGCCATTGTTAATAGAAAATTAAACTCTTTTCAACAATATTATTAGAGTTTTTTTGTAAATAATTAAATTGTTTCAAGTTTTTTGAATAATTTGAATTGAAAATTTTGAAAATAATTCAATTAAACATACAACTTTTTTCAACTTTTTAAAAAAATTGTGTCTGTTAATAATTATAATTAAATATTTGGTTATTGGAATTTATTAAAATTGTATTGAAAATACTTGAATTTCTAAAAAGAATTTTAATATTATTTATAAAAAAAAATTTAATTCTTCCGATGAATTTTACTACTTATAAAAATAATTCAATTCTTTCGAAGGATTTATTACAATATTTTAGAAAATAATTGAATTCTTTTGAAAACTTTTATAACAAATTAAGAAAAAAATTGAATTCTTTCCTGAATTTTTATTGAAAATAATTGAATTTTTGCAAAGACTATTTAAAAAAATAATTGAATTGTTTCAATGCATTTATTAAAATTATAGAAAATAATTGAATTATTTCGTGAAATTTAATTAAAATTTTGTTAAAAATAATTGAATTTTTGCAAAAAATAGTTCTACTTATAAAAATAATTGAATTTTTTCCAAAGAATGTTATTAATCATAAAAATAATTGAATTTTCGAGAAGAATTTTACTATTTATAAAAATAATTGAATTGTTCCGTATAATTTACTAAAATTTTAGGCAATAAATGAATTTTATGTAAATATAGGAAAATAATTAAATTCTTTCGTGAAATTCAATTAAAGTTCTTTTGAAAATAATTGAATTTCTGTAAAGAATTTTATTAAAATGAAGTATATTCAAAATAATTGAACTCATCAGAAGAAATTTATTATTTTTTGAAAATAATTGAATTCTTTCAATTTTTTTTGACGAATACATTTAAAAATTGCATTGAAAAAGTAATTTAATTTTCATATAGAATTTTTTAAAAAATATTTGAGAATAATTGAATTATTTTTTAGAGAATTTTAAATTCTTGTTGAAATTGAATTTTATGGAAATTTTTGAAAATATTTAAATTCCTTCGTGTAATTTTATTTAAATTGAATTAAAAATAATTTAATTTCTGCTAAGAATTTTAGTATTTGTAAAAATCGTTGAATTGTTTAGAAGAATTTATTAAAGTTTTCGAAAATAATTGGAATTTATGTAAATATTTAAAAATATTTGAATTTTTCCCAAGAATTCAATTAAAATTGCTTTAAAAATAATTGAATTCCCGCAAAAAGCTTTACTATTTATAAAATTAATTGAATTGTTTCTCGAAAGATTTATTAAAATTTTAGAAAATATTGAATTCTTTTGAAAAATTTTATAACTAAATTAAGAAAAAAAATTGAATTCTTTCGTGAAATTTTATTGAAAATAATTGAATTGTTCCGTAAGAATTTATTAAAATTATAGAAAATATTTGAATTCTTTTGTGAAATTTTATTAAAATTTTGTTAAAAATAATTGATTTTTTGCTAAAAATTTTGCTATTTACAATAATAATTGAATTCTTGTGAAGAATTGTATTAAAATTTTTGAAAAGATAAACAATAATAATTAATCATGTAGTTAATAAGTGAATTTTAAAAATTTTGAAATGATTCAATTTAAGAATAGTATATTTACCGGTTTTATATCAATTTCATGATCGATTGTAAGTGTATCTGATGGATCCATCGATTCCTCCCAGTCAATCGGCTCGTCTTTCACCAAAAGATCCAAATTCAACTCTGTCTACAAGAAGAATATTGATTAAAATAGTCGTTCTTTTCTGGGAGACGAAAATTAAAATCATTCAATCAATAAGAATTTAAATAGAAAAAAAATAATAATTATCGTTTATTTTAAGTTTCTTAATTCGAAATAATAGAAAAAAGTGTAATAATAAAAATAATAATAATAATTAATAAAAAAACAAAATAAAAATAAATAGTAATAATAGAAATAAAAATAGTAACGCAGTAATAAAATAAATAACAATAGTAGAAATATAGTGAGAAAAGAAAATATATATATTTGAATAAAAAATAATTATCTTTGTTATACAGTCAATTATTTCTGAATTAAACAATATTTTTGATTCAATGCCTAAGATTGATTCGATAAAAATTACGTTTAATTCAATAATAAAATATTTTTAATTGAAATATATTTTTTTGGTTGGCTACTTACTTTTGGATTAAACAAATTTTTTTCTCAGTGCAGTAATAATAATAAAAATAATAAAAATATAATAATTAACAATACTGTTTTTGACTTACATTCTCAGAACTTTTGATGGACTCATTATTACCGGCATTTGAACTCTTTCTCGTTTGCTTTTTGGTATTAACTTCAACATTCTCCTTATTTTGCTTATTATTACTTTGCTCCATCAGAATATTCTTCGGATCCTCCAAAATAGGAATCTTCTCATCGACCTCATCAATTTTATCATCATCGTCATTATTACGTTGATCTCTCTTGTCATTTTCGTTAATTACTTTTCTACTTTCGACACTACTTTGCTGTTGAGTTGAAATTGTACTGTTTTGTAATTGAGAAGCTGTGGCTGTTGTTGATGATGACGTTGTTGTTGTTGTTGTCGATGACGATGATGACGACGACGTTGTTGTTGTCAATTGTGTCGATGATGATGATGACGATGACGACGATGTTGTAGATGGAAGATCAGATTTATCGATTGGTTGAATAAGTTTTATTTTAGGTACATGTCCACCGGTCATTGTTTGATGATCTCTTTTGTCTCGATCAATTTTTTGATTATTCGATTGTTGCGACTCTTTTTTATTGAGGCCGGTCGAACTACTTGTACTACTGCCACTACTGCTGCCACTGTTTGATCGCCATAATCCACGAACGCGGAGAATGTCACCGGCTTTTAACACTCCTTCGAGTTGATCGTTTGTCACTGTTGCTTCACCGCTGTACATATATTGGATCAGGATTTTTAGTGTACGGTAACCAATTTCGGTTGGAAGTACCTGAAAATTAAAAAACGCTTTTATTTTCCATTCTGGTAGTTTTCAAAAATCTTATTAAAATTTTAAGCAAGAATTTCATTATTCTCATAAATAATAACATTCTTCGGAAGAATCCACTTATTTTTATAAATAGTAAAATTCTTCACAAAAAATTCAATTATTTTCAACAAAATTTTAATAAATCCTTCGAAACAATTCAATTATTTTTTAAAATAGTCAAATTCTATGAACAAATTTAAGAAAATAATAAATTTTTAAAATAAAGTTAAAAAAATTTAATTTTCCAAAAAATTCAATTTATGCTAAATAAATAAATAAATAAATAAATAAATAAATAAATAAATTATTTGCTAAAATTTTAATAAATGATAAATCCTTTGAAACAATTCAATTTTTTTTAAACAGTTAATCTTGCCAAAAATTCAATTATTTTCTAATATATTAATAAATCCTTTTAATTGCATAAATTCAATAGTTTTCAATAAAATTGTACGAAAGGATTTATTTTTCTTAATTCGTTATAAAATTAAAAAAAAATTTAATTATTTTCTAATATTTTAATACATTCTTCAAAATAATTCAATTACTTTAAACAATTTTGATAAAATTCTATTTAAAAAATCATTATTTTCAAAATTCTTAATAAAATTCCTTCAATTAATTCAATTATTTTCAAAAATTCAGATAAAATTCTTCGCAAGATTGAAAATATTTCAAAAAAAATAAAATTCTTGAAAGGAATTCATTATTTTCATAAATAATAAAAAAATATTTCCGAGGAATTTAATTATTTTCAATACAATTTTAATAAAATTTCTCGATGGAATACAATTATTTTTAAAAATATTATTTAAATTCAATTATTTTCAACAATTCTGATAAACAATTGTTGGAAACAATTCAATTAATTTTATAAATTGTAAAATTCTTGAATTGAAAAAATTCAATTCTTTTCAATAAAATTTCTAGGAAAAAAATTCAATTATAATTAAGATAATTTTAATAAAATTTCTCTATTAGATTCAATTATTTTTAAAAATTGTAATAAAATTTTTCTAAACAATTCTTTGAAAATTTTAATTATTTTCAAAATTTTTAATAGAATTACTTTAAAAAATTACATTATTTTTACGAAAATTTAATGAAATTCTTCTTCTTCTTCTTCAAAAAAAAAAATGTAATTATTTACAAAAACTCTAATAAAATTGTTTAAAAGAATGTAATTTTCTATGGATAATTTTAATATACCTAATTTAATTGAAAAATTATTAATTACAATTAATAACAAACACAATTTTTTAAAAACTAGAAAGAAATTCTTCTTAAAATTTAATTATTTTTAATACAATTTTAATTAGATTTTCTCGAAAGATTTCAATTATTGAAAAAAATGTTGATAAAATTCTTCAAATAAATTTAATTATTTAAAAATTTTTTTACAAATACTTTGCAATAATTCAATGATTTTCAGTAAATCGACAATTTAATTATTTCTAAAAATAATTGAGTTCTTGAATAGAATTTTATTAAAACTTTCTTAAATAATTGAATCCCGGCGAAAAAATTTATTATTTCTACAAATAATTAAATGTTTGCGCAAAATTTTTAAAAATAATTGAATTTTTCAGTAAAATTTTATTAAAATTGTATTTAAAATAATTAAATTCCTGTGAAAAATTTACTATTTATTAATAATTGAATTCTTTCGAAGAATTTAAAAAAATTTTTTTAAATAATTTAATTTTGCCTGGAATTCAATTAAAAAATTATATTTAATCTAATCGATTCCAGCGAAAATTTCTTTATTATTAAAAATAATTGAATTCTTAAATGGGATTTTATTAAAAGTTTTTTAAATAATTGAACACATGTGAAAAATTCAATTACTTTTTATAATAACTGAATTTTCTCGGAGAATTTTTACAAGATTTTTAGAAATAATTGAAATTTTCAAAGAAATTAATTAAAATTGTATTGAAAATAATATTGAATTCCTGATAAGAATTTTATTATTTATAGTATTCATATAAAAATAATTTACCTTTTTTTACGAAGATTTTTATTGTTTATAAATTGACTAAAGAATTTTATTACAATTATTGAAAATAATTGAATTCTTCATAAAATTTATTTATTTTCAAATTTCTTTACAAAATACTTTACAAGAATTCAATAATTTTAGAAAATTAAAAATTTTTTATACTTGTTTTGACAATAACAAATTTTTGTATTATTTAAAAAAAAAGTTTAATAACTTAAAATTATTCTGTTAGAAATTAAGATGATGTTGAAGAAGCTATATATAAACATAACCTAAAATTTAGTGCCGCTTAACTCTTTCTTCAGAACGCGTCACTTTCTGTCATACTTTTTGTTTTCTCTGTGATTTAACATATTTAACATTGTTTGAACAATAGAAAATTGCCAAAACAAAAAAGAGACAATTCTCTTAATGCTCTTAATCCTCTTAATTGTCGAAAAAATGAGTGACAAATTTAAAAAAAAGGGAAAAAAAGTTACCGCAAATTTACTCACCACAATGTATGGTGCATTTGTGTTTGCGCCAAAGTGACATGTTTGGAAAATGTGACTCAAATACGAGGAGCAAGCGGCAAGAACAAAACGATGAGCCGCTACATGTCGTCCGCAGGACGTTGCCAATAGCACGTCGGCAAATGATTCCGAATGTAATAAAGTTGCCACCGAGCTGTGTAAATGTGCACTGTAACTATGCCACTTGAGTTGGTAATTCTCAGAAGCTGCGATGGACATTTTTTCTGCGTCAAAGAAAATTGCAACTCAATTACAAAATTAAAAATGAAAAAAAAAAAAATTTTAACTTTATTTTTTTTACATTTTTAATTTTGATATTCGCTGAATGATTTAATTTTTCCGATTTTCGGATTTAATTTATTTTCATTCGTTAATCCATCAAACTTTTCGTCAGGCACTTATTAAAAAAATATTAAATACAAAATTCATCATTCTCACAATTCTTAATAAAATATTTCTAAAAAAAAAATAATTGATAATAAATTAAGAATTAATAATAATTAATAATTAATAAATGTCGTATATTTTTTAACGTGTCAAGAAATTAAAAAAAAAGTCAAAACTGTAAATTATCGTCAAATTTCCACGATTATGAGAATAAATTTTGGGAAAATTTTTGTATCTTATTTTTCATTAAATAAAAATTTCCCATTAAGGGAAGGTAAAGTTCAGGTCTCACGTTGGTACTGAAAATATTAAAACTTCTACTCGCTACTGAAGAGTAGAATAAAAATTAAGAGTCTTAATTATTTAGATTTTCCCATGCCCAGAATTGAAAGAATTGAAATTTTGGTTAAATTGGTAAAATTAAAAATTGACGTGAAACGAGAAAAGATTATACATTACCCAATTTAAGGCAACCCTCATCTTTCTTTCATACACACACACAAACACAACCTACACATTCATTGTACGTAGCGAAGATCTAATTTTCAATTTTCTCAATAAAGAATTTTATAATTTGTTATTATTTACCTGTCGTCATTATAAATGACGAAATTCCCGATCACCGAGAAGATGATAGAAATAAATAAGTATCAGCCTCTAGTTAATATCAATTTAACATATACACAGAAAATTAAATTCACATGCAATTTTTCTTCTTCTGAACACTTTTCCGAAAATGTGAATTAAATTTCCACCGTTGGAAAATGATGTGATCTTGTTATTTATTTTGATAATTGTTTCTCTTTTTCTTTTGTCGCACAAAAAATAATAAAGAAAATATAATTTATGTCGCGCGCGCGCGTCTTGTTTTGAAGGCGGTCTAGACACGGGGGAAACTATATGAGAATCGAACGAACAGACATGTAGGGACCTAAAAATCGATATTTCGGTCTTTGCTCCATTCTCCTGGTGGTGCTGCTGCTGCTTCTGTTACTACCACTATTAAACGTTTGTGAGCAGTTTTTTTCAACATCTATATATACATATATAAAGCGGAGAAATTTGTGTGCGCGGTGGTTGTTTTCAATGTGTATATGTGTATACACGAAGGGTGCCCTCTGTTCATCATCGATTTTCCCGGCTACCAATCGCATCCATCCATTTATCGCATCGATCGTTACCGAGCTGATTTCAGCGTTTGCGTTTGTCTGCTGCCTGCCGTCCACATACGACTCATACATATACGCACTCACACACTTATTTCCAATTTCAACATAAAAAATAATTGACAAAATAATTCCCTCTATCCCTCTATATCCTACGATTGGAAAAATCAATTCGTTATCATTCTCATTAATTTCATTATAATTATTCATTAAATTCATTTAATTCATTAACGTCATTAAATTCAAATTCACCGACTAATCTACAAATTATTATTTCCCCAATCGACAAAAAATCGTTACTCTAATTTTCATTACCATCCAGTATCTATTTTTTATTTTATTTACATTATACAAATTTCCTAATTGTTTTATTGTGTACGATAAGCAAATATTTGTAAAGATATTCGATTAACGAGCAAACAAAAAAATTGAGTTCCATTTTTTACAATATGAAACTGCAGGTGCTTTTTTCGGGGAAAAACAACAAAAGAAATCCAAAAGTGGGCCTGGGGGGATAGAGAAAGGGGGGTATAGTTTAAGTTGGAAACTTTTCAAAACAAAATCACGTGATAAGTGTCAAACTCATTAGGGTGCTTTTGCAACAAATTTTTTGTCGACGACACACGAACTAAACGCACAATGCGCAGACAATCATTTTCAGTTTGTGCGCATTTGTAATTTGTATTCGATTTGCTACCCATCCCTGGCGGATAAAGCTCTATTCATAATGCGTACTCTCTTTGTATAACTGTCTTTTTCTAGAAAAAATTAAATTTCTCAGAAGAATTTTATTATTTACAAAAATAATTGTATTCTTTCGAGAAATTTTATTAAAATTGTATTGAAAATAATTAAATTCCTCCGAAACATTTTATTATTTATAAAAATAATTGAATTTGAAGAATTTATTAAAAAATTTATACTTTTTAATGAATAATAAATTTTGTAATAATTTATAATATAAAATAGAAAAATAAATAAAAAATACGAAAGTAAATAAAAAAAAACAAAAAAAAAGTATTTCCATTTTAAAAAAATAAATCGGTTCTTTCAATGAGTACAACAAATTAATAGTGTAACGGATTTATTTTTTCATTATTATCATATTATAATAATAATAATTATTATTATATCAGTATTAAATATAATATATTGAAAATATCACTGTTAAATTATTTATAATATCAAAATATTAATTAATATATGTAATATATTAAAATATCAATCAATTCATATTCAGTAATAATATAATAGTAATAATAATGTAACCATTGAAATATTCAGCTATTGAAAAATTCATAATATTCCTAATAAAATATTTATAATATCAAAATATTAATAATAAGAAATTATCAATAATATTAAAATATTAAATGTATTTTAAACATTTCTTCTTTAAATATTTATTTAAATTCATTAAATATATTAAATATGTATTTAAATATTGTAAATTAAATAAATATTTAAAAAATTTACTAATTTAAAAAAATATACTATATTTAAATATTCATAATAAATTGAAAATTGAAAATCCAATTTTCACAAAAAAAAAGTATTTACAACTTTAACGTATAAGACGGTAACTTTAAACTTATTTCGTTTTCAAGTGAAATTTTCGATTAGAATAGATTTTTATCTTGTTTACCTGTGAATTAGAATACTTTTTCTGCCGTAAAGAAAAATACTACTTCAGTAAAATTGTAAAACATCGAAAATTGAAAATTTTTACTTTCTGACTAAATGAATAAAAAAAAATAGTTCTTTTAAGTAACCTTAAAAGAATTTTTCCAAAAATCAAGTTTCGCACTTGAAATTGAAAATACAAGTTAAATTCAAGAAATTCTAATTAATGATTTGATTCCAAACGAATCAAAAAAAGAGTCAAAAATCTAAAAAGAAAAAAGTTTCTAGAAATACTAAATTAGAAGAAAGAGAAAATTAAAAAAAAAGTGTTTAATTATGTTTTCGTCGTTTATCTTTTCGATCGCTTCGTCTTCGTTCATCGTCAGAATCGTCCGCATGTCTTTTGCGTCGATTTTTATCCTTTGACTTGTGATTTTCCTTTTCCTCTTTAATTCGTGACATTACATCCTTGTCACGTTTCCTGTCCCTTCGTCCCGATGAATCGGATTCGGAATCAGATTTTCGAGATTTTGATTTTTTCTTTCGTCTCTCGTCCGAACTTGATTCACTCGATTCACTTGACTTTCGTGATTTTTTCTTCGATTTCTTACTCTTTTTCTCCAATTTCTGAAGTTTTCTGTAAACAAAGATATTAATATTAAAGAATTTTTCAAAAACAAGTAACAATTTTTTCTCTGATGGAAAATTGTTAAAATAAAAAATTGACAAAATAAAAATCGAAACTTACTTTAAAAGTTTCTTCTTCTCTTTTTTCGAAAGAGATTTCAGAAAGGAAACTTCTTGCTCTGCTTCGTCTTCGGAAACCATTAAGTGCTCATTCGTTGGTACTCGTAAATGTTGTTGAGCGTCCAGTGCAGATCTGGAATAAAATTTAATTTTTTCGTTTTTAATAAACTGAATTAAATATTTAGAAATTTAGAAATAGAAAATTAAAATAAAGCTAAATTGACTGACTTTTTAAGTGCCAAACCGTCTTCTCGCATTTGTTGAACTAATGTTAGTGCGTCGAGGGATTCCTGATTTTTATTCTCGTTGCTAATCACAACGCTCATCGACTGACAATAGAGAGGGCATTCCTTATCTGGAAATAAAAAAATTATTTTACCACCAATCTCACGTTTCTCTTTCGAGTAATTTTTAAAAATTATTTCTTGATTATTTTTTATTTTTAAATAGACAGACTTCGTACTCGATAATTAATTTTAAAAAAGTAGCTTTCAAACTAAAAAAAGTAGAAAAATTAAACTTGATGACCAAAAAAACTCGTTCTAAACACTTCACAAAAATGCCAACAATTCCATTCAATATTTTTTATTTTTCTGGCTTTTTCCTAATTTTCACTCAAAAATATTTATGTACTACTTTCTTATCCTACTGCTTTAAATTGAATTCCTGCCCAACGAATTTTATTATTCATCAAAGAATTTAAATATTTATAAAAATAATTTAATGCTTGCAAAGAATTTTATAAAAACTTTTAAATAATTCATTTCTTTCGACTAATTTTTCTGCAAATTCTAATTTAAATAATTGAATTCCTGAGAAATTTTTATTATTCACGAAAAAAATTGAATTCTCACGAAGATTTTTACAAAAAGTTTTTTAAATAATTGAATTCTGTTTAGAAATTTTATGAAAATACATAGTAGACATTGAAAATCATGGAATTGCGAAAAGTTTTTAAAAATAATTTAATTTCCAAGAAAAAATTTTTTGCTTTAAAAATAATTGAATTCTTGTGATGAATATTGTTATTTATGAAATTAATTGAATTTCGCAAAGAATTTTACGATTCATAAAAATAATTGAATTGTTTTGAAGAATTTTATCTGAATTTTTGAAAATAATTGAATTTTTTGAAGGAATTTTATTCAAATTTTTGAAAATAATTGAATTTTTCGAAATTTTATTCCAGTGCTATTCTAAATTAATTGAATTTTGGATGAATTTTATCAATTTTCTTTTAAATAATTGAATTGTTTTGCGAAATTTGATGAAAATACTAGACATTAAAAATAATTGAATTTCAATTGTCATTCCTGTATTTTAATTAACTTTATAGATATTATTATTTTTTAAACTTTTCGTTTCTCTAAAATCTCTAAAATAACATCTTAAAAATTGTACATTTTCTTTTGTTACAAAAGGAGAAAATCTTTTTTTTTTTTTTTTTTGGGAACTCACCTGTATTAATGTGGCCCCATTTATGACACTTTATGCAACGAACGTTTCTCACTTGAATTCCAAAAGGTTGATCGCGAATTTCACTGTCGCCCTTGCAATAACTTTCACGTGGTGCGTTATATTTCCTCTGCCACTCAAATTTATATTCTGGCTCGTTGTCCTCTTTTTCACGTTCCTTCTTTGCTCCCGGTGGAGCCTCGTACATAAAATTCACACTAAGTTTATCCTTACTCTCCTTACTCAATAAAGCTCTGGAAAGAAAACAAAAATTTATTTCTCAATAATAAAGATTTATTTATTTTCCCCCTTTTTCAAAAGTAAAATGTCACTTACAAATTAGAATTCCCTAAAGGGAGAATCAAGTGTCAAAATTTCTAATCTCAAAGCACTGTTAGAAACTAGAGACGCAAAATTTCGGATCAATATTTGTATGTCTCTTGGAAAAATTGTCAATGGCGAACCTAACCTCAAATTCTCACAATATACTCACTTATTGTTATGAAGATCCTGCTCCTTCTCATACTGTACACGAAGTTCCTCCTGTTTCTTCTTGTAAGCGTCCGCTTGCTGTTCTGCCATCCATACCTAGAAAATTAAAAAAAACAAGAAAAAAATAATTATAAATTGTAAAAAAATTTCCTTATCCTTCTAAAAAGAAATACTCACTCTCTTCAAATTATCCCTCGATGCAGGATGGAAGAATTTTTTACACATATAATTATTAAAACCCTTCCCCATTTTTCACTCCGAAATAAAAATTTCACCGAAAAAAAAGGAAATAATTTGGAAAAAAAAATTTTTTTTCACTGAAAAATTGACGTTCTAAACTTAATCGACTAAAGTTCGTCCATTTAACTTTTTCATCACTACGCTAGTTTTTTTTCTCCTTCTTTTAGTTTCTTTTTTCTCCAATTTTTCCATTTTTTATTTTTTTTCTCTTTCAATTTTCTGATATTAATCGCTTGACAATATTTTTCATTGACAAAATAAATTAACGAGTTTAAAAAAATTATTCACTGGAACTTTTTTAATGATTTTATTTTCTAATTTAGTTATTATTCTGACTTTGGAAATAAAAAGAGAAAGAGAGAGATAGAGAGGGGGAAAAAATGCCAAAAGTGTCAACATAACCTCACTTTTCTGACATGTCATCAGCTGATTGCAGTTTACGCACAATTGTTATTGCAATGCTTACAATGCAATTTTTTTAATTTAAATTTTTTACTTTTCGAGTGTAAAATAAAGAAAAAGAGAAGTGAAATTTGTGGATAAATGTAGTTGTAGAAAAAAATCCAGTTCTTAATATTTTAATCGTTTTGATAAGATAAGAGGAGGGAAATAAGGGGAAGAAGAGTGAGGAATTGGAGATAAATATTCGCATATATAATTGTATAAAAATTGGTGGTAAACATGAAGATAAACGAGAAGAATATGATGGCGTTTGCAACGTCGGCAACACCCGTTGATCGCGAGGGTTGGCTCAATAAACGTGGGGAAGTGAATCGCGGTTATCAGCGAAGATGGTTCGTTCTCAAGGGGAATATTTTATTCTATTTCGATCGACGCGGTGACAAGGAGCCCGTGGGAATGATCGTCCTCGAGGGCTGCACCATTGAACTCGCCGAGGACGAGGAGCAATTTGGTTTCAAAATTGTTTTTCACGGTCCAAATAATCGGAGTTACGCTCTCGGCGCAGAGTCGCAGGTAAAATTATATATATAAACCCTTTCGAATTTATATTTATACTTTTAATTTTAATATTTAAAAATTCAAAAATAGTCAAATTTTGTTCGATTATTAATTTCTACAATTTTCAAACATAATTTTAAATGATAATTGTAGGAAAAAGGAAAAAATAAATTTTCTAACATAACCTCAAAAATTGCGATAAAATCGCATTTCTTCCAATTGCAGACTGTTTTTTTTTAGAATTTACTTTAAATTCGCTAATACTAGAAATAAAAAACTTCTCAAAAATTATAGTCTCAAGTTCTTTAAAACGATTCAATTATTTTCGAAAAATATTCAAAATTCTATTTTCAATGTCTAGTATTTTCATCAAATTTTGCAAAACAATTCAATTATTTAAAACAAAATTGATAAAATACATCCAAAATTCAATTATTCGCATAAATAAAATTTCCACAAGAGTTCATTTAAAAAGTTTTGAATAAAATCGTTTGCAAGAATTCAATTATTTTCAAATATTTTAATAAAATTGTTCGGAAAAAATCAATTATTTTAAATACAATTTTTTAATTATTAAATTTTTTTGAAATAATTCAATTATTCTTTTAGATTTTAAGAAAATAATTCTTCCCAAGAATTCAATTACGTTTTCGCCTTTTTCTTAAAGATGAAAATTTAAAATTTGCAAATTAGTGAAGTAAATTTTCTCGGAATTTTTTCGTCGTATTTGAAAAACAATTTTTTTTACCTTCAGGAATCGATGGAACAGTGGATGAAAGCGTTAGCGTGCGCCAGTTACGATTACATGAAGTTAATGGTCGCCGAATTGCAACGGCAATTGGACGCTGCCGAAGAAGAGACGACGGCAATAACGCCGCAGCAGGAGTCGCCAAAAGCACCGCCTCGACAAAGGCACAATCCATTCAATCGCCCCGAGTCGCATCATCGTTCGCAAAGCGTCAGATCGGCACCCGGACGAACTGAAAATGTTCCCCGAACGCGAGTCTCCTTCAAGGAATTACACAATTTATACGGACGCAAAATTCTCGTCGATCTCAATGAATGGAGACACGCGAAACGAAGTGCCGAAGCGCCACTTATTTATCTCTAAAGAAAAATGGGGGAAAAAGTGCAAAAAAAGGAAAAAAGAAATTATTTATATAACTAAAAATTAATTGATTGATTAAATTGAACAATTAAAATTTTACTAGTCGATAATGCGAATTTTTTTTGTTTTCAAATAATTTAGTTTAATAGAATAAAAAAAAACTTTCTCATTACGATTTGTCATTTCTTTCAAAAACTATTTTTAATTTTTTCCAATTTGCGACTATTTTTTATTATTTCGGATAATTCTTCGCAGAAATTGAATTCTGTTCAAAAATTTTTTTTAAATTCTCGTCAAAATTTCAATTATCTTTAGGAATAATTAAATTCTTCTCCGAAATTCAAATATTAGGAAACGAAAGGCAACGAAAGAAAACCCTTCGAATTCGATGAGAAATAAATAATTTATTTATTTATCTACTTTTTCTCTAGATTTAGAAAAACTCGATCGAACAGAGAATAGAAAAAAGCAATAAATAAGATAAAAATTCGATCGAGTTGACTAAATTCCAGAGGCAAAAAAACAGCCAGCTGTTCGATAAAATGCTCTCTAAAAAATACCAACTTTGTTTTCTTTTTACAGAAAGAAAAAAAAATACACCCACCATTATATTTTTCGAAATTACTTGAATTTAAATCCAGATTTTTTCTTCGATTCCCCGGGAAGATGTCGTGCACCAAGTAACAATCGTGCCTTGTCCTCCTCCTGTGGCGTTGATTCCTCCTGCGGTCCTCGCGGTTTGATTTGTAATTTTTGTTTTATCGCTTGACTCAAAATAACACGGCGCGAATCACTCTTCATTGCCAGCAAAAGATCTAACCACGTCCACGTGACATTGTGATACTCCAGTGTTGGAATTACCAAAGCAAAGTCTCTCACGTCCTCGAGATTTTTTTCCTTGTTTCCCTAAAAATAACAGGTTTGAAAATATTTTTATTTTGCCGTAGTCATTTTTTTTTAAATACATTTTATTTAATTGGTAAAATAAAATTTTCTGTTTACTGTAATCAGTAGAGTAAAATTTTCTGGGAGGGCGTCACAAATGGCAGAGAATTACTTTTTTTTAATAACTACCTTGTAAGAAACACGAACGGGCACTTCCGGTATTTTGATGTAAATAAATAATTTATTTTTATCAGCTCTCTCTTTCATTTTATCGACATCGTCCTTTCTTTCCATTGGAACATAGAAGGAGGAGTCCCTCTGCGGCGCCGTTGGCTCTTCAATTCCCTCAGGATCGCGCTCAGGAAAGCAAAACTTCAGCATGGTATTGAAAAATTTTTTCGTCAGTCCTAAAAGAACGAAGAAAAAATGTAAGCAAATATTTACTCTCGAATAAAATTCCTTTAAAAAATTAAATTATTTTCAAAAATTCAGATAAAATTCTTCAAAACAATTCAATTATTTTTATAATTTGAAAATTCTCCACAAAAATTCAATTATTTTCATATAAATAAGAAAATTCTTCACAAAAATTAAAATATTGTCATAAATAATAAAATTCTACAAAGAAATTCAATTATTCTCATAAATAATAAAATTCTTTAGAGTAATTCAATTATTTTCAATTCAATTACTATTCTCAATAAAATTCAATTATTTTTAAAAAAGTTTTGATAAAATTCTTTACAAATAATCGATTTTTTTCAACAAAATTTTAATTAAATTTCTAGAAAAAATTTTATTATTTTCCAAAATTTAACTAAAATTGTTCGAAGCAAATCCATTATTTCCATAAATAATAATTTTCTTCTTAAAAATTCAATTATTTTCATAAATATAAGAAAATTCTTCGTAGGTATTCAATTATTTTCAATAGAATTTTTCGAAACAATTCAATTATTTATTTTTATTTAATTCAGTTTTTATAAAATTCTTCAAAGGAATTCAATTATTTTTAATACAATTTTAATAGAAATTCTCGAAAAAATTCAATTTTTTTCAAAAATTACGATAAATTCTTCGAAACAATTCAATTATTTTTATAAAATAAAAAATTATTTGCAAGAAATCAATTATTTTTATAAATAAGAATATTTTACAAAGGAATTCAATTATTTTCATAAATAATAAAATATTTCGGAGGAATTCAATTATTTTTAATACAATTTTAATTCGAATTCCACAAAAATGTAATTTTTAATTTTTTAATTTTTAATACAATTTTAATTCGAATTCAACGAAAAATGTAATTATTCTCAACAATTTTATTAAAATTCAATAATTTTTAAGAGTTTTAATAAAAATTAAATTATTTTCAAACAAATTCTGATATAAAATTCTTTGAAACAATTCAATTATTTTTATAAATAATTGTAAAATTCTAGACAAGAATTTAATTATTTTTGTAAATAATAAAATTCTTCTGAGAAATTCAATTATTTTTAGATACAATTTTAATAAAATTACTATAGGGAAAAAATTCAATTACAGTCAACATAATTTTAATCATTTAATTCTTTTATAGAATTTTATTAAAACTTTTTTAAATAATTGAATCCCTGCGAAAAAATTTATTATTTTTACAAATAATTGAATTTTTACAAAATTTTTCAAAATAATTGAATTTTTTAGATGAATTTGATTAAAATTGGATTTAAAATAATCGAATTCGTTGGAAAAATTTACTACCTATCATTAAATTCTTATGAGGAATTTAAAAATAATTTAATTTTCCCTGCAATTCAATTAAAATTGTATTTAAAATAATTGAATCCCTGCGAAAATATTTATTATTTCTACAAAGAATTGAATTTTTGTAAAATTTTAAAAAATAATTGAACTTTCGTAAAAAAGTGAATTATTTTTAAAAATACTTGAATTTTCTCGGAGAAGTTTTACAAGGTTTTTGACAATAATTGAAATTTTCGAAGAAATTAATTAAAATTGTATTAAAAATAATTGAAATCCTGATAAGAATTTTATTATTTATATAAAAAAATTGAATTTTTTACAAAGATTTTTATTATTTATAAATTAACTAAAGAATTCAATTTTTTTATCAAATTTTTTCAAAAAATAAATAAAATTTTTTACAAGAATTCAATTATTTTTATAACTAATAACGTTCTTCGTAAAAAATTTAATTATTTTTACAAATAGTAAATTTTTTTTTTTGAAAAATTCAATTATTTTTAAACAAAATTTTAATAAAATTTCAGGAACGAAAACAATTATTTTCTAAAATTTTAATAAATCTTTCGAAACAATTTAATTTTTTTAAAATAGTATAATTTTTGCAAAAATTCAATTATTTTCAAAAAAATTTCACGAAAGAATTTAATTCTTTCTCAATTTGTTATGAAATATTTCGAAGAAATTCAATTATTCAATAACATTTTATGAAAAAATTCAATTTAATTAGAATTTTCAAAACTTGGAACAAAATTTTTCGCCAGAATTCAAATTATTTAGGAATATAATTGAATTTTTCAAAATAATTGAAATTAATTGAATAATCAAATTTTTTGATAAAATTCCTTGTAAAAATTTGATGAATTTCAATACTTTAATTTTAGAATTGAAAACATTTAAAAAGTGAAATTATTAAAAAAGCTAAGAAACAAAAAAGCAAACAACAACTAACTTTAACTTGACCCCCCCTCACCCCTTACATCCTTACGTAGTTTGTGTATGGCACCTTAATGTAAAATAATACAAAATATCACTTGCCAATTGTGAGAGGAACCACATTAATTTCGAAATGCTCCTTAACGGAAATCCCAGCGACCGGCGCCTTCTCCCTGCAAAAGACCCTCAACGCCCTCTGTCGATCCACAGGCATATTACTCTGAAGTTCCGTCGGTACCAACACCTCCGTGTAAATTTGATTCGGCAAAAGGTTCGTCATCCGCACATAGCCCAATTCCAGTAAATGTTCCACCGAATCGTCAGTCTTGCTAGTTTTCGTGTACAAAAAGTTGGTCAGTATCAAGTCAGCAATTCCCAGCAGACCGTCAGCGTCCGTCAATCTCCACTGTGCGTGTTTGAAGCATATTTCCGCCGCTCTGGTGACCGCCGCCGATTTGTCCTTGAGCGTCGCCGTAGCCGTTGCTGGCGTCGTCGTCTCCTTGTAGCAACTCAGCATCACGTCCAATTCATCGGCGCGCAAATTCAACTGTTCCTTGCACTCAAAAACCCTCAGCTCCAGACGTTTCATTTCGGTTTTTAGTTCTTCGCTGTGATCGTCAGCTAGGGCTTTGTGAACCAAGTAGGTTTCTTTCTCCAAGCGTCGAAGTTTGGAAACTAGACCGCGAACGATGTTCTGTAGTTGCTGAATTGGGCGTTTTTGATCCTCAGCAGATAGTTGGAGTTGGAACCGCATTCGCTGGAGACGTTCGAGCGCTTCCTTGCGACGGGGTTCGACGCATAGGAGAAGATTGTTGACGACGTCGAGAATCATCGCGTACTGGAGGGAATTGGTGCAGACGTCGAGATCGTGGTGCATTAGAGTGAAAGCGTCGGCGGCGGAGAGTTCCCGACGCTCCCAAAGAGAGACCTCTTCGCCAGGCGGAGGGGGAACTTCGTCCAAAAGGTCCGCGTCCAGAGCCTGTCCATAGCCGACGTAGATGAATTCGCACTTACAGCGGGAGACGATCCGCTGCAGTTGGTGCTGCAATCCGCCTCCACCGCCGACGGTCTGACTCACTACACCGCCAACGCTCTGTCCCGAACCCACCAGGGCTGGAACGTCCGGCAAACCTGAAATTACGGTCGAATCCTTCTCCTGAATATTGTCGAGCGTGAGCCACATAATATTGTCAATGATATTTCCGTCCGTGTTCGCACTGACCGTCGCGTAGTACTGCATACACTCCAGGGACCCAACCCAAGTTGTCTTCGACACCAGCGTCCGGTCCTTCCAAACCGGTCGGTGGATCCTCTGCAGAATCTCCGCCTTCGCCGCTGAGAGAATAACGTAACCCCGGGTTTCGATCCCCTTGAGGAGAACCTGACTATTAACCAGCGCGATTAGCCAGTTTTTGTGAAGAACATCATCCTGGTGACACGCGGCAAGTCCTCGCAGTTGATGCCCCCGGGTCTGAACCGACAAATCGTCGCTGAACGCCACCGGTTTATTGCCAGCTTCCGCAATCAGCCGCTGGAGCATTTCGGCCGCTTCGCCCTGTTGCGGTTTGACCACCGTCGATGATGGCGTCACCGGGGTCGGCGTCTTCGAATTCGTTCGATTCTTATTCGGGGTCGAGCTCTTCTCCCGGTGAAAACCCTTCAGACCGAATGTGGAGAGATTCTTCTTCAGTTGCTGTGTCTTGATGAAAGAATCAAATAGCGCGAAGGCGACGTCGCGGTTAGTCACGGTCCAAGCGCCTCGGAGGTCGTGAACCACCAAACGATGCGTTGGAGTGTCGCCACTAACCCCGGCTACCATGGCCTCCCTGCCGTAACTCACCCGCTCGACACTGAGGCAGTAACACTTCTCCACTGGTTGGCTCATCGATTCGCTTTTTCCCTCCTCCTGGAGCGCAGACTTTAGCCAAATTTCCGCATCGCTGAGCTCGCAGTTCATGTAGACGACTGACCACTCGGCCCGGGGTCGATGAATCAATCCGTCGTCTATTGGGTGCAGCGACAGGTTGTGTTCCGAACTGCAACCGACTCTACCGCCTGATACCTCGAAACCCCGTTGCATCGCGAAGGACATCCAGTAGCTCACGTGGAACCGATGGAAAGCTAACGTCAACCGCACCTTACGGTAATGTCGACTAAGTTGCTTCTTCCTAGCCCTTGTGTTTTTAAACAACGCCCCTTTCCTCGTAGGTCTAGTCGCACCCGAGAGGATGAATTTCAAGTTCTCGAACCACCGGAGCGTACTGCCGTACAAAGTGGCCGTAGGAGCACTCGTATTGTTAGGAGAACCGGTCGGCTTCGTCTCCAAAGACAGTCGGACGTTGAGATTTTCGGACCGAAACGCGCGAAAGGAGTCGTGTTCCTGATTACTTGAGTACTCTGGCAAACGGTCTGGAGCACAAGGTATTGCAGCGTGATGATCCCGATGGTCTCCAAGACAAACCCAAGCGAGTTTCATACTCAGCCGAACGTTCGGTAAATGCAGCAGACGACAATCGTCGTACTTACTAGCAGTTCGCACGTAGACGTCCAGGTCCCCTTTAATAATAATCTTACCGTTCGTCCAGTCGAGTTCTAAGCTCGACCAGGTTAGTTCCATCTCCTCAGTGGTGTTATAAGGATCCAGTGACGCGTGAAGCAAAACCGTCAGTTGCTTCACGCAGAGTGTCAACCGCCCATGAAGCATCAACCTCATCTTGTCCCAGAAAGGCAACGGAGGACTTGGGTCCCGCGACGGATGGAGTATCTTCTCAAAACTAAGATTACACTGCGCAATCACCGGCTCCCAACATGGTCCAAAAGCGTACTTATACTTATCGATATCCCAGTTCAGATCGTGGTAATACTTCAAGGACGTCATGCCCCGTTCCACTTGAATATCAGGCCAAGGGGCGCCGACCTCGATCCTAACGGTCCGACGCGCTCGAGGCGGCGCCAACGCCTCGGCCCCTGCGAGTCTTCCCCAAATACTAAGTTCCTCAACAAGCAGCAGCGGTTGAGGAAAGTCCCGAAGCTGCAACTTCCACTCGGCACACTTGAGGGAAATTCCCCTAACCCAGAGGATACTAAACTCTAAACCATCCTCAGGCCAGGGGGTTTCGAAATCCATCTCTTGGATTGCTTTTGTCGCACGTTCGATACCGTCGATTGACGGATCGGCGAGAGCGAGAATCTCGAGGTCCTTCATTGTCCAAGCAAAGAGGCATGTTCGGGAAGGACCTGCTCGCTGCATTTGCTTCCAGCGTTGGACATAAATTTCCGCATTTTTCTTGTCTAAACTGGTGTAGAGCTTCTCAACCTTTTCCTCCGGCAGAAGGAAGTGAGTTCGACAGAGTTCCTCGACCTTTGCTGCAAGCATCGCCTGACGCTTCAGACTCTCCTTGTACTCGTCCTCAAGCAGTTCGTGAATGTCGCGCAAACGTACCTCGAACGGATCGTCACTCATCTCGAACACCCATTCTTTAATCTGAAAAGTAGCATAAAAGAAGAAAAGGTAAGTTTTTATTTATATTATTGTAATTCAAAACTTGGAAAAAAACTAATGTGAAATTTATTAAAGTCATATTAAACTAAGTGAGCGGGCAACGCTCACTGTTTTGGTTCTAAGTTACTCGTCCACATAAATTAAAACTAATGCATAAACAATAGTTATTCGACACAAAAAAATCAGATCACATTATTTATATTTTAAAACATTTAATATATTTAGTCTATCAAATATCTATTGTAATGAAAAAGTTTCGTTTTTCTCTAGAAAAAAATAAAAATTTTAAACACGTGTTGTGAACGATGAACCCGTATGATATTCAAATTTAAATAACTTAAATAAACAGTCCACATCTGAATACACAAAAAAGTTTAGTGAAACAATAAAAAAGAAATCTTCCTAGGAGAAAATCGTGGAACAATAATTACTGTCAAGATACACAGGAGTTATGATTTATTACAACAAATATTTATTATTGCTTAAATAATATATAAATACCCGAAACATACATGGTAGGTACAATATTATTATTTCCTACAATTCTTTTTATACATCGTCAATCTATAAAACGAAAACTATTATCAGTTTTAGGTTCGAGAGACAAAAAATCAAGAACTATATTAAGCATCTCTGATGGAGGACTCATCAATCTTCATTCAACAAGCACCAAACTTTCAATTTCTTTCTGCTTGTCACTACATTACTATACTTGGTGTTTATTTTTACAACAACGATTTGATAAAACTTGATGAAAGAAATCAGTCTGTGCCGGTACTAAATACACTATTTGATTACATCAACAATTCGGAAAATGAAACCCAGGCTAGATATCAAATTCTGAAAAAAGTATTGAAAGGAAGTGATCTTTACGGCGGTGGAGAAAATGAAACACTTGACATGAAATACATCGACGAAACGTATCACTACATCATTAACACGGTTCTGTTTTCTCACTATGGAAACATTAATGGATATTTGGCAAAAATTATTAATAGGGCAGACAGTGTAAATTATTCGGCATTCAAAGAAATGGTTCTACGACATCTTTCTGAAAGTTACACCACCAAGGAATACTGTTCATCAGGAAATTACAGTTCGAGACTTTCTCCACTGGCAATTAATAAAATTTACCAGGACCACATTTTGCCAAACTTCCCCCAACCGGAAGAGGACATGAGCATACTCGACGTAAGTTATATATACGCAATGGTTGGTTTAAAAATTGTCAAATCCATTTCTGCTGAAGTGACAAACTTTACATTCAAGGAATATATTCTCATTTCACGCGAAATTGATTTACAAGATTTGAATGACGAAACCAATCAAATGGTTTTAAAACTATTCAAAATTCCAGCATTATTTTATTACGCCTTTAATAACAAAGATGAATTTCGGGAAACTGATCAACTTATATTAACAGATAAATTTTGGAAGGAAGGTTACAAAAAATTATTTTCATACATTAGCTTAACAATAAATAATGAAGTAGAAAAACAGATTGTGAACAGTTTATATTACAAACTTGAGAGACAAATTCATGCTCTGCAAAGTCGAACAAATCTTGCTTATTTTTTAATAAAAGTATACTGTAATTATGGAACAGAAGAAGAAGTCTCCGATCTGTATATAAGTGTATACAAAACCTTGTATAAATGGTTGGCAAAACTGATACTTCCTAAACGATGCAATTCCGATATTCCTGATTTAGAAACTGCATATAATGAACAATTTACAGAAGTCGAAAAAACTTATAATGAAATTGAGAGAAATTCGATTGAAAAAGTCCTAGTGGATAGTAAATTATCAGACATAATGGATTTAAATTCTACTGTCAAACTTGGACGACTTCCTCTACCATATACGGTAGGTTGTAATCTCTGTGCACCTATACCACGACAAATGAACAAAGACATATACCTTCTGTTTACCATCATCAGAATAAATGAGGATTCGAATTATTACGCATTGAGACAAGAGAATAATACCCTCAGTCTACTTAGCAGCAAAGGAAACGAACGCAACTTCGCAAGGGCAGTTTCTAACGATTCGTCTTTAAAAATGGAAAACAGAGTAATTTCTAAAATTCTGAAATTCAAACATGAAGATTATAAATTATTTGTTCAGAGAGTTGCGGACATAAAAACAGAACAATTTATAAGCGGCCTTAAAATGTACTATTATGAAGAAGAATTGGGGGAGAAGTTTTTAAATTTCTTCAAATCTCTTATACCCTTTTATAATTGCGTTGAAAATGTTAGAGCAGACAAAGTCGCAGAAGCTGGTTTTAGTTGTAGTTTAGATGTGCTCAGTCTTATTCCATTCGCCGGTTTGGCAGCATCATATTCAGCAAAAATAAGCAGCAGTTTATCAATAAACATTGGCAATATGTTTTTGATGACTAATACTCTAGCAAAAACAGGAATTGTCACTAAATTACCGATAATGACAACGTTGTACCAAATTTCAAAAATGGCTGCTCGCACCATCGCTAAGGAAATTCTTAATCGTGCGCTCTTGAAAAATTTGTCAGTAGCCTCTCTTCGGACATTAGATCCTGGATTCGAACTATTTTACAAAGTAAGTAAATTTGGTCTTAAAAAATTTTCCGAACTGTTTCAAAACATAGCTTCAAGTGCGAAAAATTATTTTGCTGTTGAAAAAATTCAAAAGTTATTAAAATTTTTATTGAAAACTGTAAATCAGAGAGTACATTTAGTAACTGATCTAACAGGTTTAGTACCAAGAGTTATAGGTAAACGTGATGGTTATAACATCGTTAGATACATTTATCCCGGTGGTTCGCAATTTTTTGGACCTAAATGCGTAGCATCTTACGGAAGAACTGCCGAATTAAGAAGCATCGAAGGATATTCATTTCAAATTCCCGTTATACCGATTACAAATCCTGGTTCAACTTTTTACAAACAATATCTTCCTGAAACTGGAGAAGTATTTAAATTTAAACTAAAAATGGATAAAGATGACGTTCTCCACCGAATTGGTTACTTAATAGACAAAATGGTCATTGAAGGACGTAATGTAAACATATTACGTAATTATCATGTCTATCATAATACAATGGATTGGAAAAAGACCCCTAGTCAGGAGAAGCCTAATGATAATTTAAATCCACCTACAGAAGGAGAGACTTCATTAGAATTTCTGGAATCAATTGTAAGTCGACTGCATAGCCGACAAAATGCTATGCAACATAGTTTTCAACAATTCACAAATACTCGATTTCAAGATTCTTCAGAAGTGAACACAGCAATTGTAAAAATCGAGCAAGATATTCCGCAATCTTCATTACATTCGAGCAATTTGCAACAACCTTTTAAACTTGGAGAAGATATACCAACATCCGATGGTACAGTATCTCCTACAATTATAAGTAATACTGATACCCTCTCCCTAAGTAATACCAGGATTACAGGAACCAAAAGAGATATGTTTTCTTTACCGAACACTCAAGTAGCAGAAGAAACAAACATTCCACAAAAGATTAGAAGAATAGAAAAAATAGAACATCCAGAAATTACCTTACAATACATTCACAAGAAATTCGATGTCAAAATTCCAGGAACAGTACGAAGAGTACAAATATTATCAGAAGGACCAAGTACTTCTTATAAGCAAAAAGAAGATTTAAAAATTGAGGACAAGAATAGAAATCTTGACAAAATATCAGAAAATCCAATAAATTGTTTATATAAAATGGTAAACCTTGATTGTATACTAGGAACTTCAAGACAAGTAAGTGAATTGAATCCGGAAATGTACAAAAATATTATAAAGAACCCAACATACACGAGATATTTAGAAATTCTAACATTGTGGAAAGATAAAAGTTCAGCTTTTGTCAGAAAAGATACAGCTCAAATGAATTTTTTACGCACAACTGTAAATGAACTGGCCCTCCTTCAGCTGGATAGACGTATACTAATACCGAGTAAACTCTGGTGCAGTCAGATTATAACCGAACAGAAAAAAATCGATTTCTTAAGAAGCCTGAAAGGAGAGAAATTTTTCTTCAATGACATAACATTGCTGACAAATAACCATTTACAACTATTATTAACTAAACCAATTAGTCAATTATCCATAAAAACACAAGTGCTTTATCACTTAACATTTGACACTCCATATGGTTTTGTAGACTTGACTAATTTTCACGAGAAACTGCAAAATAATTATGTAACATTCAGCGACATATTCTTCACAGTAACGAATACTTATTTTAATGAAGATAAAAAAGTTTTGAATATTCTGCTCAAGAAGGAGAATATATCGAGAGATTATTGGATGTTTTTGAGACAGAAAAATATAAAAAAATTGGAGCAGGAGATGAGAATTATAGATTCCCCACGAATGAAAAGAATCACAGAAGCTGCCAACATGTTTGTCGAAGATGGTCTACTAAGTACTGTCAGAATATCCACTGATTTTCTATTAAATTACATTTTGAGTGCAAAGCAAAATACTTATCATATTGTACCCACTTACACTATGTTAGTGAATGATGCTCTAAAAGGAAGAAATTTGAATTACTATGATAACTGGAAAGTAGAGAGTAACACCTACATTCGAGATGTGTTAATAAACAAAAATGTAGATGATGTTATTGATTTGTCTGCAGCAACAAGAAGAATTCATGAGGTATACGATTCCGTTTATTTTCAAAATATAGAAGAAGCTTTCAGTAACTATAGAGGAATACAAGATGCTGAAAAATATTTTCGATTTGAGGATTATTATGTATTATATTCACATGTTAGAAGCAGATTCTTGACCAACGTGCATGGAATGAGACGATTGGAGGCAGCAATTAATCGACTCGCGCTTAGACAATGTGACGAGGAATGGATTACCAGACCAATTATGCTATATCGTACTGAGTTTATAACTAGAGAGATGTCACAAAGGTTCTTCAAGTCTTTTCTCAACGAGGATATTATTGCATTTGATCGAATGAGAAAATT